ATCTAATATATAATATACACACATACATACACACATACATTGCATGGCCGCAGTCCTCTCCCCTTCCCCCGCCACATCCTCCCCCCTTCAACCAAGACTCGAAACTGCGGCCTTCTGTTGACTTCTTTCATCTTTTTTGTCCTTTATGTTTTACAAGTAGAGTAGGAGTTATTCTGTGTTCCGCCATGCCCGCCATATCCGCCCATTCCCAACCTCCCCCCCAGAACAAAACATTCAGGGGAGATTAGTATCAAACGCCCAGCTCATGCAACCCCGTGACCATGGCCGCCATTCATATATCGCAGTTTTTTTCCCAGCAGATTTATATCAGAGGATGAATGAATAATATGTGTGTAGAGTCTCGAGTGTCCGGTGACCTCGATATGCTCGAGGGAAAAAGGAGTATCCCAAATGCTTTGAGGGGCTGCGCCCCTCCTCTTTCGCTTGGTTTCCAAGATTTCGCATTCATCGGCTTGATGATGCTTCAGTCGTCATCTTCCTTGTTCTCGGCGGCCTCCTCCTTCTTCTTCTGCTTGGCCTTCCACTCGCAGATCTTGCACGCGTTGGCCTTTGCGTGGTCAATCTCGGGGAAGACGAGATCAAACACCTCAGAGTACCAGCTTACGGCATGGCCTTCGATACCTTCCTTAATGGTCTACAATGTGAATGTAAGCAATCTTCATCCCTATTCCAAACGCGTCAGGAGAAGCAAGCATACCTGTGGAAGCTCCAGCCAGTCCGACATGTTGTCCTTGGGGAAAATAATCGTCTTGCACCCCGCCCTCCTCGCCGCCACCGTCTTCTCCCGAAGCCCTCCAATCCGGAGAACCTTGCCCGTCAGCGTAATCTCGCCCGTCATGGCCACCGTCGGGTCGACGGGCGTGTCCAGCGCAAGCGACAGCAGCGACGTCGTCATGGTGATGCCCGCAGAAGGGCCGTCCTTGGACACCGCGCCGTCGGGCACGTGGAGGTGCATCTTGGCCTTGTCGAAGAAGTGGTTGTCCGGATACCGGTTGACCATGAACGACTTGGCGTACGAGTAGGCAATCGTCGTCGACTCCTTCATCACGTTCTTGAGGTTGCCAGTGATCTCCAGGCCGGGTCGTGAACTAGGTCGGAGCGGTGCCTGCAGGATCGACTCAATGTACATGGCCGCGCCACCCATCTGCGTCCACGCGAGGCCCATGGACACTCCCGGCGGGCTCACGTCGTACAGGCGATCCGACGTGAAGACGGGGGGTCCAATGTAGTCTGTCAGGTTGTCCTTGCCGATGGTGACGTGGACGCTTTCCGGCACTTTCAGGGCCTTGCGCGGCTTCTCCGTGGTTTCGCTTTCGTCGGCTTCGGTAGCCGTCTTCTTCTCGGTGCCCTCCTCGGCCTCGGCAGCAGACTCCTTGGCTTTTTCCGCCGCCGCTTTGCCTTCGTCCGTGAGAGCCTCCTCCTCGGGCAAGACATCCTCTCCGAACTCCTGAACAATCTTCAGGGCTGATTTGCGGTAGACCTTTTCGATCTGCTTCTTCAGGTTTCGAACGCCAGACTCTCGGCAGTACGACTTGATCAGCTCTTCGATGGCTTCATCCGTCAGCTGAACATCCGCATCCTTCAAACCAGCCGCTTCCTTGGCGGCCGGAGCGAGGTACCGGTTCGCAATGGCCTTCTTCTCGTCCGCGACGTATCCAGACAGCGTGATGAGCTCCATACGGTCCAGCAGAGGTCTGGGGATCGTGTCCGTCATGTTCGCCGTGCAGACAAACAAGACTTTGGACAGGTCGACAGGCACGTCCATGTAGTGATCCAGGAATGAGCTGTTCTGCTCAGGGTCCAACAGCTCCAGCAGAGCCGAGGAAGGGTCTCCCTGGTAGCCTCGTCCAATCTTGTCAATCTCATCAATCAGAATGAGGGGGTTCTCCGTCTGGCACTTCTTCAGAGCCTGGATGATCCGGCCGGGCAGAGCACCGACATACGTCCTTCGGTGGCCCTTGATTTCCGCGACATCGGTCAGGCCTCCAACACTGAATCGATAGTACTCCCGGTTGAGCGCCCGGGCAATAGACTTTCCGATACTCGTCTTGCCAACGCCGGGAGGCCCAACAAAGCAGAGAATCTTGCCCTCGACCGAGCCCCGCAGCTTACCCACGGCAATAAACTCGAGGATTCGATCCTTGACATCCTGCAAGCCGTAGTGGTCCTCGTCAAGGACCTTGACAGCGTTCGGGATGCCAAAGTTCTCCGCGCTCCTCTGACCCCAGGGAATCTGGGTAAGCCAGTCGAGGTAGTTTCGTGTAACGTTAAACTCCGAGGCCGCCGTCTCCAGATGCGCCAGCTTGTTGATCTCTTCGTCAAACACCTTGCGCACAGGTTCAGGCATGGCAAGCTTGGCCGCCTTTTCCTTGAACTTCTCCACCAGCTTGTCCTTGCCGTCCGATTCCAGGCCGAGCTCCCGACGGATGCCCTTCATCTGCTCCATGAGCCAGTATTCCCGCTGGCGTTTGCTGATCTTGTTCTCGACGTCCTTGGTAATCTTGGACTGCAGCTGCGCGTTCATGAGCTCCTTCTTGAGCACAACCAGGGCCTTTTGCATCCTCTCCTCAATGTTCATGCAAGCCAGGACCTCCTGCAGCTCGTTCTGCTCGCCAGAAGAAACGGCAGCGGCAAAGTCGGCAAGCTTGGCCGGCTCCGAGGTGACGTTTCCTGTAGACTGGCTCATGGAAAAGGTGGAAATCTGGTCGCGGAAAAGGTTGTTCATCGTGGCCACCTCCTTGAAGACGTTGACAATCTCGTTGGTTATGGCGCGGATGACGGGGCTCTTGGGGTCGTAGGGCTCGTCCGCCAGGTTCTCCACGTTGACCAGGCTGACGGGGTATCTCTTGAGGAACGACGTGGGCTCGTACTTGTCCACCGGCTGCTCCGACTTCTTCTCCACGGCGCTCTCCTCGAAGCTCGCCACCACGTCGCCCTTCTTCTCTTGTGTATCTTCCTCCGTCTTCTGCGGTATCGGCTCGGGCTCGGGCTCCGTCTTGGATTCGGTCTTGTCGGCGTCCTGCCCTCCAGGCGCCACCAGGCTGGACAGCTTGATTCGCCGGTGAGGGTATAGAATCGCCGTCAACGCACCCTCCTGTCCGTGAATGGGGAATGCGCTGGTAATCTGCGCAAAGACACCAACGTCGTACACATCGTTCACATTCCGAATAACGTCGTCGTCCTCGTTCTCGTCCTTGAAGAGGAAAGCTCCGACATACGGCTGGCCACGCTTAATGGACTCGGTGATGGCAGTCGCGACATTGGGATCCTTAATCGTAATGGCCTTGTAGAAGCCCGGGAACAGCGGCCGCCGGGCAATGGGAATCGCCAGGACCTGCGGGTACACCTCGGGGATGACGGGCTTCGACAGCGCCCTCTCGGCAGACTTGCGCCCTCGCTTCCCGCCATCGCCGCTGGAACCATCGCCGCCTGCGCCAGACCCGGCACCGGCAGCGCTTCCGGCAGCACCGCTAGGCTTCCCGTCTTCCGCCTTTCCGCCCTCGCTCTTTGCAGCAGAGGCTGTTGAGTCGGCAATGGCAGGTTTAGACTCCTCCTTGGCGTTCTCGAGCTTGTCCTTTGCCTTTGCCTCGTCCTCCTCCTCTTTTGGCGGCTCGACGGCAGAGTCGAAGAAGTTACTGCCCTTGTCCTTTTCCTTGCCCAGTCGTGCGCTCGTCGACAAGGCCGCCGTCTGCACCCGGGGACGTGGTGCGGGATACCGGCGGCCGGCGATCTGAGTGGCGCGCAGAGCCGAGCTCAGTGTCCAGGCGCGGGGGATCGAATCGGACAGCGCGCGGGCCGGATGCGCCGCTGAGCGCTCGAGGATGAGGCGCCCGGAGGCTCGTGATCGGGGGAGCATGTCGAATGGTGATGCTTTGTGGTGGTAGCGGTGGTGGTGCCAGTGGTGGTGGTGGTATTAGAAATCCAGATCCAGCCGAGGTGGTGAGGGAGAGTCAAGAGACAATGAATGGACAGGCAGAAGAGAAAGATGGGATGGAGGGAGAGAAACCGAGTAAAACCCGCAGACAGTTCCGTCAGTCCTCTTAGCAAGCCCGCAAGAATCTGCCTGTCGTGAGCATTGCCCGGGTGCCTTTGTTTTCAAGGGAGACTGATGTCGGGACTGAGTAATACAAAGATGAACCGACGATGGAAGCAAAAGAGAGGCCGTTAATAATCCAAACTGCAGGCCGGAGCTCTAGGCGGCATTTGGCTACGTCAAATTCGAGGGCCTAGTACCTTCCATCGGCTGAACTGCGGGGATCGGTGGTGGCGGCGTGGATAAGCTATCGCGTACTTGTACCTGGCGGGGTACGACGGAGCCGGATGTGATGGGGGTAGATGTACTTGGATGAGGGCACCTCTTGATCAATTGGTGTTTTGTGAGAATTTTGCGAGTATTTTGAACTCATCTGTACTATCGTCTACCTTATTACAAGCTGAGAGGATGCAAATACGCTGGAATCATGGCTGTGACCAGAGACGAGCAAGGACCGTCTACAACACCAGAGCGGGTTGGCGGGGCACGTCACGAGGGCACCACTTGGATTGGAAGTCTGGCTCAGTAACAGTGATGGTTGAACGTATTACATACCAGGCTTGCCGACTGCCCTCCTAGAATTGCAGATATTGTGATATCAGATATTCGTTTATAGATGAGGATTAATGTCTACAGCTTCATAGTTTATAGCAGCCTCATCAATGCCCCAAGCCCAAGATAATCATGTCCAGCTCCCGGGTATCCAGCTGTCCTGAACAGTAACACCAAAGAACTCTGATATTCAGACAGTAAACAAACGACAGAGGCCCCCTTTCCATATATGCTCATCAGTTCATGCGTGATATTTTCTAATATACATACAGTACATATCCATACACAGCATCCATCCCATCTACAGATTACAAGTGTTGCCGAGCGATAAGTCTATGCCAATGCTTAAATTCAATATGCAAGTTGCCTCTTTGCTTCCTGGAACCTCTTCCCCTCACTCCTCCTTCTCGTCCTTGTTTCCCGTAGACGTCTGAGGCTTCGTCTTCTCCGCCTTGGCCACAGGCACTCGCGCACCACGAGCTCGTCTCCTTGACACGCTCGAAATCGCTCGCAGCGAGCTTCTCAGTTGCCGCCTCTGCTGCCGTTTATTGCGCTGAGACCGAAGCTGTCTCTCCAACCTCCTCTTCATTCGCTTAAGCTCCGCATGCGAGAAAGGCCTAAGCAGCTCCATGGCCTTCTTCCTTAGACTTGCTCTGCGGCTATCCCAGCCGCTCGAGAGATTCTCGAAATCCGTATTGGTGAAGGCGTAATGAAGACGAGGATATTTCCTCTCAATCTCCCTCAACTTGGCAGAGACATCGGCCGACCAGGCAGCCAACTTGCGCAGCTTCAGCCACTGGTGCTGCAAGCTGAGGACCGCCGCGTTGGACGCCTGCAGCACGCGCGTGTTCCTGAGATGGCGGCGCTCCTGAAGGCTCCTCTTGCTCGGTTTCCACCCACGCCAGCGCGGCATGAGCATGGTCTCGCACCAGCGCATCGCGGGCTCCCATTGGCCCATCTCGGCCAGATATCGAATCAAGAGGTTCCAGTTGTTTCTCGTCAGCTTGAAGCCAGAGGAAGTGACCTGCTCAACGCATTTGAGCAAGCCGTTTCCGTCGTTCTCTTCCCTGAAAGTTTTTGCCAGAACTGCCATCGGCCTGGAGACGTCATACTCGTGGACGGGATAGATGCCCGCCGCTTTGCGATGCTTGGCTCGGACCAGTACTCTGTTCCACATCTCGTTCCACATCTTGTGTATCTGGCGGAACTTCCTGTCCTTGAAGTAGCCCAGCATCAGCGCAGAAATCACCTCGGGAGGGAACGGTTCGCCGCCCCTGTGTTTGGGGAATATGCTGCTGTACAAGTTCATGACTTCTTCGGCCGTCTTGAAGTCTCGCAGCTCAACCAGAAGCTTGATGGCACGGCCGACGCTCTTGGTCTGCTTCTTCAGATGCCGAATGTCCCTCGGAAGCGTCGAAACAGCACGGGCGTCACGTCCGCTGGTCTCGTGAGCCAGCATAGAGCGCAGGTGGCCCACGAACTCTTTGCCAAGCTGGCGCGTCCGATCTGACGATGGCGTCTTTCGAAACGAAGCCTCGGCCAGCGCCACCTTGGCATTGAAATTCATCGACTGGCCTGCTTTAAGCAGATGCGAAGCAAGAAGCTCGACAAGCCCAAGCTCGCCGGTACGTACAGCTCCGGCCATGACCACGGCAAAATGCTCCGGCCCAACCGGGAACAACTTCTCCTTGTAGGCCGTCTGCAAGAGGAGGTAGGCAGGCTGTACCTGGTCTACCCTGACAAGGGCCTGAAGAAGAAACTCATGCGTTTGATGGTCCCATGTGAGATCAAACAGCTTCATGGCTTGCAGCAGTTCATAGCATTTGCCGAGCTTTCCTTGCATGCCGTTGAATTGGATAAGCTGATTCCAGATGGCCGTGCTCGTCGCGCCCCGTTCCGCCAGCTCCATGCATATCCTCTCCGCTTCCAACAGCCGATCATTGCGGCAGTACGCCATGACCAGAGACATGGCCATCTCTTTCGAGACGGGGATCCGGTCCTTTTGAGAGCGGTTGAAGAAGCCAAGAGTTGCTTCCAGGTCGCCCTTCTTAGCAGACATGGCCATGATGTGGGCATACGTAAAGGAGTCGGGGCGGTACATGCCGCATATCTCGTTGAAGCAAGCGACGGCTCGATTGTAATCTTGCGCTCTCATGTAACATTTCAGCAAGGTGTTCCATATGTCCAAGTCGGGCTTGACTCCGTGGTGATCTGTCATGCGGCGAAGCTCTTCTTCGGCTTTGGCGACGTCGCCAACCTGCGCATAGGCATTCATCGTGCTCCTGAACGCCCTGGGCTTTCTCAGCACGGCCGGGTACTTGGCCACATACCGCCCCCATAGCCGTTGTACGGCCTGGATGTCGCCCAGGCCTGCATAGAACTTGAGGAACTTTTCGTATCCCCATTGATCCAAGTCTCCCCAGGCGCGATGCCAATCTTGGTAGATCTCTTCGAGCGCTGCCGTGCCGGCTGGGTAATGCAGCTCAAACATGTGCTGGAGGAGCGAGACGGGCGGATGCGCGCCGGGGAGTTTGCGGTATGTCCTGTACAGATCCGATAGCCAGGCGACGTTGGACGTCAGTTCGATCTTGTTATGCCAACTTTCCAGAACGCGGAGAAAGTAATGCTCGTATAGCTGAGGGTCGTTGAAGATTTCTAATATGGCAGCAGCTTGCCTTGGCTGACAAGGCTGGGCCAGCGCCAGCTCTGCCAATTTTCTTCTCAGAGCTTTGAGACCCAATCTGGTCGTCTCATAGATGTTGATGGGGCGAATGGCTTTGCGGCCCTCGGAAGAGAGATATTGTTCGAACGAAAAGAAAAGCCTGTCCAAGCCAGGCAATGTTTCGAGCCGCTGTAAGCGAATGGCATCTGGTCGGCCAGCCGGCTCAAACTTGAGGCGAGACGCATAGAATTCGAGCCACACCCCTATGAGCGTCGGCCATTTCTCGTTGGCAATGACCTCAGCCAGGACATACTCAAGACCGCCGACCAGACCCTTGAGCTCCATGCCACTTTTCAACCTACTGATAGCATGTTCTAGGTCGCCGGACCGTGTAAAGGCCAAGACACCAGCAGCAAGAAGCTCATCATCCCAACTAGAAATGGGAATCTGACGGAACAGCGAGATAGCTCTCCCAACCTCGACTATTCCGCGGGATTTGGCGAGGTAAAGAATCATGTCGCGGCGAAAATCAAGCTGATGCTGTTCATCGAGCCTGCAGTATAAATCCCATACATCGTGAAAGCGCTCTTCGCCTTGGTGTGAAAGCATATCTTGTAGCTGTGCTGCGTTTGACTGCAACCTGGACATGTGGTCTACGCGCAAAGAGGTTGAGCTCTGAGAGTCATAGTCTGAAGAGGCAGCTTTCGAGTTACTGCTAGAGGTCTGTGATTCTCGTGCCGTAGCTGCTCCATCGTCCCGTTGATATGCCTGGCTCCCTGCCGGGGAAAAGCACTCCATCGATGGTGGGGTCGAAGCGGTGGGATAACTTTGCGAGGGATGCTCAGCAGCGGCAGTGGAAGAGGTGAAGTGCCTCCTCCTAGCAGCACCACCAGCACGGCCTCCATCCTGAGGCCGCGGGAGCCCTGGATACAACCGCCGCAGGAGCGAATATGTAGCACTCGGATAGAGGAAATCGAGCAGAAAGGCCGAGGCAACCAAGCCAGCCTGCAGCGGGCGGGTGGCATTCTCGACAGGCTCCGCCTCGGGAATGCGCCCTATGGAGGGCCAGATGCTGGCGAGCTCAATGGCAGACGCCCCATGCTGCCAGAAGCCCGTATGAAGCTGGCGGCTGCGCTTGGTCGAGCGGGTGGGCTTCGGAAGGATGCGCTGGATGTTGCATGATTCCAGACTCGCGGCCGCGGTTCTTTCGAGCATTTGGCCCAGCAGGCGGCTCGGTTCGCGGACGGCCTGCTAGCTATGCGATGGACAAAGGTGCAGAGGCCAAATTGGCATGCCTCCGACAGGCAGCCCGGGTCGTGGAGTCGTTTTGATGCTGGTCGAGGCGAGCGCAGACGCCTGCAGTGCGGGAGGCGGGCCAATCGGCGCTGGAATGGTGGTGGTATTCGGATTGGAGCTGCAAGGGCGGCATAGCATTCGATGGCGCTGGAGATGCTGCCCGAGTATCTGCGAGACCGAGGCGGAAAGCGGGAGATTCAGGGCCTGGACGAACGCAATGGCAGCCTCATCTTTTCACTTTTAGATCATGGGCTGATCGAAAAAGATGGTGTCGAGCCAGAGGTCCGGGTGGGTCGCCGAAAACAGCAGCGGGCTGTGGCTTAGTCATCCAGCAGCAGCTCCGGCTGATAACGGATAACGGACCCCGCTTTATTTTCGAGGCAAGCCGGCGTTTCATTGACAGGAGCTCGCGAGTTGCTGACCGTAGAGTACAGATACCTACGCTGATAATCATATGGCATGCAATTCGGGCGAGAAAAAGATGGAAAAGATGGGCAAGATGGCCTTGTTACTTTAAAGTAGGAATCAATTAAGGTAAGAAGAGATGTCAAATTAGTATTGTAAGAAATTGCAGACTATTAGTTACAAACACACCGCTCCAGAGGGTGATTTTGGTTTCCCGCCATCGTGAACGGGCAATGCATCGCAAGCTTCCATAACGCCTAAAGCAAAGGAAAAGGAAAAGCAGAATGAAAAAATATAATAGAGAAAAGGACCAAGAAGAAGCGTGAAGCAAATTAGGTAGCATCCCAGATCCGTACCTGTCCCATTACTTCAGTCTCAAGTGTAGTTTCCCATTTGTCGTCCACCCCAACACCAAGAACAAAGGAAACTGTATCTTTTCATATCCCCCTTCGTGGTAGTCATAGTACAGGTAGGTATCGTCAACCCCCATATCGTATAATTTCAGTGCCTCTGACGCTCATGCAAATCAGAAATGTACCATTCTGTGACAAGATGGCCATGTCAGGAAGTCTTGCCGTGGCCGGGCTGTTCCTCGTCCGACAGGAAGACCTCGTTTCGTAGGCTGGACAGGTGGTCGACAGGTCTGTGGGGTTCCTTGTCCCTTCGCGGCCCGCGGCTTCGGCTCCTCAGGCGTGTTTGTTTGTGTAGGACCTCCGAGTTGGCGGGCGATGCGATTCGAGAAGGGCAGTGCTCGCGGCGCTTCTCTCGCAAACGGTTGTGCAGCATCAGTCTGTTGGCGGATGGCTTGACTGAAGGAGAAGAGCCTCGAGAAGCAAGGCTGAAGGGCGAGACTGAGCGTCGACGAGAGCGACCTCTGAGTGTGCTGGATTCGTCTGGACGCAGGTTCTTGGAGTTGGGAATGGGCATGATGCGGTCACGCGTGCGCCCTCGAGACGCATCGTGCTCCGGTGGAGGAACGACGGTCATTTTGATGTCGTGGAACGATTCGGTAGTAGCCATGGCAATATTTCGACAATTTCTGTAGTCCGAAAGGCGTTGTGGTGAAGCCAAAGGACGGAAAGTCCGGGAGATGCAAGCTCTTTAGAGGAGCCGAGAGAGTCGAGGAATAACAAGGGGGTGCCGAGGCCCCGTGCGTCAATCGCTCGCTTGTAGTGAAATATGGAGTCTGGAGTCTGGAGTTTCTCGTAATGCGAGAACCTCGTATCGAAATCGAGTATTGAGGATAGGTATAGAGCGTTTGAAGAGGCGGGAAATGGAGTTGCTCAACCAGGAGCAGCCGTGGGCGATATAAAGGCGAGGATGGAGTGGTTCTGCCCGAGGAGCAGGGGGCCGTGGCATGAACGAAGAGCCACACTATTAGCAATGGTGTTTCAAGGCCCCGCCTGGACAAACGGTATGGAAATTTGTCAGATCAGAGGAACAGAGAATTGAGGCCGGAGAAGAAGGAAAAAAGAAGCCAGGGGTTGCCGGGAATTCGCAAGGACGGGGACTCAACTGGTGCTAGTCGGACGGAGCACGAGGGCAGAAACAATTTATAGAGGTCCAGGACTCAATCTAGCTGATGCTCCAGTGCTCCAGGGTCTGACATGGGGGCCCGGGGCGAGGGTCGCTGTGCATCACCCCCGGCAAGAGCCCGCGGGGGTCACCTGAGCAGGCCGGATAGCAGTCGAGCAAGTGCTGGGGGGCCCCTAATTAGCAGCGCCGCTAGCGCTGTTGGGTGGCCTGGAGTGGTGCTGGTTAGGCCCTTGGGCGCCAATCAGACGGGCTGGGCTGGGCTTCCGAGGCGGCCGGGCGAGGCCATTGGCGTCTCCTCCAACTGTCTCATGGCGCGAACATGCTTGAGGACGAGATGCAACACTCACACGCGACCAAAGTCCGGATACTGTATTGGCCAGCTCTGGTTTGACGTGTGATCGACGCATTGCTGGCTGACTGGAGCCATTGGCCAGCCAGCGGCTGCTTATATGTTGATACGAGTGCATCAGCAGGATCAGTGATGAGGTATGTTCGAGATACTGCACCATACAGTCGTGAATGACTGTCGGGACTGGCTGGCAACAGAGCCCGACTTGCAGACCTGCAGATCGTGACACAATTTCACAGACCGCACGAGCGCCAGTCACAGCGGCCGTCATCCAACAGCGTCCCCTCCCCCCCAAGCGCCATCTGCCGGCCCAGCGCCACTCGTCATAGCGTGACGCCGGCATGCATACTGGCAGACAAGGGCGTTGATGCAGGGAGGAGGAGGCCGAGATGCGAGATGCGCGGCTTGCTGCAAACAATGCGGCTGTGGCTCGCCTTTGGGCCCTTTGGCGACGTTGCGGGGGCTATTGACCTCTCAAAGCCTCGTACGAAAGAGGAGCGCCGACGAAGCAATCATGTTTGGATTGACTCTTGGCTGGGTGATTTGCTCGTGCGTGTGCCATTTCTGGCCGGCGCCTCTGGCCTGCCCACGAAGGAATCACATCGAACTGGATCGCCTTTCCCCCGCTTGCTCTCCAACCTACCACCACCATGGACGAGCGCCATCACCAGCCATCCATCAGGCGGTTTAGCAACCAATGCACTGCTACCACCACCAAGCTGCCACCACTACCACCACCACCAACCTGGATGTTGGCCGGGTGGCGATGCACTATGACTTGCACTTGCTCGACTGGTCCGGGCTTTGGGTCAGACATGTCAACACGGCTGATGGAAATTGGACGGGAGGGATATGAAGCGAGAGGCGGCAGGCGTCCCGACCAAGCTCTTGTGACTGTGAACCTTGACTCCTCCCCCGGCACCCGGTTCCAAGGCACTGGGAAGACATGCTATCTCGAGGCTTCTCTCACGGCTGCTCAGCTTGCTCAGCTACCGTGCCAAATCGCCAGCCGTACGGGAATCGATGCAGCTTCTCCACTTGGGATGAAGCTTGAAGCCTCTGATGCAGCGTCGTTGATCAGAGCAGGTAAGGTGCTGGATAAGCTGATAAGAGATGACCCTAACTTTCAGGTCTGCTTGCCGGCCGCCGCCATCTTTTGACAGGTCCATTGTATCGACGGGGCTCTTTCTCCGGTGGAAGCGGCTGGAGGCAATGACGGCCGGGGAGCGGGAATGCAGACAGGTTTCAACAATGCCTCACTTCAACAGGTATTAGCACCATTCGCCAGACACTCTGTGCCTGTATGACGGTTGTCTGAGGGCTTATCCGGCCTCCATCATTCTCCCAACAAATTGGATGGAATCCTTCCATCACCGGGGATCGAGATGGCCGACGCTCCAAGACGTCAAGAGACAGGGACGATCAAACTGCAGTGTCCAGGTGCCATGATAGCTCTCGAGACTAACATTAGCGTAAGCTGGGGTTCACCGAGCTTAGCTCCTCTGGCGTCCTTGGAACGCAGGCACCCTTCGGTTGGGTTTGGATGCGCCACAGCGTCCTCGTACTCGCGCAGGTAGCGTCAAGCTAAGGTATGACCGTTCCCTTGTCATGGACTTGATAACACAGAGATGGGTCAGTTTGGGCTGATTTGCCTCCCCGTTTGCCCTGATTGTCAGCTGTTGAGCGACCCGATTAGCTAGCACGTGCATTTGCTACTGTTACACTGAATATTTTTGTCGTTTCCAACCGGCTGTATGGAAGACGAGAGACAAGAGGGAAGAGAGAAGAGCAAACAGTGAACCTATTATCGAGGCGGCCGCGTCACACAGCGCAGTTGGTGATGGGCCGACGAGCTTCTTAGCGCCCGCTTGGTTACGACGAGTGTGCCGAGTAGACGAGCATGGGACGATTCGTACCCTTGCAAGCCTTGGTTCAATTGCTTCCAAGCCTTCCATCTGCCTTCTGTGTCAACGGGAAAAGAAATCAAACCCATCACAAATTGGGTGGTTCTCTGGGAGCAGGGGTAGGGGATTCTAGCTTCAAGACGCGGACTTGGCCGTCTAAAAGATCCAATCCGCGGCCCCTTTTCTTTCCTGCTTTGTATAAGCTAATGTCTTGATGTACGGATATTGGACTTGGGTTGCAAAGTACTGCAATCAATATGCCAAGAACAAGTCCTCAGACGGTTTTATTACGGAGCGCAAGATGGAGTTTTGGAGTTTTCTGGGCATGTGATGGCAATCGACTACCTTCTGTCTCATTTGATGGGCTAGGCTTACTTTGTATCACGAGAGGCCTCATTCCCGCGAACAGGATGAAGCAACCTGACCTTTGCGCACTCGAGGTGCAGACTGGTCGACAATGAATTTCGAAACCTCTCTCAATGTCTCATCATCTCTCAGCTGCTTCTGGCTTGGCTTCACTTAAAGTTCGCTCAAATGAGTCTCTGGAGACACAGTCAGCCAATCATCCTGTAAGCTTATAAGCGAAAGCGCATCTCATACCGTTTGGGGTGCCCCCACGCTGCTATAACGGGCCATCCTAGGCTTGATGCGATCTTGGAGTTGATGGCTTGGGGACCTCAAAAATGTCTAACCTCAAGAGTTGCGTATGAAGGTTCCCTTAGTGGTTCACGATGAGACGTGATCAATTGGTCCTTGGCGAAAACTTTGAATGGCCTCTACTTGTGGCATCTTCGGGTGAACCTCTACAACGAATCGCTGCTCAGATCAGCAATAGCCCTATTGGTGCCTTGACGCAACAATGGAACTCAACTCAAGGCTACAATTATAGATAATCTAGAGGAAGATGGAAGCTAGCTCGTGAAGCAACCAAAGCAGATGGCCATGATGAAAAAGTTGCCAAAGAGAGCCAACTTACAAGGAAACGAGGCTCTTTTCGAAGCGACCTCAGAGATGGCCGGTTACTTGTCAAGACCTCAACACAATAAAAGTAAAAGTTTCCGCAGCATAGTTACAGACAGTAATGCTCACAATCTCTCTCTGGAAACCTACAGGGAGTGTCCAACATCTTCTCAGAGGTCTGTAAAGATGCTGCGGATGCAGACATGGTTGGCTTATAGTATGTAGTAAAATTCCACCCATCAGAGCAATTTCCTCTGTGGCGCAATTGGCTAGCGCGTCTGACTGTTAATCAGGAGGTTGGAAGTTCGAGCCTTCCCGGAGGAGATATTGAAATGTTTCTTTTTTTGCTTCTTTTATCTATTTACTCCTCTCTCTTTTATCTCTTTTTGGCTGTCTTTGAATTGGTCTGTTGGAGTAAGCTCCAAAAACGATCAAGACGATGAGAAGTGTTTAGCAAGAAGGTCAGCTCTGCGAAGATGATACCTGGCAGGGATTGTAATTCCACTTTCCGTTTTCCCCAGCATTGCCACCATTGCGGATCGCAAATAACAGTCATGGAGAATCTCAAACCATCGCCACCAATATGAAGGTTACATTGGCCGTCTTGTTCTTATAGCTTATTAGTCTAGAGACCGCAAACAGGCAAACAAGCAAGTCATTATCAGACTTTGAACGCGGCTCGCCACAAGGTCAAGCTGCAGCCCAACCGCTAGGCAACCACCGCAACCTCGCGAAAGACACCCTTCTGCCTGGTGGGACATTCCGGAACTTGAAAAGTGCAGCCCGTTCCGTCCAGGATACTCGACGGTACATCCGCCCCTCGTTTGAACCACCCAGCCTTGGCTCGTCTCAGTTCTTCAAATGGCTGAAGGATGCTTCCGCCACCCCGCCGTCTGGCAGTGCCGACAGTCACGCGGCTGTGCCGCTTGTAGCCCATCTGTACATGAATGTATTCCGCCTTCAAAGGGTGTAGCCTGTTATGTCGCTCTACACGTATAAATAAGTACGACGTCCCCGGTGACTTGCCTGTCCCGCCCATCTGATAGGCAGACGAGGCAGCCAGTCACCGAACCAAAAGGGACAAACGCGCCATGTTCAAGTCGAGTCATCTGGCATAAAGTTCTTCTGTTCTTAGCAGATGTTGGTGTTACTAACACCCGCTACGTGGACTCACATAAACAACGTTTAATGAGGCTGTGTAACTCGAGGTAAAGCTCGTTAAGCAGCAGCTCTACCTTGCCTTACCTTACCTAACCTTACCGGAAGCTAAAAGGAAGGCGCATGTTGTGCTGTCTTGCTTTCCAGTCGCTGCCTCGTCATCCTCCATCCTTCACCATCGTCTACCATTTAATTCTCCTATTCGCAGCATCACCTTTTGTGATTATCTTTTTGCAGCTGCAGCTCTGGAGTTTGCGGCAGTGAATCAGCGCAGCTCTCTCATCGACTGATTGCCATCGTTCGCTTGAGCGTCTCTATCAGCTTCAGCAGCCAGTTCGCCAGCTATCAGCATAAGCGCCTGCACATACTGCCTCTTTTCCCCCTCGTCTCTTCCAACACATACTGTCAAGTCTCCGAAAAGTGTCACAACTCCCCCCTTGCATAGCGATAGAGTCCATGTTATCGATCTGTACAAAGAGTTTCGCCAGCCTGAGTTAGTCGCCGGTTTCTCATTTACACAGCGAACTAGGTATGCCCATGACATCTGACATATGAAAATCGACGCTCTTCATATTGTCGGCTGTGTTCAATCTCTGCACTGAGTACACCTCCGGCAACCTCCCGGCGAGCCACTTTCGACATCTTTGCTATTTGTCCGCCACTAACTGGCAAGACACAGCACGATGGACCGTCCTGTTGACGAGCCGTGGCCGTCCACCACTCCAAGGACGTTCGAAGTAGTTGTCCCGTCGAGAGCGGACCGTCAAGCTGGTGACGGTGCCGACGTGCGCTCTGGCGATGTTCTTGCCCCCATCAATGACATTGACTACCTCGCTATACTAAAGCAAGCAAACGAAGACTGGGAGAGAGATCAGCGGCGACAGCGGCGACAGACGTCAAGTTCGGTAAAGATGGAGTTTGACACAACCGAGTTCCTGAAGCAGTCCCAATGGGACATGGTCATGAAAGGCCTCATGTCTGAAGAGGAGATTCAGTCGTCTCGATTCGCTGAGGCATGCAAGTTGCGAGTCGTCGAGCAGGAGCTCATCTCAGGGGACACGCTCGTCTTTGTCGACTTTCCGGATGTATCACGCCGCCGATCGAAGCAGACCGACTGCTACGGCATATCTTATTCGTCACAGAAGCTACGCGTGCACTCGGAAAAGTTGCTCGCAACCGGCTCTGCCAAGTTCGCCGAGATGCTGAGCCCGACGTACCAGTTCCGTATCAAAAGACGGAAGAAGCTGACAAAGGATCTTCCGGAAGGCGTCAAGTACGTTCTCGACTTGACGCCGCAGTCTGAGGGCGATGAACTCGTCTCACAAATGACGCAATTGTCTCTCACCCCCGGAATCATCAGGTGGTGGGCTGCCAGCGGTCTTCACAAGGTCAGCAACTGGCTGGTATCTGGACATGACGATGTTTGCACCTGTGGTCGGCAACACATCCCCGGCTGGGGGGCCCCGAGACAAGACGGGAGGGGACAGGTACAGGGACAGGGACAGGAAGAGTCGGCACCGAACGACAACAAACCGCCAGGCAGCAATATCAACGACGTTGTGGTTACCGCTCCTACACCAGACGATCTCATCTCGAAGAAAGAGCATGGCATCAACCAGCCTTACGACATCCCGGATTACCGCAACATTCCTGACTACTGCCCTATACGCCACCGCAATAGCATTATCCGCCTCCTGATGATGATTGAGGGACAGGACATCATGCTCGACTCGGCGAATCGTGTCTGGACCCTTGTTGCGGTGGCCAAGATCTTCGACTGCACGTCTGTGATCCGAGACCGAGTTGCCCAGTGGCTCATGTTCTCGGCAAACACCAAGTTCATAGAAGTCCTCCCGGAAGAGGCACTCCAGCTTGGATTTGACCTGGAGCTTGTGCAGGTCACGCAGTGTGCTTTCCGGATCCTTGTCAATGAGTTGGCCCTCAAGGAAGCCGCCAGTCAGCCGCACCGTGGTGATTCGAGCTCTGATCCCAATTGGGTCACCGTCTTTGGCAGGAGACTTGGGAACCTGGATGATGAGCTGCACAACATTGTCCAGCACGCCGCTCGGGCTTTTGTTGAACGAGTGTCGGCGATACCAGGCAAATTCCGCGGTTTTCACCATTTCAAGGTTGAAGAATATGCGAAGCTACGGGAAATGGAAGAAGTGCTGGCGCAGCAATCCGACGAAGCCAGCGTCAAGGCTTCCAAGTCTATGTCTGTGCTGATGGCGGCGATGCGTCGTAGCATCTCAAACGCCTATTCCCGGCTTTGGGTAGGAACGAATACGGAGCAGGAGGCGCTTGCTTCCATGGACGAGGATCGAGCTACATATGTGTTGCCGGAGGACTTCAGACGGCTGGAGGAGATCATACCCACGCTGAATCTCAACCAGAAATTCCTGTTGCCGTTTGCATACCAGCATATGAGCGAATGGTGGCATAATGACCCTACGCAGTCCAAGTGGTTGGCTATGGCTAACCAGCTTTCGCCCAACTCGATCAAAGCAAATATGATTGCTGCAATGGACGACATCCAGCAAGCCATCACTGCAAACCCCGAGAGGGCAAGCCAACCACAATGGGCGATATTTTTGGATCCTACGGAGGGGCCTCTCCGCGTCAAGAACCCGCTCATCGACCTGGAAGCCCTCAATCGACAGATGCACGATGCCACATTGCGGTACGGCAGCTCGTGGCTGCGATTTGACATTGAGCCTGCGCTGAACATCACGCGCCACTTGCTTCTCACTCTCGAGAACAACGAGCTCAAGTATCTCCCGCTCTGGGCCGGCGGCTGCAATGACGGCACTGGGGGCGTCTTCCAGGAAGAGCTTCCTCCTGCCGACTGGGGACCGAGCGGCCCTGGGCCTGCCTATCATACCGGCATCACGATTCCCTCAACATCGAGCACCTCGGGGTCGCTGGTTGACGGCTTCTCTGCCTTCAACGTCAGGGGGAGCACCGTCGTGGGATCCGTGGACGTGCAGGATGGAACATCGACTGTGTACGCGCCCGACCACGTCATCCCCGACGACACCTCGATCGCGTCCGAGTCCTTTGAGGTGGACGGACCCGAGTCCTACCAGGAGGCGCGATTTGCGGTCCCAGCCGAGCATCAGGACATGGGTCACGCGGTGGACATGATGGTGGAATCGCTGGACTCTGATTCCGATACGGCGTCGGTCACGACAGATCGGGTGATGATTATGGGCAGCGCTTTGGAGAGCGGCGCTGAAGAATTCGATGAGGATGGGGATGTTATGAGTCTTGATGATTAAGGATGAGCAATATTTCCTGCGTCATGAATGTGGTGGTAAGTTGGCGTGGAATCTTACGATTTGGGTATGCGCTTTGGTTATTTATCCCCTGTACTTTTCAAGGGATGGGCAATTTGGGAATTTTGTTGGATTATCCTGGGTTACAAGGAGGATTTGGATGAGAGATGAAAGTTATGACTACCTACGAATAGATTGACAGCGCAGCCTCGCAACATGAGCAAGGAGTCTGACTTGAGAGCCGTCTATTTAGAATCTGAAGTTCAAATCCTAGCAGTTCTGGATGAATGAGAATGGTCTGCAAGCTGCGTTCATCTTTTAAGTGTGCTCTACACAGTTCATGGTCATCTCTAAGTGTGCTCTACACTGGCAGTCCATGGTCATCGACTACACTGCCAAGGCACCGTCTTGTCCAGGCAGAACCGAACCGGGAAGATACCCAACCAGCCATGACACCCGCGGAGACTTTGACGGATAGAATCTGGGATAATTACTTTCTTCGACTTTAGAGTTTTCTACATGCTGAAGGTTTCCGGTACGCCTTCTATTTTCAAAAGTCACGGCGAGACGGCATCGCGATCCGCGCCACTGAGATACAGCTTGATTCAAGCCCTACCACTGTGAGTGAAGCTTTCGGCGACATTTGACTCTCATTCAACAAACTATCACAAGGCCTCACTCAACACTCAACAAAGAAACAAAACTTGACCGAACTATAGAGAAAGTATAGATACGTAGAGGTATATAAGGCAGAAACATTCCCACCTCATCAACCTGACAATGAAAAATGTCACCTCCTCTCACTCTTCGGAAAACACAAATCGAATCCTTGCATCCTCCTGCTACAACTTTGAGCGTACATGCCGCCGGGCACAAACATCAGCCGAAAGCTTCTGCGCCCAACTGCAGGTCTGTCATCCGAGATCGCGTTGTGCAGTCGTTCATGTTCTCGGAGAACACCAAGTTCATGGAAGTACGCCCTTCCAGAAGGAAGAAGAGGCCCAACGCAGCTTGGGTTTTGACACTGGAGCTTGTCTGCAGATCACGCCATCGGTCAAAGCAAACATGGATCTTCACAATGGACGACATTCATCCAGCAAGCCCATCACTGCAAACCCCAAGAGGTCTGGTGGCAAGCTCACCCACCCGTGGGCGATATTCACGGATCCCTCGTCACGCTTTTTTCGATCCTCGTCCGTTTTCGAGCTGGGGGCTTGAGCAAGGCAAGCAAGAAGAAGAGGGTCAGCTTATCGTCCCTTTTTGTCACTGAGGTCTGGTGCATTCTGCCGCTGGACAATTGGCTTTTTATGATTTCTTTCTGGGAGGGCGGAAGGCAAGAACCTTATGGGTTGGTTGGCTTTTTTTTGCACCAAATTGCTGAGGTCTTCATCGATGATTGTTCATCGACACATTTCAGCCGTGACGCGAGTTGATACAAGTTCGGCTGGGGAGGTGTGTGGTTCGTTTTTTGGACATGACCGGCCCTTACGATGGTAGGGAGGACGACGGGAGGTTTGAGGAGAGATTGTGCGTGTACGGAGTTGAGGCTCCAAGGAGAAGCCATCACTCTACCCTTTTAGGCTCTTGCTTGCGTGTGCTGCCTGTCTATACTGCAAGGTATGGGTAGATGGACTGCATGTTTGGCGGTGTGCGGTCGTCAAGGGGGATAGTCTGGGGGAGCAAAGATGACAGCTGTCTGGTCTTGAGATGGTTATGGGTTCATGTTAGTGTAACGACTCCATATGCCATGACCACCTGTCTAGACGGGCAGTAAGTAGAGGGGCGTTGTCTTTATATAGGGTGATATCAAAGCTGGTTTGTCTATTCATGTTCCGTATGTATAAAACCCAGAGAAGTAATCAGATGTTTTTGCAAAAACGCTTCGCCTCGCCCAATGCATTACCGCCAGCCCCCAATATTCAACCGAAAGAAAACACGCAAAAATTATGACGCAAATTTGAATCCCCCATCACCCCATGTTGAGCGTATTCCCCGACCCCTTCCTATTATCGTCCGTAAAGTCGTCCCACGCCCTCGCCTTGTACGTCTCCCGATCGACAGCCTCCATGTCATCCTCGTCCACAACCTTCTTCGGAGGCTCCGTGCCGCCGCCCTCGAGGATGCCGCCCCGCCGCTTCTCCTCCTCCAGATACTCGTCAATGGACATTGTAGGCAGATTGTGACCCGGCCGGAACACGCCCCTTGCGAGGTCGGCGCGAGACCCAACCAGCGTAAAAGGCTGCAGGGGCTTCCCCTTTGTCGACAGCAAAGGACCGCCCGCGCCGGGACGAGACCCGTTGAACGGCTGATCAAGCCGAAACGACGTATCGGCAGGATCTTCCCTGCCCGTCGTCGGCGCGGCGCTCGGCGACGGCGCGGACCGCAGCAGCGGCACCTCGCGATTCAGCGAGTCGAGCGCCTGGAACGTGCTGTGCACCGCAAACTGGATGTTCGTCAGGTGCAGCTCGCGCACCAGCTCCTCGTCGCCGTGCTCGAGGTACCGCGGGTTCCGCCGCAGCGCCTGCAGCTTCTCCTTGAGCGCCTTCTCCGCCTTGAAGCTGGCAATCTTGCCCTCCCGCTTGGCCGCCATGTCCGCGCCCGCCGCCACCACCGCGAAGCCCTCCTCGTCGTCGCGGTACCGCTCCAGCAGCTTGTCGTACGGCGGCGTCAGCAGTCCGTAGCCGTCCACCATGCTGAGGAAGCGCTCGTATGCGGCCCTCGCCTGGCCGAGGACCTGCAGCCGCTCCTTCGGCGCAAGATGCGGCGTCCGCTGGACAAGCTCGGCAATGTAGAAGTCGACCAGCAGGTACGGCAGCGAGGACGTCGCAATGTCCTCCGCGCCCTCGTTGGCCGAGAAGAGCGAGAGAGCGGCGATTTGGTCGCGGGCCTGTGCGTACAGCTTCAGCGCTTCGGCGAGGTCTTGTGCGTATTTCGGGGACGTGGCGATGGGTGCGTCGAGGACTTCTTGGCGCTTTGCCTCGGCGGCTTCGAAGATGGCGCGCAGCGATTGCGGCTCGTCGGACGAGGCCATGATGGGTGCGTTGAGATGCTTTTTGTATGTCGGCTGCTGTGTCGGACTCTGGTACAATTGCGTTCTTCTTCTTCGGTGTCTTTTGAGGGTGATGAAGCTGTAATGGTCGGGTGTCTGTAGGTAGTTGAAGGTCGGTTTGTAAGAAGATGGAGGGGCGAGTCTGGAAAGAGCAAGAACAGTGGTGGAAGCTTTGCTTGCCCCTCCAAAGGACAAAGCTCCTATCGATAACAGCCGCTTATACTGTTCAACACCAAGAGGGCGTAAACATAATAACTTACAAGACTCAAGCACACAACTACGTTACTTGCATCTGCTGCCGGACATCATGCAACAGAGAATCAGCTTGTTCATTCATTCGTCAAGCGAAAAGGTATTCCATACAAAGATATTCCGTACACACAACAAAAAGCCAGCAAATAGTAACTAGACCTGCCATCCTCGTTCCTCAACCAAGGCCAACCTGACTACGACAGTATATGTCGAATGAACCTATGTACCAGATAACCCAGCCCCCCAAAAAAGACATAATCATGAGCTCTCGACATAAAGACCGGCTAGCAAGTGCCTCCGCTTCAGTCTGAATCGTCGCCCAGCTCAAAGGGGTCATCGTCTTCATCATCCTCATCGTCAATGATGACCTTTCTCTTCGCAGCCGCAGCCCGTCCGGGTCTCTCCCGCGCCGCCGGCCTTGGGGCAATCGACGCATCCTCCTCGTCGAATTCCATATCATCATCCTCGTCCTTACGTGCCTTCATAGCCGCCTTCTTGGCAGCATATCTCATCGCAGCGGGTGACAAGGTATTCAGTGTGGGCGCAGGGTTGAGCGTCGTCTTGACCCTGCTTGCCGCCTTATCCTTTGGTTTCGGCACCCTGCCACGCTTCTTGGTTGAAAGCAAGCTCTCCGTTACCGAAGCCTTGACGGCAGGCTTGGACTTGGCGGCATTTGAAGAAGTACCCAAGATATCGTCATCATCCGACGCTTCGTCGCCTTTCTTGGGCTTGTAGGGCGACGGCTTGGCCAGCATCTCGTAGTTGGTCTCGTCGGGGCTGTCGAAATCAAACGCTTTGGCTGATTTGGCCTTGGACTTCGAGACCGCTCCAGTGCTCGTATTGCCGTGGCTCGAGTCCGGCCGGCTCATCGTGTGCAGACTCAGTCGTGCGCTTGTCTCTCCAGACGGCTTGTCGATCCCCTTAACCAGCGCGCCAACGTCGCCAAGCATCTTGTCATCGTCCTCATCACTGTCCGAGTCGGCGTCGAACAGGGTTCTGGCCTTGGAGGCTGCAGCTCGCCTGTTGCGGCCGGGCGCCGCCTCTGGCTCCTCCGACTGCGCCAGTGAAAGAGGCTTCGAAACCGACCGCGATCTAGAAGCCTTCGCATCAACGTCGAGAAGCTCATCGTCCTCGTCACTGTCCGAGTCGGCGTCAAACAATGTTTTGGCCTTGGAGGCTGCGGCTCGCTTGCCGCGAGCGGGCACAGCTTCTGGCTCTTTCGACTGCGACTTAGAAATCGGCCTTGAAGACGCCCGTGATGCAGGCGCCTTCACGCTAACGTCGTCAAGCATCTCGACGTCGCTAAGCATATCGTCGTCCTCTTCGTCACTGTTCGAGTCGGCGTCAAACAAGGTTTTGGCCTTGGACGCTGCGGCTCGCTTGCCGCGAGCGGGCACCGCCTCCGGCTCCTTCGACTGTGACTTAGGAACCGGCTTGGAAGACGCCTTCGTATCAGAGTCGTCAAGCATCTCGACGTCGTGGAATATCTCGTCGTCGTCGTCTTCGTCACTAGCGGAGTCGGCGTCGAACATAGTCCTTGCCTTGGAGGCTGCGGCTCGCTTGCTGCGGACGGGCACCACCTCTGGCTCTTCCGACTGCGACTGAGAGATCGCCTTCGAAGTCGATTGTGATGCAGACGCCTTGGCAGGTGCCGGTTTGCTTCTGCTAAGGGCAGCGAAATCGTCGTCCGAAAAGTCATCCAACTCGACGACCTCCGGCTGCGATTCCTTCTTGGGCTTAGGTTTGGCACTGAACATCTCGGCAAATCTCTGTGCAGTCTTCGTCTCTGGCTTAGGCGCTGGAGCTGCCTTCTTGCGGCCCTTCTTCTCCGGCTCGTAGTCGTCGTCCGCCTTGGGCTTCTTACCGCGGCCCCCGCCAGCTCCTATCTTCTTGGACACTCGGCGGCCCATGCGACGAATGTTGGTTTGGATCTCGGCGCTGAGGGCCAGATACTTCTCCCATTCGGCCTCGAAGGCGCTGAGGTCTTCGCACCACAGGTCCTTTTCGCTCTTGGCCGCCAGCTCGTCGTACTCAGCCTTCTTCCTCCGGATAGCATCTTTCAGCTTCTCAAGGCGTTCTGCCGTCAATGACCAAATGGGCATCTGGAAGACCGTTAGACTTTGCGTCACATAACAGCTGGTCTAACTAGCAAAACTTACCGAAAGAAGGTAGTCGTAGTCACGGGCGCTCTCTTCACCCTCTTCGTCATCCTCTTCTTCTTCCTCTTCCGTCTTCTTCGTGTTGGCATTCTTGACGGGAGGGAAGGCCTCGTATTTGCTGTCTCGGAGCTCCTTCACCAGGACATCCTTCCTCTTCTTACCGACGATCAAGTCCCCGTCGATGATTTCTTGGATAAAGCGCGCCTGGTTCTTCAACTTCCGGTGGTCGGCATCGTAGACGCCAAGCCAGTATTTCTGCGTGATTTCCATCAGTAAAAGTGCTCGCAAACAGCCGTGGTCCTAAATCTGCCCTACCTTTCGCTTCGAGTACATATCCAGTCGGTAGACGTAGTACTCTTCCAAAATATCCTCAACCTTTTCGTATTTGCGAATCTGTCCGTTAGTATTGAAAGCGACCAAGTTCGATGTGGCCACCTGCTTGGTGAGCTTGAACCGCTCAAGCAGGCCTTCCTCGAGCACCTTGGGCATGTGCTTCTCGTCCACTTGAATCTCAAAGTGGACCGTCTTGTGGTCGTTGAACTCCTTGTAGTCCTTGATCCAGCTGGGGCCATCCACGCCGCTGATGATCTTTTCAAGGCGAGCCTTGAAGTCATCAGTCCAGACGCGGATCGGAAGCTCGGTAATGACCACTTCATTTGGGTTCTGTTCATTCTGGTAAGCAATACCATTGAACTTGTAGCGGTCAGGACCAGCAGCTTCCGGTGTGCCCTTCCAGCCGCGGAACCAGGGAGTCATCGTCTCGAACGGCTTCTCTTCATCATCGCCTGGGTCCAGACGACCCATTCGTCGCTTCAGATTCTTGACAACCTCCAGCGGGTGATAGTTGGGAATGGAGGTACTCCAACCGGTGCCGATACCGTCGGCACCATTGATAAGCACCATGGGCAGGATGGGGGCGTAAACCTCGGGCTCGATTTGCTTGCCATCCTCATACTGGTGCTTCAGGTTGGGATCATCGAGCGAGGAAAAGATCGAGCGGGCAAACGGGGACAGGCGAGTAAAGGTATAACGAGGACTGGCAGCGTCAGAGCCGCCGGCAAGTCGAGAACCAAAGTTACCGCTGGGCTCCAGCACATTGATGTTGTTCGATCCCACGAAATCTTGAGCCAGGCCAATAATGGTCTGCTGCAGAGAGGCTTCACCGTGGTGGTAAGCAGTCAGTCCGGAGACGTAACCAGCCAGCTCCACAACCTTTTCGTCCTTGACCACGTTGCGCTTGAAACATGCATACAGCACCTTTCGCTGACCGGGCTTCAGTCCGTCAATCATGGACGGGATGGATCTTATGTTATCCGCCATGCTGAAGAGGATGAGCTCCTTGTTCACAAAGTCGCTATAGGTGATGACCTTGGAAGAGTGGTCAAGATAGGTGCCGGGAACAAAGTTGCCCAGCCATTCCTTTCTCGCGTCGGCCTTTTTCTTGGAGAAGGCCAGGTCAAACATTTCCGCCTCTTCCGGCTTCATGACACTGAATTCTTTCAAGTGCTCGTCAAGGTTTGTGAAGTACACCTGGGCATCTTCGTTGCTGCTACTGCCCAGACCCTTCAAGTACTTGTAATGCCATCTCGAGATTTCACTGCCGCGCTCCTGCTTCCATTCCTCGTACTGAGGTTGAGTGAAGAAGGACTTGAGTCTCTGAGGCTTCTTGGGGTTGGGCCCTTGCCAGACCTTGACAATGGGCGTGATGAATTCTCGGAAGAAGTCGGGGATTTGGAGCAGCGAAGGGAACTGCACTTGAAGGAAGTTGATGAGAAGACCCTTGATGTGACTACCGTCGTGATCCTGATCGGCCATGATCATCAGGTGGCCGTACCGAAGGCTTTTCGTGTCCGTGTACACCTGCTTGTGCTTGAGGCCCAGGAACTGCTTGATGTTCTGGATCTCTTGATTCTTGGTGATCTGGTCGATAGAAGCGTCTCGTACGTTGAGTAGCTTGCCACGGAGTGGAAAGACACCGATTCGGTCGGGATCCAGGATGGCTCGTCCAGACACGGCCAGACCTTTGGCGGAGTCACCTTCGGTCAAGATCAGCGTGCACTCATGTCCGCGCCGAGTACCCGCCAAGTTGGCCTCGACCAGCTTGGCATTGCTCACTCGTGAGCGCTTGTTGCCATCGCTCTTGGCCATCATCTTGTCTGCTTTTCTTTCGGCAAAGTCCATGATGTTCTTGATCGCGTCGGACTTGGCCACCTTCTTCAAGAAGTCATCTCCCAGGACACACTTGCTACCAAATTGGGAAGCCTTGGTGGTCATCTGCTCCTTGGTCTGGGACGTAAACGCCGGGTTGTCGATCAAGCAGTTGACAAAGATGAAGATGTGGTTTCGGAGATGCGCCGGCTTCAGGCCGTGTCCCTTCTTCAGCTTGGTCACAGCCTTCAAAAGATACGCTGTGATCTGGTCGGCGATGTAGTTTACGTGAGTGCCTCCAGACGTCGTTGCAATCGAGTTGACAAACGAAACCTGCTGGAATGTACCGTCTGACACGGTGAAGCCGACTTCCCAGCGGGGATGGCCCTTGTCCTTGTCGATTTCAACGGTGCAGGTTGGGTTGCCACCCTCCTCCATGCTCCTCTCGCCCGCGATGGACTTGGCATAGAGGTCGCAGTAGGACTTGAAATCCTTGATCTTGATGAGCTCGCCGTTGAGCTGCACCTTGACACCTCGCATTGTGCCAGCCATGTCGTAGACTCTTCGGTAGAGCAGCGCCTCAAGATCGTCTGTGATGCCTTCGTCCATTCCGAATCGAGCGTAGTCCGGCTTGAAGGTGACCCGAACGAAATCGGATGACTTGTTGGAGGTGATTTTTGCCTTGTGCATGGTCTGCATGTTGTTTGTCCACTGCTGCTTGTATCGCTTTCCGTTCTCGCTGTCCTGGCATTCTAGGGTGAATTCTGTGCTGAACACGTTACACAGCTTCGCACCATAACCGTTTCGACCACCGACGGTCTTCTTCTCGCTGTCGTCAAAGTTGGAACCAGCCAACAGGTGACCGAAAATGAGCTCGGGAATGTACACATGCTCCTTCTCATGCATGACAATGGGGATTCCCTTGCCATTGTTTTCGACGCTGATTTCGCCGCTTTCGCGATCGATGGTGACCTTCATCATGTTCATGGTGCTGTCGCGCTGTTTGTTGTCGGCAGCGTTGACGAGAATCTCGTCAAAGATCTTGTAGAAACCAGGGACGTAGGTGATATTGCGATACTCCATCTGCTTCGACTCTTTGTTGTACACCCACATTTGCTGCTCCGTCTTTTCTACGGAGCCAATGTACGTATCGGGACGCTTGATGATGTGTTCGAGCTGGGTCAGCTTTTGGTAGGTTTCGGTTGCCGTCTTCTTCTTCGAGGCGGGCTTGGATTCGTCGCCGTCGTCGTCGAGAACCATGGTGTCGTTTTCCAGCTCTGCAAGAGGCTTGCTGCCCGACTTCTTAGGAGGGGCCGCCGTCTTTTGCTTCTTGGATGTAGGCGGAGTGTTGGAAAAGCCGGATGAGGCATCTTCCCCGTCTTCATCGCTCTCGACGATGGGGCGCTTCTTCGGCGCCGGTTTGCCTTTTAGAGTGGTCTGCACCATCTTTTTGACAGCAGGCTTCGCGGCAGCCTTGGCCTTCTGCAGTATAAGGTTAGCTGCTGAAGGAAAGGAAAGCTGTGGATAGCCGAGAGGATGGTGGGAAAGAAAGAGGTCGCAGTAGTTTGCGTGTTGGACGGAAGAGGCGATGTTGCTAGGCTGCGCAGCAGAGAATGTGGAAACGAGAACAAAGTGATTCGAGGCTGAGCAACTGAGGCCAAAGCAAAAGGGTAACGCAAAGGCCGCAGCATAGCATAGCACAGCGGCGCATCACAGCGCAGCTCCAGAGTTGGGGCTTTCTATGCGACAAGATAAGGTAATCAACTTACGGGCTTTGGAACGTAATCTTCCGAATCATCTTCAATGTTGAAGACGGAATCGTCGTCGGAGTCCATGGCGTCGGTGCCTTTCTATGGCGAGCCGGCGAAATTTCGCAGTGCTCCAGAAACTCGCGATCGATAACGCAGTTGACGAGACAAGGGCGATGCTGAAGGGCTTGAGACCCGCGGCCGTAACAAAGGAGAGTTGGGCCGAATGACTGCAAAGCTTCGAGGGGCTGTGCCTCTGAAACGAAGAAAAAGGCGACGGAAGAAAAGGGAATGACAATGACCCAGACCGAGGCGACAAGAGGCCCTCGTCATCGATGAGCCGGAACAAAGAACGATGCTGGCTCGAAGGAAAGGCGATGATATTTTTCTTGTCTGTTGTTGAAGCCCCGCGTAAACAAATGTTCGATCCTTTGTTTGACGCGACATGGCTATCGCAGTTGCCGCACTACGACCAATTCGGACTAGTAAGTGCCCATGAGTGGAGCGCGTTTTTTGGTGCCTGAGGCGCTAAGTGAGCCTGGCTTATGGAGGTACCTGGCGGTGAATCCGGGGTGAGATGCGGCAGAAGTACACCGGTGGCGGCACAAAGCGGGTCGGTACTTGCTCTGTAACTGAGCCGGCTGCAGGGTGGTGTACTGCTCTATGTGCCCATGAAGCGGAAGGCATGATCATGATGCTTCTGGGCTTCAAATTACATATATCGACTGCAGGTACTCAGACAAACTTCAAATCTTTTCATAGCAGTCCAAACGCCTCGAGATATTCTTCAGAACGACTATCGAAGCACTCTCGAATCGTCGCTCATCATCCGTTGGTCATTCTTTCATTGGCGTCATGCGCCCCGAGCATTGAATGTTTGCCCAATTTCCCAGGCTCTGCGTGCAAACAAGAGACTGCGTTCGTTGGGATGTCAACTCCATACGACACCGTCATCAAATCTCCTGAGTTTTCGACTGCAGCATCATTTGACAGTCTCCAGAGCGTACCGAGTTCGACTCTGCACGCCAGAACAACGCTACAAGTCTCGTTCGATCCCGTCGTGTCAATCTTACCCTAGAAGCTTCGCTGACCGGTTCAGCAAACATAAAAGCTAACCTTTGCGTGACGGTGTGACCCTGTGGAATGGATCACGGCAGCCATTCCACTGCTGCTGGTGGGATAAATCGGGATCAAAAGTGTTCCATCTCGTCATGGCCAGCGCTTAAGGTGTAGTCAATCTACCTTACTTGCGTAGGGTGCTCGACAGACCCCCCTCGTTAATTTCCGAGCTGTTGCTTTCGATGGGAGAACCTCTCGGCTGGCCGCATTGCTTCACACACCAGAACAAATCAATCAGCAGCTGCAAATCAGATCTACTCTCCGAATGCGGTATCTGCTCTCAAACGCCATGCAAGATGGAATCTGGAATGCACGGTGCAAGTGTCGAGGCGGTTCCGTGCATAGCACAGGGCGTTTACATGCCCATGTCTGCAAACACCCGCCTCAGGTTCAGTCTTCTCTGCCCAGGCTGACAGCAGGAGAGTACATACACAGTACCTGTCGTTGCCTTCGATGTCCCGTGTACCACTTGAATACTGTGCCATCATCTGAAACCCCTGCTGTGGATATAGACGGGCCCTTGTGCCATGTCAGGTACGTTTCCTTTCATGATTCTCTTTTGTACAAAGCTGCCCCAAGCGTTCGAGAACTATACTACCGGTATCTTTACTCAAGTTATCTTTAGAACATGTCCATTACTCAAACGGAGGGGCAGCCGGTCAAAGCATGGGCAGTCTAACGGGAGCCTGGAAGCCCAGTGCCGCCGCTCTTCTGCGTTTGCCTTGTCATTCTGCTCCGAAAAAAAAAGGTTGAAGAAACACTGGTCACTTGACTTTGCCGAGGCATGGCACCCCCGCCGGCTTTCCGTTTTCCACGTTCCATTTCGTGATGGCATAGAAGCAAATAACCAGTGCGAGGAACTGATGGTTGCATGCCGAACCATCGGGCCGTGACAATCAGCCTGCAGGTCCATGATAAGAGGCGTTGACAGGTGCGGTGCGTATACCGCCAGGCTTGACTCGAGCCCGTTGAGGACACTACTCCCGATGCAGAATCGTGCTGGAAAGCTGCATGAGCCCTCTGATACATCTGCTCGATGCCGTGGCTTTGTGCAACAGATATGGCCTGCCGCTGGGCGATCTGATGCGAGCCGCACATGGAAGGGTTATGCTTAGATGCTTGAGACTGCTGCTCACTTCCGAGTCGACTTCACTGGCAATCGATCGGTTCAGCCGCCGAAATGACTCAAGGGAAGGGGGCTTCTCTTCATCATATCCTTGTCCCAACCCTCCGCTACCGAGTTGGATTCACGAGGTGATTAAACTTGTGCATCATCGGAGAATTTCCCCGAGCCCGTACACACATCCTCCACGGCCTTTGTCCCGAGATGAATGATATGGAATGGGTAACATGGACCCTACTGTGTTTGTCGATCGAATCTTCCGCTGGCTAGGGAAGGACATGTTGACCTTGACACTAGCTTACGGGCTTTGTCTGGACTTACGCCTATCCCGCGGGTTTCTGCTCAAAGCTCGCTCTCAATGGCAACTTTCATGCCTCATTTGCAAACCAACTTCGTCATTGGAAAGGAATAAGGTTACAGATAAGATCCCCTGATGCCAATGGTTATCCGAGACAGACAGAAACTCGAGCCATATGATGCCGCTCCAACACGTGGCTGATTCGAAGGTATCCTGTCATACTTGGAAAGATGTCAACGGATAGATGGAACACAGTCCCAAGCCTCTTGCTCTATCCCGTGCTTCGTAAAGAACGCAATGGACTGGGGGAGAACTGACCAGTGATGCCGCCAATGCAACCAGCCGATCCGATAGCCGCTTCTGTCAACGGACAAAAGATGACATTCAAACAGGTGACTATCCTGCTATGCGTGCGGCAGCCGGTATTTGCGTTCGTCGAGCCCATTTGCTCTGGTAAGCGATGATCCGGAATGCCTCATCTAGAGTAACGTCGTCTTCCACTGAGAACGGCGGTTGTCTGCAGTGGTAGCGGCGTCATGAAGCTGAGATGGTTTGATTGACAGGTCCTCGATCATGCGTCTTGAACAGCGTTGTGTGCAAGTGCCACCGCTCACTGGCATCTGGACCTCTGGACTACGCGGACGATGAGTTCCCTCATGCTTCATAGCCGAGGGGCGCTCCAACGCATACCCGCTGATTTGCCTGCTGGGCATGCGAACCGAAGCTCATAAGCTGCGATTTGGGGCATGGGGGGCCTGGACATCCTGATTCTTCCAGCACACAGCGTCCGGAGGGTCTAATAGGCAGCAACAGGATACTCTCCGCTCACCAAGTTCGTGAGAAGCTGTCCGAAGCCATTGAAGCTACTTTGAGCTGCTCATTCACATACATTTGAAGCACTGGCGGCCATCGCTACTTTGGGAACCTGCGACGAGATATTCTTGGAAGTCCCATTTCCTGGCCCGCCAACGTCCGTTAGAAACCCCGGGGTCTACTGCGGGAGACCTCGGATGTCCTGGCCGTAGCGGAGATTCACAAACGCAGGAAGCAGAAGCTCATGGGTGTTGGACACCGAAACCCGAGCGCTTGAATCCGAAAACCTCATTCCGGAAGTCTGGGGCGCAAACCTCATCCAAAAGACGCACCTGATCGGCGACCGCACCGTTAAGTGTTTAACGTCCCAGATCCCCGCAGCTCTTCTGTGGCCCGGATCTGTGGCCCCTTATTGACGGACAATCAAGCCCAGATCCCTAGCCAGGCGGACGATACATCACAAGCTACTGTCCTCTCATTGTTGTTTGCTAAAGTAGATAACCGAACCACTGAGACTACCACGCCGCGCTCAACTGATCTTCTTGCCGCTTGCGACTTCGAAAGCGCTATCAAAGTCTACATCCCAACATCTGCCATATCCTAAGGGAAAGGCTACGCCCAGTGTTTAGTTCGACCCTGCTCGTTGAGTCTTCCAAACGGCTTGCTCATCTCGGCCTTGCCCGTCACCGGATCATACGATGCCGGCAAATACCGGTCGACAGATGCTACCTCTACAGTCCATGTTGAATCCTGCCTCGTCTGCACAGCCTGTTACGAGTTATCGACAGTTCGAGCCTCTGATGGCGGCCCCGTCGACATCATTACCCACAGAAGCATTGCGAACCACGAGAAATGCATCATCTGCAGCGCCAAAGGCCAAGGCTCATGGAAACCCTGTCGGGATGCCCAAGTCGAAGCCGCAAGGACCAGTCAACTTTGCCCCCTTCGAGGATCTCGATCAAGCATCGTATCGAGAGCTCCGGCAGTTTCAAGTTAAACCCCTTGGACAGATACGGCAGAATTGCGAGCACATTCCATACAACAGCTCAAAGAAGGACTTTTTCGAGAAGACGGGACGGGAAAGCATCGAAGGTAAGCGCCTCAGGGTACGAATTCCTCGCTCGACAGGCAGTCTAACGCGGCCCGGCTGCAGCTTTCAAGTATGAGTTTCGCTACAAAGACTTGAATTATACTGTCATGTGGGACTACAATGTCGGTCTCGTTCGCATGACTCCTTTCTTCAAGTGCTTGGGGTATGCAAAGGTAGGGAATCAACATCTTTGTGCCCCAATGTTGTTCGGATTCTCCTTTAGGTGACATACTAATCTCAAGTAGACCAAACCTTCGCAGATGCTGGATAAAAACCCAGGCCTCAGAGACATATCGCCCAGCATCACGGGGGGTGCAGTGTCAGCCCAAGGTGAGGGCACCGAAAGAACCCCTGTTCCCCCCTTTGTCTCTGGAAGGCTCATGATTTCTTCTTCCAGGATACTGGATGCCATACACCTGTGCAAGAGCCGTGTGCGCAACGTTCTGCGCTGGAATCGCGGGTGCTTTAATACCACTCTTTGGTCCAACGTTCCCGTCGCAGTGCACTCCTTCGGACTCGCCTTACTACAATGAGATGGTGATCGATCCACAGATCATCAGGCAAGCGATGGAAGACGTCGAGCGATGCCGCTATGGGCAGAGGAGTCGAGTGCCAAAAGCTGTCGAGGGAATGAATGGTCCTGTGATGCTTGGAGACTACCCTTTGCGCAGCAAACGAGAGTCTCAAACATCATCCGCCTTCAGACTGCCGTCCCGCCCCCAGCCGGCGCGGCCTCAACCTTTGTTCGCAGCAGTTCACGACTCTGGATTTCGCCAGCGCCCAATGGCAGTTCTGGCTCCAAGTACGGCGTGCAAAACGCGGGAAGCCAAGTCCCTCTCCCGAGCGGGCCGAAGCTCCTTTGCCAGCCGAACTGTCCTCGACCGCAATCCTTTCCAGTGGCAGAGCTCGTTCTTCGATGTATCATTGCGCACGGAGACAAGCGGAACCGAGAAGAATAGAGCAGAGAAGTGGCGGCCGAAGCGGCGTAGACGACTCAATGATGAAGATGGAACAGCATGTTCGCCTGTTCCGCTTATTGAGGCATACGAGGCGAGGCGGCCGCAGCAGGAGCTGGAGCGCTTCAGGGCAGCCGCCGCGTTGGTGAGTCTGCATAGCGAGCCCCGAGATTCAGAGCCTTCCTCTGCGGTAGTCGTGGAGTCATCAGAGGAGGACGTTCCTGAGCGGCGCCACCAAAAGAAACGACCCAAGGCACATTCCTTCTGAGGACGACGATTAGGGGTGAGGGGTTGCGTCGGTGATATTGTGAAGGTACCATTCGACTCTCCATCTATGTAATAATGGGATATCAAGATACCCACAGGATTGGCGCTTGCAGTGGGTTTGTTTCTGGGTCATCTTCTGGAAAGGTGCTTGAGACTTGACTTGTTCTTTGTGTGTATTTGGGTTGTCTAGTTTCGTCGAGGTTGACGAGTGTGTAGTAGTATCGACACCTGCTGTTATATCCCTTTACTCTTAACTCTTTGACCCCATCACTCCGAAAATGGAGACCCCTATTTGTGCCCGACCTTCCTAACATCTTCCGAAGACCCTTTCCTTATCAACCTCAGCCATCATCACCTCTTCCCCTTCTCCGCCGCCCGCTTCTCCTTGAATCCCTTGACCCATCCCTCCGCCTTCCCCGTCGGCACCACGAAGATCTTGACCACGTCATCCACAACCTCAACCTTGCCTCCACTCAACACCTTGAGCAAAGGAACCTTCTTCCCCATCTTGATCAACCCGCCATCCTTTGTCTCAACATAGCACGTCACCCCACCAAGCGTATACTCCCCCTCCTTATCCCACGGCAAGGGGAAGATGTAGCTCAAATGGTCCTCCAAGCAGTGCGTCTCCTGAAACCCCTTGATAAAGTCGCTCTCCAAATGCAGCGGATACAGCAAGACCGTCGGAAACGCCAGCTCCGACGCCGCGTCGTCCTCGTCCGGCACGAGCCGCACTTTTGCGTCCTCCATCTCGGGCGGCTGCTCCGTCGTCCGCGTCGCGATGCCCCTCGCCGCGAGCGCCGTCCTGAGGAGCAGCGCGCGGCGCTGCTTCTGCGCCTCGCGGGCGTCCGCCTTGCGCTTCAGCTCGGCGAGCGTCTGCGCGCGCTTGACGATGCTCTCGGCGACGCTCCGGAGGCTCTTGCTCTCGGGGTCGATGGCGAGGCCGCGCGCGCACGCGTCGTCGGCCTCCTCGATGCGGTCCACCGCCAGCAGGGCCCTCGCGCTGCGGTAGTACGCCTTGACGTTGCGCGGGTTGAGGCGGATGGCCGCCGCGCAGTCCGTCCAGCAGCTGCGGTAATTCTGCATCTCGAGGTGGCACGCCGCGCGGTTCACGTACAGGCTCTCGAGCATCTCCCTCTGCGACCGGATCTCGTCCTCGGAGTCGGGCTCCTTCGTCTCCGGGTGGCAGGTGACCTCGCCGCGGGCGCGCTTGCGCTCCTCGAGGAACAGCACGGAGATGCCCTTGCCGTAGAACTCGGAGGCGTCCTTGTAGCCGCGGACCTTGAAGCACTCGTTGCCGCGCTCCTTGAAGTCGGCGGCGTTTTCGAGGGGCGAGCCCTCGTAGGCGAGGGCCTGCAGGGCGGCGATGTCGTCGTTGTCCTCTTCCATCTCGGTCATGAAGAGCGGGGACTTGTTGAGGTCGGCGAGCACCTCGTCGACGGTCTTGTTGCGGTTCATGGCCAGCTGGGGAGGGAGGGCTGGGCCTGGGGCGGAGGAGGTGTTGCCGTCTGAGGAGGGTGTTGTTGTGTTGGCGAGGCGCATGGCCTGCTCGACTTGGTCTGCGAGCTGGTCGATGCTCATTGTGGGTGGTGATTTGCTTGTTTCTCTTATTTGCTGGATGCTTTGTTATGAAGGATGAGATGAAGATGTGAGTTGTGTTTGTTATTGTGTATGTCGCTGGGTTTTTCACTGAGATGGGCGTGAGAGATGAGTTTTGCAGAGGTGGCGCATGAGGTTGAATTTTCATGAGTCAAAAAATTTGCGTTGTGAGAGAGCTTGGTGTCTGTGGTTTAGTAGCCCAAGATTCTACCGTTTGCCAACAGCTTCGACAGCCAAAAAGAGCACATGAATGATGCGAAATGGATCTCTTTTCAACAAGGTGTATCAAAAACTGATGATTTAATGTTTGAATCTGTTTTCAATTGTTTCCAACACAAATTCTGCACCTGCTGCCAAACTTCTGCATATCGGCAGTGTAGTCGCATCTGTTCCAGCATCTCACAACCACCAAGCGGTCTTTCAATCAATTTGTACAGATCTCAACATTGAACTATATCGTCTAGTCTCTAATGCTATCTAGTCCTCTTCATTTTATGAGGACGAGAGAGAGATAAAATACTGCCTAGTAGTATAAGCATACACTTTTCCGGTTCCCCCCAAACGCCGAAATACACAGTTTATGTGCGCCGATTGTACATCCTTTGACCCATTCCAAAGTTGTAAACCATAAGCAATACCGACCAACGCAGACAGGAATCATCGGGTATATAGACCATCTGAACCTCGTTCCGTAACCAAAATGCCGTTGTATCGCGCGTAGACCTGTGCATCATGATTAACTTTTCCACCACTGCAACTTGCAGGTGGTGTCTTCGTGAAACGGCTCCTATTACAAGGATGCCGTTCAATCATTCTTGTGTCTTCTTTCTTTGCTCAAAGCATCATTTTATGATTGTCTCTTTGTGTTTCTTCAAATCTCGACAACCTCGACTGAAACTTCAGTGGGCCTGGCGGTTGAGAGATCCTCGGGGTCATCCTCGGATCGCTGGCAGTTATGATCTCGGGGGACGGAGAAGCATTGCACGGCGCCGATAACGGCAACCAGAGCGCTGCAGTACCACGGCAAGGCGGTGCAATCGACCTGACTGCCGAGTGTGTAGAGGTAGCCTGCGATCGGTGGCGCAATCATGCGGCAGGCGGCGCCAGCGCTGGCGGCCAAGCCGTTGACCTTGCCCAGGGCACTCGCAGAAGGGGTGGCCCCTTTGATCAGGATCAGGAGGAGAGGGTAGAGAGTGATGGAGAGGAGGTTGCGTACCGCAAGGCAGAAGTAGATGGCGGGGAAGAGGATGGATTCGGGAACGTAAAGGAGAAAGGGGACAATGGCGTAGGCGATGGGGTGCAGCACTGTGACAAGGAGAAACAGGCGGTAAACACCAATCTTCTCGGCTGCCAGGGGGAAGATGACGGCCTGCACAAACAGAGCGATGGCTCCGTTGACAGCCATGATCATTCCGACCTCTCGCAGAGACAGGCCCAGGCCTCCGGGAGAGTAAAAGGGCGAAAAAGCACCAAATTTGGAGAGAGTATTTACCGAGACTCGGTCATCTTCAAAGAAGATGGGCATGAGGTGGTCGTAGGTCATCGAGTGGTAGGTGAAGATGCACAGCGAGACGATAAAGCCGACGATGCGCTGGTTCCAGATCGAGGCGGGCTTCGTCTTTTCGGCTGCTGCCTCGCTCGAGCTGCGGTCGGAGCATTCCTCGCCGCTGTTCCTGCTGCCGTTGGCCCGAATCGTTCCGTAGGTCTCGTCGCGCAGATCCACCGCCGGGCGCTTCATGGCGTCTGAAGTCTCCAGCAGCGGCGTCTCTTCAGAGAGGTAGGTGTCGGCGGGCAGAAGAACTCGAGGCTTCATGTCGGGGTGAGTCTCTTCCAACAGGAAGATGCCCATGACGATGCTCATGAACAGAAGAGCGGCGCAGACAAGGTTGGGCAACAGATAGGGGTATCGCTCGAACAGAGAGCCCACGGGGAAGGCATCGGGCCAGGATTCGTGAGGGTCGGCAAAAGTTCCGCCAATGCAAGGACCGATGATGGTTCCAATGCTCCAGACGAAGGGCATGACGGAGAATGCTTTCGCTGAGGAAGGTCAGCCAGGTTCATTCGATTCATTGAAAAGGGTCTTTGCTTACGTTCATGCTCGGGCTTGGTGACGAGCTCACCAACCATGGTCTGAATGACGCCAATGTTGCCGTTGAGAAAACCTCCGATGGCGCGTCCGGCCAGAGCAATCCAGATGTTGGAAGCGAATCCCACCATGATCATACTAAGCATGGTGCCCACGCAGCCGAGGATGAGGACAGGCTTGCGGCCGACGCGATCAGACAAGCCGCCCCAGTACATGCCCATGAGGGCCTCGGCGAGGGAGAAGGAAGAGATGAGAAGGCCTGAGTAGAAGGAGGCATCTTCCTCGTTTCCAATCTTGAATCTCTTGACCAGAGGCCAGGCATAGGGAAAGATGGAGGTGAGAGCGATTGGTTCGGCAAGGCGAACAATGGCTGGAGAGTGTTAGTCCCAAAGCTCATGCCTTGTTGGATATTCCACTATACAAGAGAGAAAAGACTTACCAAGGAGAAAGAGCTGGAGGGTCGGGAAGTCGTCCGGGTTGCGAAGACGAGCCTGCTTTGTCAGGTCCATGTTTTCTTTGTTTGGTGTGCGCTTACGACAGCCGACACAGGCACAGACGGATAAGAGTGCGTGTGTTGATGTGCGTATAGAGAGGTTGCCGAGTCCCTGAGGCGGGTTGCGAGAGTTGGGCCTCGGGAAGGCTGATCAGGAGATGGAGACTCGAGTGGATCTAGATCGCCAGGCAGGCAGAATCCGCTTCTTTGATGCGTTCGATTGTATTGTGTTGCTAAGTTCTGCACATGGAGAGGCGAGAACACAGCAACGGTCTGCGATCAAGAAGAGTCGAAGCCTTATGGTGATGAAGAGGTGATGGTGAGGAGGGTAGAAGGCGGAAGAAACGGTGGGAGCAGGACTTTATTTCTACCACTTCTATCAAGGTTTGGGGCGTGCACAGTAAAAGACAGTGCGCATAGCCGAAGCGCGGTGGGGCTCTGAGAGCATCGATAAGAGAGACATGCATCTAAAACACTTAGCAGACTGTGGCTGCATGTGGCATGTGGGGGTGACGGATGGGTCGCATGCAGCATTGCGGCAGTTATGCAGGAAGCGAGGTCGCACGAGCCACGCGCTAGTCAGATTAGCCTCTGGCAACAGCCGCAAGCGTTGCACCCCGGGGGTCTCGATAAGCCGGTGAAGCTTTTTCGAGCATTCAAGGTTCAATCACACGCTCGTCTTTGTCTCTCTTCTCTTTAAGTCTTGCATATGATGTTTCACAACCGCTGCGTTCAACGGCAGATTGCGTAGGAGGGCGGAGCAGCATCAACCACCCAGTACTGACGACGATACTAACATCGCCTACTACAACCTCCCATCTGCAGAGTCTCGCGATGCATTGTCTCCGTCCGGCTCGTCGCCGCGTCTGGGGAAGGCCGGCTGTCTGTCTCCGTTGCTTCACCGTCCTTGTGCATGTTCGCATCTCCGAATCGCAGATCCGTATCGTTGCCACAGCATGCGACGCTGAGGTTGCAGCACTGAGAAGGAGAAGGAAGGATGATATGAAATCTCTTCACTTCTCCAACCCTAACAAGCAGCGATCAGCCAACGTCGAAGCGAACAGACCTTCTGAAATGTGACGGCGTTTGCCCGTCCAACGACGCACCTTGTGGCATCTTCACGTTGTTTGTTGGTCTCGTGTCGCTTGCTCCAGAGAAGACACTGCCATCCATCACATGCGCTGCCATTGGCTCTTCGGAGGCTTGCAACTTTTCCTCGTCCCCTCCGATCCTAGGAGACTTCTGGCAGCGATTGGCGGCGTCTGGCGGGTTCGCAGCAGCACCGACCGGCGCCACTACACAGTATATGCACATATCGCAGAGGCGCCATGCAATTGAGCGAGGCCACCGGCCAGTGGGGATTCTTCCCTGTTCCACGCCGCCCCACCCAAGACGGCAAGTTTTCGACAACTTTTGCATTTTAGCAGCGCAGCTTTGACGCAGGGCCCCGACGAGCCGAAGCTGCGAAAGGCCTTCATCGACGATCTGATCAGCTGCATCGCAGGAATTGCTTCATCCGGGAGTGACGCGGTCAATTGATGGCGATGCTCTTTGTTCCGATCTGGAGATGACAGGTTCTGTCTCAGACCTGACCAGGCACGGCATTTCATCGGATTGCCATGATGACCTCGCCCGCAGACACGGAAGATCGCCTGATGGCGCAGAGACAGTCGTGATAGTGACAGAAGCCTTGCGATGACCCGCGAATTCGGGCGACTGTCCGGTACAATCCACCAAGCGCACAGTGCAAAGCTGCTTTTCTTCTGCTAGCATCTCCCACCTCATCCGTCGCATTTGGTCCCCTTGCGCCTCTCGGCTTGCGCGAGCTGGTGGTCAATTTCGATTCTCCCTTGCCATGCAACCCCAAGACTGACAGCCGAACCAGAGGGTTGCATGCTCGTGTCTGCACTCGTACGTGCATACATACGTACATATAGGCGAGGCTGGCCAGGATATCCTCGCCCAAACGGCTCGAGTTGCCATTACTTAATACTGCAACGGCCAGGTCCATGGCGCCAGTTTTGCTCGGTCACGCTACACACTTTTGCTCCCCTCGGCGCCAATTTGATCGCTTCATGCAGCTTCCCAGCGCTAAAGACCTCGATCCGCAGCTGGTCGGGTGGCCAAAGGGGAAAGAGAAGGTGAGGAGGGTGAGGAGAAATGGTAGCTCTGGGGAGCTGCCGGCCTCGTTGAGCGCCATGTCCATCTTGCAGGTTGTCGAAGCCCGGAGAAGCTCTGGGAACTAAGGGGAATCGCCCACCTGCGCAAGAAGCTCCGGCTGCAATGGCTGGTTGAACATGCGGATCTGCACGGCATGAGGCCCCAAATCACCCGGGTGGATGGTTGGTTCCCCGCCTCGCGCCCCTCTCACGCTGAACCTCGTCCCTCATCCCTCCTCTTCTCTCCTTCTCCCTTCCCCGCCGCTCACCTTGGGTCTGGAATGTGTCTCGAATCGCCGCTGGCGGATGCAAACTGGCGGTCTGCTAAGTGACTCCCCGTGCTGGTCCAATGGATACTGCCTTATGCCTGTCCAACTTGCCTCATGACCGGTTCCCGAAGGCACCCGCCGGAAGCCACCCCAGGCGGGTGTCTCGATCCAGAACACACGAAGAGCGCAGGCGAGCACGACGTACGAGGCAAACAGGCCGTTGAACGCCCGACCCGGGAAGCCGCCTCCGCCGACGCGGATCTTGGCGTGTGAAGACACACCCACAGGCTGCAGTGCCGAAACCCTGAGGGTCCTGACGCACCCCCTCCTCCTCGACTCTCGTGGTTGGAGCCACTGGGAATAAGAGAATCGAGCAAGGGCCCATGGCACAAGCCCTTGCTTATGCATCTATCGAGCACGACTAGACAGAGAATTTGCACTAGCTCCCGAGGGCTGGGCCAGGCTGGGGCACACTGGGTGGAGCAATCTTTTCGACATCAGATGGGCTGAGAGCATGAATTGACACATTCATTACGTGTAAGTTGTTGGCTGAGGCGGTGATCAAAGCTTCGAAACTTGAACGCCCTCTGCCCGTACCGTTGGAAAACCTATGCATTGCTTGGCTGATGCGGCGCTGATTGTTCCTGACAACTCCTGTTGACACGAGCAACAAAAGGTTTAGGACAAAGTATCCGGTTCTGTGCTTGAGGAGACTTTACGCCTCTTCCGCCTCTCGGCAACGGCGGTGCTGCCCGGCCGAGGGCCGCCTCGCCGGTCTCGGGGTGCGATCAGCGTCAGCGTCGGCTGTTCCGACTGCATTGAGTTTGTGGTGTGAAGCTGCAATGTCTGTGTTGCATTCGACAACATGAAGGTGACTGCAACGTTCAAGAAAACCTTCGCTGCAACAACGCACAGCCCTTGCCTCCTGAGTGTTTCCTTTTCTTGTTGAGCCGCAGCATGCACTGTCCCGCCAATACGAGATGAACGCAGCGATGTGGGCGATGTTCGCTCTCAATAAACAATTTTGACTTCATAGCCATCTTTCAATGTTGCCTGCTTGAACGCCACCAGTCGAGCGCTTGAAGCTTTGACAAGACGACGAAAAGTCAACTTCACGTGTATGGGGTCCATTGGCGCTTATTCCACAGGACAACAAACCCGTGTCGCGCGTGGGACTATCTCCAGACGAGGCATATCGCTAACTGATCTTTTCATCTATGCTTAAAAGTTGAAAGATCGTGACACGTCTAGATACATTCTCGAATTCTGTCGCAGGCCTGCTCTCTAGCAACTGGCATCTCACAACCGCTCCCCTCCCCTCGCAGAGTTGCCAATGCCCATCTCCCCCAGCGCCGCCTTGTACCGCTCCGCCTCCTCAACCATCTCCTCCATCGTCTTGGCATTCCGCTCCGCGTCCTCGATCCGCGGTATCTTGCCCCCCGGCCGGGGCCTCTGCTGCAGCTGCTGCTCCCGATCCCACAGCGCCCCGCCGACGTTGGCCTTTTCGCTCGACAGATGCACGTAGATCTCGTCCATGGCCTCGTCGCCCATGTCGCCCTTGACGCGGGGGATCACGTGGACGTGCACATGCGGGATCGTCTGGCCCGCCTCGGCGCCGTCCTGCAGCGCGACGGTGAAGCTGCCCGACGCGGGGTCCGACGGGTCCGGGAAGTAGAGCCGCGCGAGGAGCTTCTGGGCGAGCTGGACCGTGCCGAAGAGGTCGGCTGTCTCGGCGGGGGAGAGGTCGAGGAGGCGGGCGTGAGGCTTGAGCGGGCAGACGAGGATGTGCCCTGGGAGGAGGGGTTTGAGGTTGACGAGGCCGTAGGAGTGAGGTGTTGTCAAAAAGACCTGGCGGCACTTCTCAGTTCCGAGCCTGATACACAATGGTTGTTTCTGCCCATGGTGACATTTGGGGGGTTTGAGTCGTAGAGGAAGACAAGAAAGGCAGCTGGGCATGGTTTTGTTGTCAAAGTGCATACATACCTGCTTCGTGACCTCAAAGGGCCCAAACTTGATCGTCATCCCCTCCGTATTAGTCGAAGTCATGACGCCCCTCACAAACGAAGAAGGCTTTCCGAAACCCTTGGGATGATTATTAAACGCTCCAATTGAAGGATCTGACCAACAACGCGGTCGGGCAGCTAAAGATCGGGCCGCTCGGAGGAAATGCAGTCTTGGAGCTGATGAACCTACGATGCCGCATCAGTCAGTTTCAATATCTTTTGCTTCTTGGGCTTAAGCCAGCCTCCAATTGCCTCTCTTTTGTTTGATCAGATAGCGGGCGACTTGTTGAATTCGACTCACTTGAATGTGAAGCACGCCACAAGGATTGGAAGAGCCGATTCATGAGGTTTATGTAAAGAAAGTGCGGTGTTATATAAGAACCACTTGACAAAGCTTGCTCTCGTGGGGGGGATGACGGATGGGGTAAGATGTAAGAAAATGTGAGAGTGAGATTTCGTGAGATTTAAAGCTTGCTGGGGGGAGCGCGGGGCAGAAGCAAGTGGGTTGATTGATTGGGCTCAACTGAGTGTGGGGTGTTTCGACTCGAGCACTGATTGGCATCAACCTTGAGGTTTTGGATGACAGCTTCATCTGCTATTGATGCACTGCCTTTAGAGATATTCGTACTAACAGGTTTTCGAGAGATTGGCTAAGAATTGGTTCAATGGAGTATAAGAAGAGGCGAGGGGATTTCGAATTTGAATCTCTTGTTGAATCTGTTGCGTCTACTCCTTGCTGTATTGGTATCTTCTATCATTCTAACAAACATCTCCATCTCATGAACTATATGGAGGTAAAAGGAAAAAAAAGAGGAATAACAAGAAAACAAGACAAATATACCTCGCCAAACCATCATCAACAAAACCAAGCATACATACATCCATACCGCTCATCCGTAACAACATGCCCAAATGGTTCTACATCGTCCTCCTCATCTTCCTCGCCACCCAACGAAAGAAAACCAAAGCCACCTCTCAGAATGACAAAAGAAAAGAAGAGCAGTCGCTCGCGAAAAGCACCTTGTCAGAATCCTCTGCTTTTGTCTAGATGAAATTCGAATCGTCGCCTGCGGAGAGCAGTTGCCCTGCGTTGGCGGCGAAGCGGGCCGGGTCTTGGTCTGCTTCTGCTTCGTCTTCTTCGCTGCTGACTTCCTCCCAATGGACTATACATTTCCCCCCTTTGTTAGCACCTGAAAAAGATGGGAAAACTCGAAACCTGAACAGAGAGATCAGACATACCATGGGGCTTGATGATGAAAGCACATATCAACCCAATCCCAAAAAGTCCACACAAGAGCACAAAAATCGCCTGCGGAAACGTCCCCACCGTCATCGCATACAACCCGTTGAACAGCAAAGGCCCGACAACCCGCGACTGCGCCTGCAAGAAGCCCACGGCGCCGAGGACCTGCCCGACGCGCGCGGCGGGAACGTGCTTGGTGACGACGGCCTGGACGGTCGCGCTGCCCAGGCCTCCGAGGGCGGTGACCATGCCGCTGGCGAAGAAGAGCTGCTGGTTGCGCGCGAGCGTGTAGCCGACGCAGCCGAGCACGTCCGAGGCGAGCGCGAAGCGGAGGATCCAGACGTCGAGGTGGTCCGCGCCGGCATTCTTCTCCATGTGAGGCACGCCGGATTCGCGTTGGCGTTTGGCGGCGGGGCGGATGCGGAAGATGTAGTTGATGATGGGGAAGACGACCATGAGGACGGCGACGCGGACCATGGACAGGGCGGAGATGAAGCGCGACGTCTCAAAGTTGCCCCAGCCGAACATGAACTCGCTGTAGAGCATGAGGACGTTGCCCACGGCCATCATGGAGCCCATGATGATGGTGTCGGCGATGGAGAGCGCCACGAGGTTGATGCGCAGCCTCGACGAGGTGCCTGGTCCCGTGGGCCAGAGGACCTTGAAGACGGCAAAGGGGTTGTGAGCGAAGCGAGTGGGGAGCATGATTTGGTCGGCCTCGTGTTTGGTGCGGGCGAGGCGTTGTCGTCGCTTCGAGAGGGATTCGGGCAGGATGAAGCGGACGAAGACGATGAAGAATGCATGGCAGCCCAGGGCGACGTAGAAGATGGAGATGATGGACCCGGTCCACTTGACAAAGTAGCCGGCCAGAAGGGGACCCAGGGCAAGGCCGGTGAAGAGGCACGCATGGACATAGCCGATGGACACGGCTCTCCTGGAGGGGGGAGTGCAGTCGCTGGTGTACGACTGGCTGAGAATGCTTCCGGCAGTAAAGGACCCCGTGATGCCATCAAACATGGCACCGATCAACATCCACCGGTAGTTGAAGACCAGAGGATACTTTGCGCACAGGATGGTGACGACCTCGCTGACGAGCCCTCCGCAGGACGCGAGAGCCATGAGCTTGCGGCGTCCGTAGCGGTCGGACAGCTGGCCCAGCTTCGGGGCGACGATGGCGCTGAGGCCGCCGATGATGAGGTTCATGCCCAGCATGAAGGTGGCGACGTTGCGCTGGACCTCGGGGATGTTGCACTGCGGGTTGTCGGAGCCGAGGACGATGGGCTTGTAGGTGAAGTGAGGGTTGAGGAGCTGCTGGTCGGCAAAGTACTGCTTGCAGACGAGGTCGAGGATGCTGTATGACGCCGTAACATTAATGAGATGATCAACGGAATTATGAGTTTGATGATGCTTACAGATTGAGTTTGGGGACGATGATGCCGCCGAATGCGAGAGTGAAGACGGCATATGGGCCGAGGAGCCAGAATACCTGTGAGGCGCATCTTGTCAGCGAACATGAAGCTGGATCACCTTTATGGACACGATAGCCAAGGTATATCTGTCTTATCCGCACTCTGCGGAGCTGTTATAGAGGGCGAAACGTACAGACGGCCTGCGCCACCAGGGCAGATGCTGGAAATCAACATCATTGTCCCATCCGTTCTTTGACGCTCCCGAGTCCTGGGGGCTGAGCAATTGCGACGTCTCGGTGACATCCGAGTCGCGGTCGTCGAGTTCGCGAATCGTCGGGCTCGGGCTCCGGTCGTCGCTTATCCGCTTTGGTCCAGCCATTTTGTGCGTATGCTCTGAAAGCGCTCTAGATATCGCGACAGTCGTTGGTGTTTGAGCAACAAGGATGATGTCGGCAGAGACGCGCCGGCTCAATCAGGTCGGCAAGGCTGTAGAGAAGCCTCCGGATGTGTGATAGTGACACAAGCCTTGCCTCTGTCCCATTTCTCGCCGGGACGGGACCTCCAGCTATGGCTCTCTATGGCAGCAGGGGAGGCGTGTGTCTTATACTCTGTTCAAGGCATACGATGGGCGAGGATGATGCGAAGAGGGGGCGACGAAGCCGTTGGTGATGGAGGAAGAGAGATTGACGATTGAGTGCTGCTATTTTCTGAAGCACCGAAGGAGGTACAGTAAGAGCTTACATGCAGGGAATCCCAGCAGACGGGGGCCTGGGCATGGGGGAAGAGGAATGGGGGATGAGGATGAGGATGAGGATGGGAATGGGATGGGAATGGGATCAAGGGGGTGGAGCCGAGGAACCAACGCAGCAAGACCAGACGCAAGCAACGTGGGTTTAAATCGCGTGGACGGCCGCCAGTGGATTCGGAAACGAAAGCCGGGGACCCCAGAAGAGGAGGAGGAAGATGAAGAGAGGAGGAGGAAGCTTTGGGCAGACAGACAAAACACCAGGGCTGGGGATTGGGTGGGAGAGGCCACTATCTATCACGGACCCCGGACGGATGGAGTGGTGACGACGGTACTATCTCCCTTAATGTTCGTCTTTGGGTTCCTTTTCCTTGATGAAACTCCTCTTTTGCACCTCTTCCCAACGCAAATGCAAACGCAGCAGAACAATCGGCCCTCGAGGAGTGGGCAAATCCATTGAAGCGGAACCAGCGCAGCAAGTCGCATGCAGCAGTCGGCCAACCAGTTGACGAATCGATGACGCTGCCTACTCTGTATCCCACGCCTCGCCCGCGATCACGGACTAGGATCGTGCCTGGATTGCGGTTTCGATAACGACACACACACACCAGAATCAAGCAAGGCTCAAGCTTTCCAGCCTATCCGGGTACACGGACAGAAGCCCCATGCAGGAAAAAAGAGCGGAGACTGGCGACACGCTTCCTTGGATTGGGTTTCGAGTTGTTTGCAGAGAGAAAAGGAGGGCAGAGCTGGCGATTGGTCCGGAGAGCGTAATGGGCGGGCGATTGGTCCGCTGCTATCTTTGGCTTTGTCCTGTTGTGCCTTGATCTGAGACAAAAAAAGACGGGCTTTTTGCTTGGTAATTAGAGTCGGACTTTTGGGGTGCGTGGAGTCCGAAGTCCGCCTCCGCAGGCTAAAGTGTGTGTGTGTGAGAGAGAGAGTGATGAGTTGTTCTGATGGAGTTTGTTTGTTTGGTTTTAGCTTTCAGTGGAAATCCAGTTGCCATGATACGTGTTTGACTTTATGGCTGCATGTATCGACAACCGGGCAAAACTATGTTGATCCTAGGGACTTGGGTTGGGTAAAAGAGAGTGAAAATTGGCTTCTTCTGAAGCCAGAGATAGATAGTATCTAGTTGGTTGCTGTAGTTGGTTGATAAGCGTCCGTTGGGCTTCGAGATGCGCCGTTATTTCCGCTGATAGGCGAACGAGAGCTTCCACGTGGCACCTCTTGCAAGTCGTTGCAGGGGAAGAAGAGGAAGAGGAACAAGATACTAGATGGAGAAACTATTGAATGCATGCTGCAAGATATCCAGTTGGGCAAAACACGATATCTGTCGATGCCTCATGCGTGTGGAATACGTACCTGACAGACGGTTTGCAGCAGCTTGAACTTGGAAGAAAGACATGCAGCCGCATTGGGACTAGCGCCAGAAGCGACGAGAAGGTGCTGTAGTTGCCGCATCGGTGTCGAGGTGAGGCACTCGGTGACGGCCGCAGCTGAGCCGGTGAGCTACCAATGAAGTCCACCGCGAACGCTGACTAAGCAGGTTCGAACAAAGTTGCAACGCGATATTACAGCGAGACTCTTGACATTTTCCAGCCGCCAAATCATACCAACGAAATAACCATCGCCATCCCCCAACCCTCCCTTCATCCACCGCCAACATGCCCGTCGTCAAGGGAGGCGTCTGGACAAACATCGAGGACGAGATCCTCAAGGCCTCCGTGTCCAAATATGGCCTCAACCAATGGGCACGCGTGTCGTCGCTGCTGGCGCGCAAGACGCCCAAGCAGTGCAAGGCCAGGTGGAACGAGTGGCTCGACCCGAGCATCAAGAAGATCGAGTGGAGCAAGGAGGAGGATGAGAAGCTGCTGCACCTCGCCAAGATCATGCCCACCCAGTGGCGCACCATTGCCCCCATCGTCGGCCGTACTGCGAACCAGTGTCTCGAGCGCTACCAGAAGCTGCTGGACGAGGCCGAGGCCCGCGAGTCGTCTGGCCTGGGCCTCACCGGTCCCGAGGGCGGCGAGACGCAGGCCCCGAGCGCGGACGACGTGAGGAGGCTGCGGCCCGGCGAGCTCGATCCGGACCCGGAGACAAAACCTGCCCGACCGGACACCATCGATCTCGACGAGGATGAAAAGGAGATGCTCAGCGAAGCCCGTGCCCGTCTGGCCAACACGCAGGGCAAGAAGGCGAAGAGAAAGGCGCGAGAGCGCCAGCAGGAGGAGTCTCGCCGCCTGGCGACGCTGCAGAAGAGGCGAGAGCTCAAGACGGCCGGCATCAACATCAAGGTGACGACGCGGAAGCAGGGCGAGATGGACTACAACGCCGACATTCCATTCGAGAGAAAGGCTGCCCCGGGATTCTACGATACATCGGAGGAACTGGCCAAGAATGAGATGCAGCGGGCGGCGTTTGATCCCCGCAAGCAGCAGCTGGCCAGCAAGCGCAAGGGCGAAGGCGATGACGACAACGACCGCAAGAGGAGGAAGAATGACAAGGACGGCATTTCGGAGTCGCAGAAGGCTGCCATCAAGGCAGGCCAGATGCAGCGGATTCGAGAGGCCGAGCAGAGCAGCAAGCGTCGTCCTCTGAACCTGCCAGCGCCCCAAGTGAGCGAGGGCGAACTGGAGGAGATTGTCAAGATGGGCAAGATGGGCGAGGCAGCCAACCTGATGGCCAGAGAAAGCGACAACGATGCGACGCGAGGATTCGTCAACTCATATTCGACGCTCAACACGAATGCGCCCATCCGAACACCACGGGCGCCGGCGCAGGAAGACCACATTGCCAACGAGATCAGGAACATCCGAGCCCTCAACGAAACACAATCCGCATTGCTGGGTGGCGAGAACACTCCTCTTCACCAGGGCTCCGGCTCGACAGGATTCGAAGGCATCGCGCCTCGAAAACAGGTCATGGCCACTCCGAACCCTCTGGCCACGCCCCTAAGAGCCGGCGGCGTCAACGGTGCCGTTCCTGGACAGACGCCCATGCGCACTCCTCGAGACACCTTTGCCCTCAACCAGGAAGATGGGATGACAGCAACAGGAGCCACCCCCCGGGATGTGAGAAACCGACAGATGGCCCTGCGGAACCAGCTGCAGGCTGGACTGGCTGCGCTGCCCAAGCCAAAGGATACAGAGTGGGAGTTTGAGATACCCGAAGACCAAGTGCCAACTACGGCTAGCGAAGAGGCCTTGGAGGAGGATGCTGCCGAGCGGGACAGGCGAGAGCGCCAGAGACGAGAGGCTGAGGAGGCGCTGGAACGGCGACGACAGACCCAGGTAATACAGCGAGGGCTGCCACGGCCGGTCGTCGTCGACCTGACGGACTTGCTGGAGAGGGCCAAGAAGATTGACGATCCCGCTGCGGCGCTCATTGCTGAGGAAGCGGCTGCGTTGATGGCGAATGATGCCGCCAAGTTTCCGCTCAGTGGCTCCAAGGTCAAGGGAACGCTGCGACCGCTGGCTCCCATAGACGATGGCCTCCTTGCCGACGCCCGTCTCCGCATTCTGTCGGAAACCAAGCCGTTGCCCAAGTTTGAGGACATTCAAGCTGCCTTTGAGAGCCGGGCCGGAGGGGATTCCTTGCTCTTGGGGCTGGGATGCTATAGTGACGATGCTGCCGAGCAAGATGCCGCTATGCGGGCTGCTTTTGACGTAAGTTACAGCCTTTTCTGATAAACGATATTCTAATACTAAATGTGAAACAGGCCGTTCAAGATTCCATCATGACATCGGCGGAAGAAGACGCAAAACTCGAAAAGAAGCTCACGCTGCACCTGGGCGGATACCAAAAGCGGCAGAAGATGCTCAAAGACAAGGTCTCAGACGCTGCAGAGGCTTTGGACAAGGCAAAGGTGGCTCTCGCCGGATTCAAGACGCTGGCCATTTCCGAGGACGTGGCCATCAACCGGAGGCTGGAATCCCTGAGAGACGAAGTCAACTTCATCAGCCGGAGGGAGAGAGAGGCACAGGAGGAGTACCGAAAAGCAAAGGAGGAGCTGGAGGCCCTGCGAGCGGGGGACGTCAACGGATACCATTGAGCGTGAAGGCAATCTGGTAAGCGGGAGACAAAACGACCATTTGTATAATGAAAGGGGGTAGTAATGAATGGATAGGCATCAGGGCGGTTCATGTACAAACAGATTATCAAGACCAATTGCATTCTATTTCGCATTTCCTAACCATCACACGCTGAGTTTCTCTAGGCTCGCCGTCTCCTCGTTTCCACCAAGCAAGCTACACCTTTATGCATTCAACTCTTTCACAGCAGATCATGTCCTTTTCACCGGCCCCAGACGCGGCAACCTCATCGGCAAGACAACCACCACCGAAACCGCCGCCAGCACCGCACAAAGCACAAACGTCAACCTCAGCGCCGCCTCATAGCTCCTCACAACCATGTCCCTATACGGCTCCTCCAGTCCGGCCACAGCCTCCACCGACTCCCTCACCCTCCGCACCACGTCCTCCTTGTCCCGCCCCTGCACAAACACGTCAAGGTAATGCACCAGCGCATTCTGCACAACGAGACTGCTCATCGCCACGCCCAGCACGAGTCCCACGCAGCGCCACAAGATGAGCGTGCTCGTGACGACTGCCTGCTCCGCCTGCGCCGACGAAGCGAGCATCGCCATGAAGGTCCCCGGGAACTGGAACCCTTGGCCGATGGCCTGGGGGACGAGGACGAGGAGGTATGTCGCGGGGGACATGTCCCGACGGAGCAGCGTGAGGAGGACGCAGCCGACGAGGTAGAAGCATGCGCCGACGACGACGGGCCATTTGAGGCGGCGGGTGTAGGTTATGGCGAAGCCGGTGGAGGCGCCGGCGACGGAGGCGGTGATGGAGGGGAGGGCGAGGCGGAGGCCGGAGGAGGTGGCGCTTGAGAGGAGGACTGCTTGGAAGTAGAGGGGGCTTTTTTGGCAATTACGATAGTAGAAGTAAGAAATGAGAGCAAAGCAGAGGTGGGCTGGGAGGGGAGAATGTTTTGAGCTTACATGTTGAAGAGGATGGAGTTGGAGAGGAGGGCGGCGATAAAGTTGGAAAAGAGCAGGTTTGCGCGGGGAGACGTCCGGACGAGGTGGAGGGGCATGATGGGCATGCGGACGCGGGATTCGACGTAGAGAAACGTTGGGAAGGATATTGCTGAGAGGGAGAGGGCGGTTATGACGAAGGGGTGAGACCCTGTGAGTCCGTCAGAAGGGCGATTGAGCGGGTTTGGTGTTTGAAGTTTTGGGGGAAGGGGGGGGAGGAGGAATGACTTACACGGATAGATGTTGCCCCCAAAGTTCTTCAAACCCAACCCACACTCACAACCGTCAGCCTCTGCTCTTTCACAACTCCTTCACATAAAGACAGGGAAAAAGGGAGAGGAGGGTGAACTCACCAGTCCAAGAATCGCACTCGTCGTCGCCAACGTCAACGCCGCCGACCCCCCAAAGTCAAACTCCCCCAGCGCATCCCACACATTTCTTCTCAGTTTGCCATCCCCCGAGAGCCCGATGTCGTCCGGGATGACCACGGACGCGACGGCGGCGCAGAGCAGGATGGGGAGCACCTGCACGCCAAACTCGGCGCGCCAGCCCAGGGTTTCGGCCATGGCGCCGCCGAGGGCCGCGCCGAGGGCGGAGCCGGCGCCGAAGGTGACGTTTACGTAGGATTGGTAGTTGCCGCGGCGTCTGGGCGTGAAAAAAAAGATGTTCAGTACACGATTGTTGTTTGGCTTTTTTTGAGGTGTCTTGAAGAGTGAGTGGCTGGATAAGGGGGGAAGAGGGGGATATGGAAACGGGGCGAGGAGAGAAGAGAAAACGAAAAGAGACAGAAGGAAAAAGACATACTCGATCGGCACCAAATCACTCGTCAAGATGCTCCCCAGCGTCATCGCCCCCCCAGCTCCCAATCCACAGACGGCCCTCGCAGCCACAAAGCTCCCGATGCTCCCCGCGAGAGCGCACCACGCCGTCGCCGCCGCAAACACGACCAGGCTGGCCACGAAGAGGGGTTTCCTGCCGACGGCGTCGGACAGCCTGCCCAGGAGGGGCTGGAAGGCGGTGGAGGTGAGGAGGAAGGCGGTGGAGAGCCAGGAGGCGGCGTTGGCGGCGGCGAAGTGGGAGGTGATGACCGGGTGGGACGAGGCGAGGAGGGTGCCGTCGAAGGAGGCGAGGAACTGGGCCGTCAGGATCTGGGCGAAGATGAGGCGGAAGCGGGCTGGGGAGGTGGTGGACAGGAGGAGGTAGGGGGGTGTTGGTGTTGGCGGGGATGAGGTTGAGGGAGGAGGAGGAGGGAGGAGGGGGGATGTTTCGCATGGGATGGCTGGGTTGTCGTCGTCGGTGGTGGTGGTGGTAGTGATAGTGACGGAGACGTTGTCTTTGGCGTTGCTGCTGCTGCTGCTGCTGCTGCTGTTGAAGTTGCTTTGGTATGACTGCTGTGCCGTTGGGTTCCCGACTTCATCGTCGTGGTCGTCTCGGCGGTTCATGCCTTCCGGCGCCGGAGCCGGCCGGACCGGCGGCCCCGTCTGCGGCATCCGGGGAGACATTGCGCAGAACAACTTGCTTCAAGACGCTTCAAATTCGTCAAACGAACTTGGATTTGCGTACCTCGACAGGAACTCTCACAATGTCAGAAAGAAAGGAAATAATAAAGAAAGAGAAGAAAGATGTGAGGAAGCGCAGTTGTAAAAAGAGGCTGCAAAAGGGCAGGAACCAATTGCGGCAAGGGGGGGCGGCGGCAGAAAACGGTGTAAGTCGGGCCTTGCGGATCTTGTACCCGAGATGGCGGGACGCGGGAAGGCGGGCGGTTCCGCTGCAGATGAAGCTTATTTTCGAAGGGATCAGATATTGCTTTGACTGGAATTGAGGAGAGCGATAAGTCGGGCAAGGTGAAAGGATTGGAGTAGTAGACGTGGGACGGGATGGATCAGCCCAAGTGGTGGGTGATTCAGCTCCCAACTTCAGCTCGAGGATGCCGAGATGGAATGCGACCAACTTCTGCGGCTGACTCAAGGGGCGATACATGGACGGACAGCAGGCCTTCAGCGTCAGCTGCAAGCCATTCACGCCCTGGAAAAGATGGGGAGCTTACTCGTACCTTTTGAGGGGGATGCAACGAACGGTATCGGCAAGGTATTACTTGCCGACGCCCCGGCTCCGGTACCCCCCTTGCACCCGTTCTCCACGAACACATCATCGTCTCAATGCTTCCTGAGTGTATGTGACTCATTCATGCTGTATCCTCACTGTTTCTCATGCGTGAGTCTTTTGCTGGTAGCAGCAACCGCTGGCATAGCACGATGGAGAGAGAGAGCGGTGGTGATGTGCTACGTGTCTCGGATGGCGCAACTTGGCTACACAAGAGATACCCCTTCTTTTCCCATTCATTACAACAGATGATGGCGATGAATCGGGGCTTACCCCCGGGTACTCTTTTGATACGAACTGTCCTTGGGGGGGAATAGTGTGATGACTCCATCCTAAGGCACATCATGGCATATAGCACCATATACCTAGTACGAACACATATATACGCACAATCATGTATCTATATCATCAGCCTCAGTATCATCAATCGTCGAACCGGATTCGCTCCCCGCAAATCTATCTCTAACATACGTCTCCCATCAAAGCAAGCCATCTTTAGCTTTCCAACAAGGTCTAACCCATCTCGAACTCTTCAACATAAAAGGCATCAGGAAGAAGGACAATGATCAAAAAGCACCGCTCACATTGCTCGCTCACGCTTCGCTCTTCCTCGACAACGCCTCCGCAACAACCAAGATCCCCGCCCCCGTAACGCCCCCGTCATGGCAAGGCTTCAGAACCACGCGCAACCGGCCATCCTCACCGAGCCTGCGCGCCAGCAGCTGGTCCAGAAAGCGTTGGCAGTCGGCCAGGTAGTCCTGAAAGTGCACTATGCAGCCGCCAGTGTAGCCCACGCCGAGCTCGCGGACGGGAGATTTCGTATCAGCAGCGTCTGCTCCGTCCATGCTCTCGGGCAGCTCGTCCGCAAGGGTAAGCAGGGCGACAATGGCGGCGGCGATGATGCCTGCCGCCCGGACCTCGATGGCCTTTGCAATGTGGTACAGCGCCGCTGCGAGCTCCTCCGTCCACGTGAAGCCAGACGCGACGTCCTCGGGAATCTGCCGCCTCAGCTTCTCCAGTAGCGCCGACGGCGGCTCCAGCGGCTTGTAGTGGCTCAGAAACGTCGTCGTCAGGCTCTCCTTGTCCAGCAGCCTCCGCGGCAACGTCTCGACGGGCACCCGCGACTCCGTGACCAGATAATCCACCAGCATGATGCGAGCCAGCTCGCCCAGATACCGCCCCGCCGTCATGTACTCCAGAGGCTGGAAACCTGGCCTCTCATTCTGCAAAGACAAGGCTTCATCCCATCTTGTAACCAGATTTGCCTCCACCATGGGCGGCAGCGTGCCGTTGATGCTCCACTCGGTGTTGACCGCAATTTTGGCATCGGCCACGTCCTCGCCCGGCACAAGGCTCACCGTCCGAGGCCGCTTGCTGGGATGCAGCAGGTCCAGCTTCAGGGGCACCGTAGCATTCGACCCCGTCCCCAGAATCAGCGCCATGGCCGCGCGGTGATGCTCCGTGCCGCCGTAGCTGAAGATGCTCGCCACCAGCGTCGACACGGCGTCGTTGGCAATGGCGGTGACCTTGATGGGCGGCAGGTCAGCGCCTCGGAACTCCGCGTAGCCCTGCTCGATGTGAGCGCCGAGGTCGATGCCCGACGGCAGCGCAAAGCCTTTGCCCATGTCCATCAGCAGGGCGTGGGAGACGGAGCGCTGCTCCATGGGGAAGCTGAAGGTGACGCCCAGGGGGAGCGGCCGGTCGTTGGGCACGCCGAGGGTTCGGCAGCCCTCGTCCACGACGTCGGCGATGCATCGCCCGATCCATGAGAAGAGGCTGTTTGCGTTGTCGTTTTTGAGGTGGTTGTCGATGGGCCACGACTTCTCCAGGGGGCGCTGCACGCGCGATGCGGGATCCGGGTCGTTGCCGTGCAGCTCGATGAAGCCCACTCGGAGGTTGGTCCCTCCTCTGAATGAATGGCGCCGAGTTAGTGTATACAGATCAAGGTTTCTCATGGTGAACTTGTCTAGACTGCCTTACATGTCTATTGCTAGATGTCTGTATGAAACCACTCATCAGCATGCTGCTCAGCTCACCAGCCCATGAAAACCGATGCTTTACAACACTCAACGGCACATTTGACATAGAAAACAGCAGACTCACCGCCCCCCTTGCTCAACAATCGGCCTCAGAATAGACTCTGATATAGGCGTAGGCAGAAACTGGTCCCTCGAGTTCGCCGCCAGATCCCTGAAGTTCGCAAGAAACCCCCGCGAGAGCTCATACGCCCTGTCGACGTCGACGCTCAGCGGCTCCAAGAACCGGTGGATATCTGGAGAGGCCATGGGAAAATGCGCCTGCAAACGAGAGAACGTAGAAAGGACTATGTGAGGCTATCGAGGGCACGTGTACGTGTATCTCATGATATATCTCCCCCCTGACGGAGAGCGCAGAAAAGAAACGCCGTAAGAAGAACAAGCGAGTGAAGCAGCGATGAGTGAGAGAATAACGAGGGCCTTGTGTCTGACACGGATGTGAGCAGCAGGATAAGAAGAAGATGGTATTCGACGAAAGGGGAGGCAGACGAGAGTCACCTCCCTGAATAGGTATGTAGGACGGGGGAGGGATGGCAGGATGACAAAGATTGGTTCGAGTGAGTTTTGCTGCAAATTGTGGTCAAGCTGGGCCATTAGAGGGTCGCAAGGCCAGTCCAGTGCTTTCAGGTTTATTTTTAGTGGACTCGATATGCGTGGCGATTGGGGCTCAGGCACAGCAGTGACATGACGGTAACCGTGACAGTGACACGCCTCTCTTCTCTTTCTACATATTCTCATACCTCTATCAGTCAGACTGTATGATGATATCGTAGCAGATGATTACCTTTAACCACATATGTATGTAGATATAGATATTAGCACATGCAGTGGTTGTCCAGCATCTCTGCCACAGTTCACCTCGTCCGCGGTACGTCGCTACTGTAAGTACATCGGTCTGTACCCGAGTCCCCCAAACCCCCAAACCCCCAAGCGACCCCCAGCCCCATCCCGTTACGGCCTAGCGCCATCTCTCCACCCGACGCAACCGCTCCTCCCCATGACGCTATGGCCCGTCCGTCCAATCTTTATCTTCGCGTTACCTCGCGCAAGCTTCAAACCCGCCGCTCATCCATCAATCCAGACGAGCTTCTTCTTCCCCATCATCTTCTATCATCTTGGATATCACATCTCATCTTATCGCATACTAGCCAACCATAATACTCCCGATTTTGCGCCTCATCAGTGCTTCTCGCTACCCAGCTCCATCAAAACAACACAGCTTAGATTAGGACCCTGCAAACCATCACCGCCCTTACCATGGACGAGAAACATCGCCCCCAGCCTCAACCCAGCACCATGCTTTCTTCCCGCCGGTTCCGCATCTTCATCCATTTGTTTCTCGCCTTCTCCTGCCTCGCCCTGCTCTACCAGCTCTGCAGCGACGCCCTCGCGGTGCCCTTTGTGGACCATGAGGCTTCCGACGTCGTCGTCCCGACTCGCGACGAGACCGGCCCCAACGGCCTTGTCCCGCTCGAGGCGCACATCATCAGCAAATGCCCCGACACCAGGGTACGCAACGAGTTGACGCGACTCTAGTATTGTTTTGTGTTCCCTCGTCTAACCGCCATGTCTAGGACGCTCTTCGCACTCTGATCCTGCCCGCCATGCAGCAGGTCTACGACAAGGTCGACTTTAAGCTCTCCTACATTGGCAAGTATGTCAACCCTCCGCACGCTCCATCTCCATAGACACCCCATCTCCGTCTATATCCCTGCTGACACCGCTGCAGGCCCACTGCAAACGGCGGCGTCGACTGCAAGCACGGCCCCTCCGAGTGCATCGGCAACATCATCGAGCTCTGCGCCCGCGAGCTGTATCCCGACCCCAAGATCAACCTCGGCTTCATCATGTGCCTGACCAAGGACTACACCCACATTCCCGAGCGCACCCTCATCGAGGACTGCGCCCTCGAGCACGCCATCGACTTCAACAAGCTCAACGAGTGCGCCGCCCGCGACGACACGGCCCATGGCCTCGAGCTGCTGCGCAATAGTGTTCAGCGGTCAGCCGATGTAAGTTTCTCTTGCAAGTTTCCATTGCTGAAGACGAGACACGTCTAACGAGTTTGCTTCTAGGCCAACGTGACCATCAGCTGCACGATCCGCCTCAACAACGAAATCTACTGCATTCGCGACGACGGCGAGTGGAAGGACTGCCCGCACGGCCCCGGCGTCAACGACCTCGTCCTCGCTATCCAGAAGCTGTACCATGGCTCGTCTTGAGCAGCGGCTCGTAAATGTCCGTCCACAACTCGCTCGCCTCGCCCAACGTGTAGCTCATCGACAGCGCGTCCATGCCCGCCTCGTCGTCTCCCCCCATCACTTTCAACGTCTCTATGATGCTGTCGAGGCCGACGGCCTTGCCCACAGCCTGCGTGGCGCCGGCCTCGAGCGCAACATGAACAATGTGTATGTGGAAGTGGTAATAGGTCGGTTGGTAGTGAACATAGAGCTTGAGCTGGTTTTCCTCGATGCCAGGGTACGTCTCGGTGGTGGCGCCGACGACCTTGGCCTTGATGTGCTGCAGCCAGGGGATGTGCTTCTTCTTGAGGTCGCGCAGCGACCAAATGTCCCGCCGCTCGACGAGCGCCAGCAGGTGCAGCGCCTCGAGCGTCTTGCGGTCCCAGTTGAGGTCGGGCAGCAGCAGGAAGCCCTCGTCGCCGGCCTCGCCCAGCTTCGTCCTGAATATCACGTCTTCCACCTCGGTCCTGCCCTCGATGATGTTGTAGACCCAGTTGAGCCGCCCTTGCTCGCGCTTGAGCTGCATAAACGGCCGGATGTGATTTCTGTAGATCTCCGGCGTCTCGGTGACGAAGCGCACGCCCTGCTTGCTGTACTTTTTGACGTGCGCCTCCGTGCACGGGTAGATGAGGTTGATTTTCAAGTCGGCAAAGAAGTCGACGCCGTTGTCGTGCCCATTGTCCACCTTAGCAGCAGCAGCAGCAGCAGCATCGTCAGGCTTGACCTCGTCCTCGACGGATCCCGTCCTCGCCATGCTCCACGCGTAAATGTCGTTTGCGCCGAGATTCCGGATCCGCGCGAGGGACGAGGGCAAGGCCGCGAGGTAGGCTTCCGACGAGGGGATGGGGGCGCGCTCGACGACCATGACGGCGGGGACGTTGTCGATTGTGCCGTGGAGGGCGATGCGGCGGCCTGCTTGGTCTGTGTGCGAAGGGAGACAGACATTGATGAGCAAATCTCGGAGCGTGTGTGTGTGTGTTTTCACGTAGGAAAGGGGGTTGAGGAGTAGTGAAGAAGGTGTTGTAATCTGTGGGAAAAGAGAGTAATGCTGGGTTGGTGGTGGTGGTGAAAGTTGTGTTAGATGCCTACTTACCTTGGTTGAGCACCTTGAGGAGCTTGAATTTGGGCACCGCTGCCTCGGCCCTGGCCTTGAGATCTGCCATTGCGCTTGATATGAGGAGGCGAAGATGGCAACTGAACAAACACAGATCTATAAGCAAAGACAGTGGGGAGATGTCGAGTGGACGCGAGAACAAGGCTTTGGGAGAAAGAAAAGACAACAAGTGAAAAGGTCAAAGTGAAGCTTGGTCAAGCACGTTAATGAAGTGGGGGATGATGAATGGACTGGGGAGCAGTTTAGGTTGTGCAAGTTTGTCAGTGGCAGAATATGTGGAATGGGCCCCTCCTCCGCCTTTTATCGACTGATAAGATTAGAGCTCCAGTCGCTGGATTTACTTGCGCTTTGAGATTCGAAGCAAGACGCGTTCAATTACACTCAATACCAAGTATCATCGAAGTTGAATTATATGATTGATTCAGTAGTACAAGTAACTCGATAACAATCCAAAACCATCCAGTCGAAGCCCACGTCGCATCGTAAACGAGAAAACCTAATGTACAAAGTAATCACACACAGCTCCCGCCTCAAAACGTCCAGGTCAATGAAAGGCTCTTTTGCTATTAACCTTCCCCAAAGGAAGAGTAAAGCTAATACAGCCCTAATCCCTCGGCTCATCACTCAAAAGTCGCCTCATACAGTGTCAAAAGCAATGCTATCAAATCCTTCGACCTTCACGAAAACTCCCTGCACACACAGATATAGCCCAGCCTAGTGCAAAAACGCCTCCAAAGTCTGGCCAAAAGAAATATGTATATAAATAGATTAAGCTAACTGTTTGCTCTCATTCTTCGTTCCGCCCAAACGTCAACTTCGTCGCTCCTCAAATGGGTATTGTAAAATAAACGTCTGCAATGTATCAAAACGCGCAATCTCCACCCCCAGCCGGGGGCATGATGGAATCGCATCTCATGTACTTCGTCAAGGGGGATGTAAGCATCTGCAAGATAGCCTCATGAGGCTCATACATGTAACGATGCAGCATCTGTCGACGGGCGTTGTATATCCTGTCGTGTAAAATCAGGAGGAATGCGGGGGCATATTCATATCATCAGAAGACGGCTGATATTGATCAAACAGGTGTCCCGTGGATACCACTGGCTCCAGTATCTGTCGAGCCGTCTCCATCAATCGTCTTCTTCCAGTGCTCCGGGAGGCAGACGCACACCAGGGGGAACGCCTTGAGGTCGCCGTAGCCCTGCGGCGAATGGTCCCTAGGGGCGGATGAACTCGATACGCCGCTATCTCTCTGTGCCTGTCTCCGCGCCTCCCACTCGTCTGCTCGCTGATCGACCATGAGACCCGTCGCCCAGCCGTCATCCCAGATGCCCACCACTTTGAGCATATCTCCTCGCTCAAGCGCAAACTCGTCCGGAGCTCTTGGCTGGTAAGCCCACAACACGGCAACCTTGTCTCCAGGGTGGATATCATCCTGCGAATAGTAGTCCTTGAAGAAGGGCAATTGCTCAGATTGCTGGCTCGCGAGGCCGTTGGGAGACGAGAATCCAATGGGGCTGCCCACGTCGCTTCCCAGCATGGAGTTGCTCGACAGAGAGCCCTGTCGCCTCGACGTCATCGGCGGGCCTCGAAGGGTGGTGTAGGGCGTCTCGGGCTCGGGGGTGTCGCCAAACTCGGATGAGGACATTCGGTCGGAAGCCTTGGCGGCGTAGGGAACTGCGCGGCCCGACGGAGAGCTGCCGTGGCGCGAAGGGGAGTCGCCCGAGTGTCCCTCCAAGGCAGACATGCGCGCTATGCGGCCGCCAGGGAGAACCTCGTACCCTCGGGGAGGCGCCGCGCTGCCCTGGCTCATGGGCGGTCCTTTGCGGGCCGGTGAAGGCTGGTTGAAGATACTGCCTTGCGCGCTGGCTGGCCTGCGCCTCATCAACCTAATGAGGAAAAACAAGAGCGCAGCCAGAATGACAACGCCGGCGAGTGATCCTATCACAATACCAGCAATGGCACCGCCGCTGAGGTGGTGGCCGTCACTGCTCGCAGCTGCGGCTGGCGAAGTTGTCGGAGTAGAAGTGGCAGCGGGCGTGGTGAAGGTCAAGGTGGCGGTGATGTCGGGCAGCTTCACGCCTTTGCACCGGGACTCGGCGTCAGCGCTGTAGCAACACGTATCCGTGGAGTTGATGCCGCCGGCGCCGCAGTATGAACAAAGGCCAATAGTGCTGTTACCAAATCCACAGTTGTCTGGCTCATTGTCCACGCCGTTGACGCAGCCGCCGGAGAGGGCCTGCTCGGGGAGGGCGCAGACGGTGAAGTCGGCTCGGATCAGCTTGTTGAGGTCGGTGCTCGGATCGGCGCACAGGGCCGTGTCGGCGGTGATGTACGCTTCGCTCTGGGCATACTCAGCGCAGGTTTCGGCACAGAGGGGCTGCGAGTTTTGTGAAGATACGCCGCAGCCTGCCGCAGACATCTGGACAATCGAGTTGCAAATGACGGTTGTGGTGTAGCGCGCGTACATGTCGCTCGGGTTTGTGAAGTTGACGCCGTGGCAGCCGAACGTTGACTGGAATCTAGAGAGAACAATGGATGAGCACACGCTGGGACAGGGGAGCTGTGCCCGGAGGAGCGGCCTACTTGTCTTTGAGATAGCTGGTTTTGACGAAATTAGATAGTTCATTGTCGAAGGACTCTCGATCAGAGACATATTGTAAGAATGAGCTGTAACACGGCCGTTAATGACTTGCTCGCCCTCGGCATGGGGAATGGAGGCGAGCTCACAAAGTATCAATTAGTGACTGGTTGGTGGATATTGAAGCAGCCTGGAAGGCCGGGCATGTTGTCGATCCCTTCAGCGAAATGCAGCTGTTCTGTGCTGTTGTAGTGCCGGCAAGTAGTGACAGCATAGCTATTGATGCATTCCTCAAAGTCCATTGTGTCGAGTGTCTCGGCAGCGAATGCCCATTACGGCCACGAGCCCTTGTCGGGCTTGTCTCACGGGTCATTTTTGGCGAGCGACGAACTAGCGGTGGCCAAGCGATGCCCAACAACCAGCAGAACCCAAGCACGCCGAAAAGCAGGAGAATGCCTGAGGGAAACGTAAGAGACTGCAAAGTCACCGCACGGAGCTGAAAGCAAGGTTGGGTCGAGGCAGTCGCGGTGTCGGTGCGATATCGAAACGTGAGAAACAGACAAGTTGTCGTGAGGTGCTGCTGCTGGGACCAGATGCTATAAACGCAGGCTGCAAAGAAAAAACGACTGTCGTATCCAAAAAGTCCAAAGAGAGACGCCAGCTAAGATGTCTTGACAGCGCGCGATCGAACGAATGTCGTGCAAAGTCGAGCAGGATTAGATTAACGCAATGTCGATTGATGTCGTGGCGGGAGAAGAGCAACAATCAGGATGCGAGAAGCGAAAGAGAAAAATAAAGCCGATAAACAGAACCCGAATCCGAAAGGGAAGCCGCAGTTCGACGTCGAAAAGTATGAATGAGAGACAAACAATGGAGAAGAGTAGAATGGTAAAGAAGGAAAGGCCCAATGGTTGAAGCTTGACGCCCGGGAAGGGGTGACAGAAGGCCGGTGTGTCGAGCAGCGATTTCGAGTGTTGGCGGGATCAGCTGCTGATCCAGGTCGCTCCGTCGTGTTCCGACCGCCTCGAGCCTGGCGAATGTCGGCTTCTCTGCGTCTCTTCCTTCACCTTTTCTTGCTTATTACTTTCTTTCCTCGTCGCGCCCAGGCAGCTTTCCAAGGCCAGACGCGAGTCGACGCTGGGAGAAGCGACCCCGTGGGCAAGCTCGGTGAGAAGATGCACGGACAAAAGAGTGGCCTGCGGACGAAGGAGGGAAAGGAAAGGAAAAGAGTGTGTGTGTGAGAGGGAAGAGAGAATGCAAGGCCTAGGCGAGAAACGGCGAGCTGCTGCTTGGGGAAACACGAGATCCGCGAACCGAAGCGACCTGGAGCCCGGCCAGAACCAGAGGCAACTAGCTGGGGCGTGGGATATTAGCAAGATTAGTTGAGGGAGGGGGTTGGCGTAGAGGTGGAGCTGCAAGCGAGGATGCGAGACAAGATGCTGGTCTAGCGCCAACGATTGAAGGGAGCAAGAGACGAACGATTGCAGGATGAAGGGCGACTGATTGCGTGTATCAGAGGGGAAGAGAGAGAGATGGTAGATATTTACTAGAGGCAGGGGAGGCGAGAAGAAAGAAGGGATACCAACAGGGCGTGGAAGCGAGTGGATGCTGCACGTAAGGCTTAGGCAGTGTCTGCAGAGAAAACAGATGGCTGGACAGAACTGAAGTTGCGGTGATGGTGTTTCGTCCATGTTTTCCCATCCCGCCCGTTGTTTTCACTCGGGCCCTGGAGTTCTAGCGCCTCCAGAGCATGAATAAGGGACCCGCGGGGGCCTGTTATAGCGCTCGATAGCGCTGAACCGCCGCTAGCTGGCGGCATTAGGCAGGTCCTGAAGCTCCCTAGCGGCGGGCTAGGCGCAGGCACGGCGCTCTCATTGGCCGGCCCGGATGGAGAAGCGAAAGGGGTGCTCCCGAGAGTTTGTTGCCTTTTTCGGCCGTGGACCGCCGCTGTGCCTGAGCAAGAGGAACGACTCGATCAACAGGTGCCACCGCCTCAGGTGAGCTGTCGCGGATGCAGCTGTAGCACGAGGCACTGATACTACAGATACTAATGCATCTCGGGTGCGTCAAGGAATCTTCAGCGGACCTTTGCGGGCCACTCAGGCAGATACAGATGGCAGATGGACGTCCAGGCACGTCTCTCGTATTGGGGGGTTACCTCGAGATGACTCCACCATCGGGTGCCATTTTCGAGCTTCATTTATGAAACATACATGTATCCTTATGCTGCTCCCTGTCCATCGTCACGGTTCGAGGTACGAGTGCATGTACGAGACGATTCGTGCAAGGAAGCCAGAGACGACTGATCCTCTCGACAGCCAGAAACTCTCGCCAAAGACCCAGTACCTTATCTTTGTATCGCTGTCCTTCACTTGAAACAAGGCTCTTCGCTGCTTTCCCCAGCGATCAGCAATGCCAATTTCGCTCCCAGACAAGTACTCCGCAGCACGCACGCAAGCAGGAAGGGCAGAAAAAAGAGAAGAAGAGAAAGAATTGGCAGAGACAAGGATCAGCAGTGGATGGCCTTGTTGCCAGGGGGGCCAGGCAAGCTTGCGAAGCCCGCATGATGTTCCCTACTCTAGGCGAAGTACCGAGCACATCTACAAGGGGCGGTCCTTTAAGAGCAAGGCACGGGTTCGATTGACTCTTGAAGGCAGCGTGTTTAGATGGGTCTTTGTTGATTTTGAGTGTCGTTGCCATGGACTATTGCTACTGATAACGAGGTCAATCACTTCATCTCTTGACCATGCGAATAGCCCCAATATCAAAGCGATGCTACTTGAACTTTGATGATATGCCCCCCCCCAAACCCCATCTACATCTACACCATACATCACCAACCCAGCTCCAACATGGAACATCAAACACCATCACCCGTCACTTTACATCCTCCCAGATCTCAGGCCGTCAAGACAAGCATACCCTGCGTAATTCCTCTACCGCAACCATCCGGCCCCAACAACTCTCTCAGCTCTGCCTCATCTCCTCCACGTGGGCCAGCGGAGCTTCTCAGAGTCTCGAGATCCACTCCCATTCCTTTGTTTTGACAAATCGATGTTGCACAGATCAAACCTCCCCCGGCTTGACTTGCTCGCGCGCTGAACCACCTGCGATCTGTGGGTTGCTGTGTAGATGAGCACGGCCGATGAGTTCGTGGGTCAGCCATGGCATGAGATTGAGTTGCAGCTCTATAGATTCAAGATCTGTATGCGGAAAGAAGCCTAAGAATGGCTTTCGTTGTGTGGTTGCTACCAGAGTTTTAACATTAAAATACCTTCATGTTAGTAATAGTAGCCCCTCCCTGTCGTGAGTGAGAACCAAATGATACATCTGTGGCTACCAAGAATTACCCTGCATTTGAGTCTGGACGCGGCACAAATCATCAAACTTGATCCAGAATTGTCCCAAACCGCTGATTGTTGACTCAATTCTCTCCTTTAAGCGCAATTGCTGTCTTGGCCGAGGCAGCAATTCTTCACATATCCTCACAATCTTGTACATGCAAGCAGCATGCAGTCATCGTCATCATGCTTCCAAATCATCATCTATCGGATCAGCGAGCTTGCCTCCACTCCCCCAAGAAAGCCTTCATACAAGCAGCCGCAGTTGCAGCAGCATATCTCTGCCACTTCTTGTTCTTGTGACTGTCCGCATAGTCACACACACTCTTAATCACGACCGTAGGAAAGGTGTCCCATACACCAGCCCCCTCCATCTCAAACGCAATGGCCTTCTCGCGGGATGCAATGTCGTCGCGGTGGTATCCCGACTTCATGACGGAGTCCCCAGATACAACGACGCCAAAATGTATCGCGGGTTTCTGCGTTTCACCCGACCCTGCCCCGTAGAATGGATATCGGTCTTGCGTAGCAAGCTTCACTGTCTCAATTCGCGCACGATTAACCAACTCACTATCGTGACAACCCAGCTCCTCGCAGGAAGCTTCCAGTGCGGCGGCACAAACATCGTCGTGCGGGCCGTGGCAGTTGGCACAGATGCAAGAAGCATCCGGATCTTGGTGTTTGTGCCGGTAGGTAGGCCGATATAGCTTGTCGTTATCTGCACCTGGATATGAAGACTTGTGAAAGCCGTCTTTCTCGCAAAGCTCTTCAAGGTAGAAGGAGGTCTTGCCTCGAAGCATGGTGCGACCCCTTGATCCAGAAAGCTTGGCCAAGAATGCGCGAATCTCTAGGTTTGGCCGGCCAAGATTGTCTTGTAAGGTATCTTTCCTCACAGCCTTGTTCACATATTGCCGGCCCAAGTCAAATTGCACCAGCGCCGTACTGATGACCACATCGCCAAGCAGGACCTCCTTTTCGTCATCTCTCCCAAGCGGCACGCCGCCGCAGATGCCAACGACGATACCAAGCTCGATGTCGGGGAAGCTGGCTCGGAATCCTGCCGCCACGTTTGCAGAGCTCACTTTGCCCATGCCCGGCATAAAAGCCAGCACAACGTCGTGGCCGCACACCCTTCCAGTCGTGTAGGCATTGGGGTCACCCGGTGCTTTTCCAAATGAGAAATCATGTTCAGGCTCGTAGTACTCGTCAAAGAGAGCTTCCACGGCATCGAATTCGACCCGTAAAGCGCAAATGAGAGCAATCTCGAAATCTTTCCGAGAATTGGGCCGAGAGCCATCAATAGAAGTCCCAAGCTCTGAACCGGCGTGTTCAGACGACAAACTGCGTTCTCTGGTGACCAGCTCAGGCATATTACGGGACGGCCAGTTATGTGGCTCCGGAGTACACCGTCTCTTGTGTCTTGCTATTAACCGTTGAGGCTGCAAGAGTTGCGTGGCCGATTTCAAAGGGCAAAGTTCTTGAGCTTCATCTTCGCGGTGTGTCGGAGGTGGTGACTCCGATCGTTGTCGTTTATGAGCTGGCCTAGGGATGGACTCTGCGAGCCCAAGCTCGAGTTTGTGAACAACTTCCTTGTAGAGCGTTTTTCGAATTCTCAGCTCCGCGCGCTTGTCGTCCAGATTGCGGGACCTCAGCTTCTCCGCTATCTTTCGATGAACATTAAGACATCCCCGGATGGCCTGGAGATACGAGTCGCTTCTTTCTTCCTCAAGGCGATCCACTAAGCTCACGAGCGTAGCCCAAGCGGCTTGGTTCTGAGCACTGTCGGGGCTGATAGCCAGCTCGATGGCTTGTCCAAAATCTATTTCCAACAAAAGTTTCGCAAAGGATAGTAATGCGGGGTGGCCCATTCGGAAGTTATACGGATCCGTCGTCGCTGGAAGCTTCGAGCCAAATGAGAGATATGGGAACTCTTTCCTCGGGCCCAATTTCGAGGCTTCCCAAAAATAGATCCTTTTTGAGGTGATTTCGGCATCGAAGAAGTCCATGAGGCAAAATCCAAGCTTGACAGCGAGCGCACGCTTATCTTTGGTGCTGAATTTGTTCTGTGATGTGCCGTGGATCAAAGCTTGTAGATCAAGAGGCTTAAACGCACCCTTGCCAATGAGTTGTTCAAGAGACTCCTTAGACGAAAGGCCCGTCTCCAAAGGCGTCGGATCTGCCCAGGCGCCGAATAGCCCATACTTCTCAATGAGCAGCATTAGTGCTTTCCCTCGGCCAGTGTTCTGTCGCAGGTCTGTGCAAATGTCGGAAATGCATGCGATTGTATTTTCGCCTCTGAAACCGGGTAAGCTGACAAGTAAAAAGAATGACTCGGCGGATAGTTGGACTGGCTGACTTACAGTTCAACAGATTCACATCGTACTTCCTGCCAGGAGTTCAGGTCCGGACAGGGAGAGAGCATGAGCTGTAAACTCGGCAGCATTGATTCTTCATCGGGGTCCTCAATGAGCTTTAATAGAACTTCATGTGACGTTCCGCATCTGAAATGCTCAAACAAGGCTCCGAGGACGAACGAGGCTCGATTCCGTATTCTAGCCTTCTTCCACATCCGCTTATTCCGCTGCACTTGGGGCGGCAGAAGATTCGACTCTTGAGGAGCGGAAGCCGCCAGTCTGTCGAGAGTGTCGTTACATTCCGTGACGACCTGCAGATACCTGCTCAGCTCGGCGGAATCGCTGGGAAGTTTGAACAGGGTCTTATTGGGGCCGTTCGCCAGGTCGAAGACCCCCGAAGTTGACTCTATAAATCCGCTCAATGCTCGTAAACGGGGATAGCTTGATGTCTGTCCTCCTGTATGGCCATGGGCGCTCTGAGGGCATGCGAGGTGGTCCAGCAGCGAACAAAGACTCCTCAGTTTTGTCTCGCATTGTTCGAATTCTTCCGGACCAAGATTGTGAGGACATTCCTGGACCCTGAAAGTGCGGCGAAGCTCGAATTCAAGAAACTCCGCTTCAGGATGTACGCGTTTGCCATTGTTTAGCGGCCCAGACCCAGACTGCACTTGATGTGTCGCTTTCCTCTTGTCCAGCAGACGGCCCAAACCCTGGAGCAGGCGCCATTCATTCGATTGCAAGAGATACGGCATGTCTATGACAGCGATGGTTCGTGTGTGACCGGCTCAGGTCGATATGGAGGCATTTGAGCCTTGACCACCCTCAGCCAAAGGATTGAGATGGTTCAGATGCGGAGATGAGGCTCAGCGGTTGGAAGGTGGGGGATGTCAGGTTCCATGGATGGCCGACGAAACTCCCCCGAGATAGGAAAATACATATGCATGTATGCCTGAACCGGCCGGTTCCTTCGTCAGCAGATTCGGCCACTGATCATTTCCATGGCCTCTACAGGTACGTAGGTCCAAGAGGTGCCTGTAGGATCTGCAATCATTGACATTCGGCTTCGGTAGGACTCAGCTGGTCGTTGAGTACCTTATCTGGCGTGTGAAGAAAACAAATCAAGAGCGAAGAGTTATGGACTGAAGCAAACGTGCCATGCGTAACCGGGACCTCACTATTCCGTACCTTCCTGCATTGCGTTGATCACCAATCTCTATCAGCTCCAGAATATTTATCCTTTCTCCTCCACCTCAATCCATTTGTATCTTCTTCTTTCTCAGTCTCTTTGCTCTTGTTTTCCCATTGAACCTGCGCGGGGATCATTTTTACATCAGTTCCAGTTCGCGTGCTTGACCTCGTCTCATGAGACTCGGCCGGAGCCTCACTATCTTCCCCGCTTTCAGACCTTACTCGTTACAGAAGGCAAGTCACACTCTCTGGCCCTCGAGATTCTTCTCATCTTGCCCAGCTATTGCTAATGCGTGGTATAAACTTCTTCGAGGCACTCTCCAGATACCGTGATGGTCACCTTCGAGGGCGAAGATCTCCTTTACAACCTGGCTTATGAGTGCGAAGCCCTCTTTGACCATCTGCAAGGCACCTTACGGAAGACAAAGTCCTCAGACGGGATTGAACAAGTCTGCGGCGAATTCCAACAACGGTTTGCGATATGGGCCGCACATCTCGGCGTCTTTGCTCGAAAGAGTCAATGTCTGGATACGAGACTCCAGAACCTGCCCGACCTTCAAGATCTTGTGGCAAGACTCCTGGACATCTTGCGCCGCAGCCTGCAGCAGTGTACGATCGAACCGCCCAGCCAGGGTGGAAATGACGAGATCATGGTTGGCATCCATGAATTCCTCCCCGGGCCTCAGATACAAACGGTGGTCCTTAAAACAATCGACGATACTCTCACTCGACTAAATCGTCTGGGGGCTACCATTCGCCAGTCCGGTCGTGGCAATCTCGATACCAGAGTAAAGAGGTTTGCTGCAGGCCTCGATCTAAGCTCATTCGCACGTTTATGCGCAGAGGCCGTACAGGCCCTATACCCTGGTGCCCACCAGTCTCTCAAAGAACGTCTCAGCAAGTCAATGACGGACAGATATACAAGGATGCTTTTTCTTGACTCTCGGCATCAAAAGCTTCAGACTCGTCGTGAACCTCCCATAGGGCTGCCTCCTATTCATGAAATGCCCACAAGCGAGATGCAAACCAACACCCCCCTCCCACAACTGACGATGGGGATCAGAAGCAGAGCAATAGATAAGCTTTCACGCCCGTCTCCTGCATTCTCTCAGTCAGATTTGTCCAGCGTCAACCTTCAGCAGATCAAAAGTCGTCGAAGGCCGCCTGACGAAGCGTCGACCAAGCTTCACAAGACTTCGTCAATCCAAGTAAACCAGGGCAACTATCCCCATATCCCCGCTGCAACACAAAGCAGCGGCGTCTTCACCTGCCCGTGGTGTTCAGAGCTGCTCAGCAAAAAGACGCTCTCGGCAAGCGAATGGCGGTATGTAACTCTCTGTTTGTAATACCAAGATATCGTGTGAACTCTACACCGTCCTGCATTTTGAACACCCTTCAACACTCTTTGCATAGATAATTCGAGGTAACATAGAGGACCTCGGTTTTACAATACGCGTTGGCATCAGTCAAGGGACGAAGCTGATTTGTTCTCAGCCGACATATAGATCGAGACCTCAAGCCTTACATTTGTCTCTCAGAAGCATGTCCAGAAGCTCACCCAGCCTATGCCACGTTTGATGAATGGTACAGGCACATGGAACTTCATGATAGGAGGTGGCACCAGCATACTTACTTGACTTCCAGCTGGGTGTGCACCATTTGCGAACTCAGCTCGGACAATTACAACAGCCCACAAGCCCTATACTTGCATCTGGAAGAGTCGCATGCTACCGAATTTTCGCACCCGCAACTGCAGGCAATCTCTAGACAGAGCAAGACCGAGCAGCCAAGAGCTTCAAACGACTGTCTTCTCTGCTGTTTTGCAGTGGAGGCACAAGGGAACATTGGCGAGGCAGTGTTTCCTAAGCGTCGAAAGGGGCAGACGAAGCAACAGGCCAGTAAAAGTGCCAGGAAGACTCTCGAGATGGCACATCCTAGTCCTCACAACTCAGACTCTGAGTTGTCGGATACCTCCTCTGATTCAGACAACATGGGCTCTGATCATGGCAAGGAACGTAGTAAAAGTCGTTTGAAGGCAGTAAGCCGGCACGTTGCGGTCCATCTACAAGGGCTGATGCTTCTGACGCTACGCTTTGCAGCGGCTTTGCAGGATATCGACGGGGACGTGGACGATGGCACGAAAAGTGACTCCGTCGATATCAACGAAGGCAACAGCGCTTCTGACGGAACGGATTTGGGAAGGCTTTCACATGTTGCCTCCGAAGACGATATCACCACGAAGGATGGTAGCGATAAGGGAAACGGCGAGGGCGATGTACAGTGGGGAGTTAAAAGTCACGATTCGCTTTCACCGTGCACTGCTCATTGCATGTAAAAATCTAAGTGTGCAACTCCCTCATATCCCTTACATTTTATATTCTAAATGGAAGGTAATCTTGATATATATATTCTAATAGTAATAAAGCCTTTTTATCAGTGTGTACTTAGATCTGGTTTTCTATTACATGGCAGCTGGGGTAATTGGCATGAGAGTTGGTGGCAAACGCCGGCTGACCATGCCTGGCCACCGGGCATTTGGTTCCAATAACTTCGCTGGCGTTCCGGCTGAGAGTTGGCTCATCTGCGATATCAAATTGCTCGAGTTTTTAAATGGAAGCATGATTGAGACTGAATCATTCAGTTCCGATCCGGGTCTCGAGCTTGACAACTTGGAGTTGCCACCATCAGGACATGACATGGCCATTTTGGGAGAGAACAGGAGAAGCCTTCCCAGAATATCAGAGCACTTAGACTCAGTTGTGGGCACAAAAACAGCGTCAACATCAGAAAGCCCAAAGGCTCTGAATCCAGAAAGAATTCATACGTCCAAACATCATCTACCTGACCTGGTGGCGACGGATATGTCCCAGTCCTCGAGTCCTATTGAGATATCCGATCCCTATGAGGGTTTCATAGGGGCGGCAGATTTCCTGGCCACGCCACGGCTCGGCCCGACACGATCACCACAAGCAGCCCTGCGGCTGAGGGTGGATAAGCAGATGGAGCACTCAAAAGGCATAGAGCCATTATCCTATGCCTGAACCGGATTCAGGTTAAACGGCACACCCCAGCGGAAGAATCGTTGAAGGCCGAGGAGGAGCCCGAAATCGAAGACACTTGGGTTCCCTCCATCAAAAACTGTGGCAAACAAGCAGAAGAATCGCCCCCCTTGATGGTGCCTGCTGAGGTTCCACATCAGATGCTTCCACATAAGATACTTGAATCGCTAGAAGCCATTATGGAGCGATATAATTCCATGCCTCGACATCGTCCTCGGCCTAACCGTCATCATGTTGGACGGCCTTAGCCTCAGCATTATGCTGAAACACCTCCGTACAAGTCCGCCGATGCTGACGAGGACTCGCCTCCCCGCCTCAAGAGGGTTGGCCATGTGCAATTCGACGAATTCGCTGAATTGAAAGCGTCTTTCCCTCCGTTTTTGGATGACTATATTTCAGAAGGAGCCGAAGGGGTCGAAGAAGCTGGCCACCCGTAGATCCCTTGGCCCGACGATGAAACGGCGAACGATGACAGGGATGAGCTTGATGTCCATGAGGATAACGAAGAGAACCGGTGTACGTATCCTGACTGTGGCAGGACATTCAAGGACCTCGAGGCACGCGTGCTCACACACCAGATTGAGCGACCCGAGAAGGGCCCTATCATGACCTGCGAATACAACGTCAAGGGGTTTGCTCGCAAGTATGAGAGGAGCTGTCATCTTCTAAGTCACTATAAGGGTAGAATGTATTGCGGTTTCTGTCCTGGGCCTGGCTCTGCAGATCAGAAATCTTTTAACCGTGTGGCCTCTTTTAAGAGGCACTTGACTGCTGTTCATGGAGTTGAGCCGCTCCCCCCCTAACTCGAGATGGTCATCTGTAGCTTATAGGCAGAAGTGGCTTGCTAGCTATGCTCCTGACGCTACTGGCGATTGCAGCACCTGCTCGCACACCTTTACTACTGCTCAAGACTTTTACATGCACTTGGACGACTGCGTTCTGCGCATCATTCGGCAAGAAAATATACTCAACTTTGATGAGAATAGCGATGAGAAGCTGCAGCAGCTTGATACAGTCTGTAAGTTGTATAAATCAAACCTAGGAGTGGCCCTCGTTAACAATGTCTATGCAACTAGCTGGGCAATGGATCAGCGACAGCGAGCCATGGGAGTGTGATGATGCTGCACAAGCGCAATTACAACCTCATGGCAATGAAAATAGCGGTGAGGTCACGGATTTGCTCGGTGAGAAAGGTATGCTGCGCAGGTCTGGAGCCACCTAAGAACTGGCACTTGCTGACTCGGCCGTTGTGATGATAGGGCCAGAGAGTGAAATTCTTCACCCGTAAACTGACAAGCATGATCCACCGTTCTGCGGTGCCCTATTTCTTCCTCCAGACTCACTCGACGCAGCCGAGACCCGTTATCCTGGATGGGAGATTCGGAACACCAGCCGCCAGATAAAGGCGCCGAGGCGACCATGAGTTGACAGGCGATGCCGGCGCTGAAGCCCGAACGAACACTTCAAACCCTTCTTGAGGCTTAGCTGAATGCCCAGAGGCAGATAAGATTACATCGTCAGTTGCAGTGGACGCTTGGTCGGCCTGAGTTAGAGGCCAGCCAAAGGCAGCAAAGGTCATGTAGTCCTATACATTGGACGTTGCTCGGGCCATTGAATTGAGCCCCTTTTCCCCCATTCTTTCGACCATAGATGCATCAGGAAGACTACATGTATCTATGCTTCTGTCCCCCACGCTTTCGACCGAGCCACGCAAACCAGATGGCAAACACAAGGATGGTAAACGGCACTACAGTGACGGGAAATACCCACCATTTCCTGTAGACTTGCATCTCTCCGTCGGCAAAGTTGAAAATCGTGGTGCTCAATATAGACTGTATGCAGACAATCAGTCTTAACGGGTGCTTAGCAGTCCATGGAAAAGTGAGGGTCCTCACTGCGATGAACGTCCCCGGCAGAAATAACAGAGTAACAGCCGCGATGGTGAGCATCGCAGCGCTGTCTTGCCGCGCCAGCTCGGCGAGTTCTCGGGTTGATTGACTTTCTGCCTGGTTGGCGAGATGATACAGCTATCTCCGTCCGTCAATTTATCAAAACCAACCTGAACGTCGTCTACGTTTGCTCACCAAGTCAATCCGGGTCTTGGTCCTGCCGCTGTAGTCGGAAACCAAGTAAGTGAGGGACTGGCAGCTCGAAACGAGATACTCGAGACTCCCGCCTAGCATCGCCCCGTTTGGTGTCGTTGAACCATGATGTGTGGCTGATAGTGTATGATACCTTGAAGCAGCACTCTTGAAGAATTCAAGAAGGGCGGCGTAGTCGGAGAGATTGCGGGCGAGGATATGCCATTCTCGAGCGAGGGCGTGTAACTCATGGATGGACTGGTTATCGACTTTTGAATGCTCAACCGTTTGATCCTAAAGCTTCCCATAGCAACAACCTTGGTTAATAAGTCTACGTGAATATGGTGTGCAAATTCTTACCAGTGATTTGAGTGCCGTCCGCTTCAGGGCAATGTCCTTCTGCCACGTCCTCATCGCCTCGTCCGCAATCAAGGTATCCAAGTAAAAGAAGCGCGTCGAGAGCTCGCCGCCATCCTCGGCAACGTCTCTCATGAACCGGGCAAGCACCGGCGCAGGAAGATCGAGGAAAAAGTACGTCGTGCTTTGAAAGTCTGTGGACAACTGCGTGCACGAATGTCTCTTTTCCTGGGGAATGTACTCGTAAAAGATGTCTACACAAGACACACAAATGATTATATCAGTTTCTTTTTCCACGCTGCAAATGCATATTACGAAAAGAAACAAGACTTGCAGGTCAGGCAGGGCGGGTATAAAAAAAAAAAAAAAAAAAAAAAAAAAAGAGAGAGAGAGAGAGAATAGAATAGAATAATAATTGTGAGAGATAAAAGTCGTCCATACCGAATCTCTTGGGTACTTCTTCTGGATTCTGTATATCTGACGACAGACTCGTAGAACCGTAGCACACATGCTTCGCAGAGTACCAGTGTCCGATGCCGCAGGTCGCCTCGATAAAGGTGTCGAACAGGCCGGCGTGTTGGCGGAGACATCTGAGCATGGACGGGTTGACGGCGGCGGAAAGCACTTCGCCTTGCCAGGGGCCTCTGCTGCTGGGCGTGACTTGGCGGGTTTCCAGCAGGCTGATTGTGCTTTCTTTAGCATATATGGTGATGAAGGAACTGCAAGCGGTAGGTGGTGGATAGATGGAGAGTGAGAGAAGAGACATCTCAACTTACATCAGTCGCAACTGTGCTCGTGGGGTTTTTCTCTAGGTCCTGGGTCAGTAACTAGGAATCCCCGAGAACGGGGAGCTGTCCAATACCAAGAAGATCTCCAGGTCGACAGCACTGTCAAAAGCACAATCTTCCACTTAGAAACAAAAAGAAAAGAGAGAAGCAAAGTCAGTTGCACAAACGGAAACCGGCGAAGACGATGTCGGGTGGGGGGAAAGCTCGCCAGGTAAGATGGACTCAAAAAGGTGCTCACCAATTGTCCCGCCACGAAAATCGATCACGCGAACAGCAGGCCACATGCCCTGCCAGCCTTCTCTCTCCTGAAGCGCCGCCTCCAGCTCGTCCGAGTTGACGATTTCACGCTGCTTCATTGCGCTTTTGATGAAAAATCAGACGATGAAAACTGAAGGGGAGAGGGCGGTGGCTGCGGCAATTGCAGGTTCGAGCATCTCGCTGCCTGTTGTTTCATTTTGACTTGTGACTATTACTATTTCTACCTTTGTTTGCGCCCCCTTGTGACAAGGTGCATATGCATGGGCGTTGATCGGCCAATCATGACACAAGCCTGGGTGTAAGCATGGGGTCTCCTTGAGAGAACTGCGAGTTGGCATGATATGTAGGAATGTGAGCTTCGTAGGAAGTAGTCGAGCGGCAAGATGCAGCAACTACAACTAAGCGAAAGAAACTTGTGACCCGAGTGGACGGTTGCAATAGACAATGTATGAGATGAAGTGCTATACAGACATTTCAAAGTGGTAGTGTTACATTCTGGATATGCATACAAGGGCTCCTCAGCCCGTACAAGTACAATTTCGTTGCATCATCAAACCGTAAAACAGACCCCCAACACCAACCGCCAATTTTAATATCTCGTCAACTCAGGAGACCTCGGATCCTTGGGCTTGGAAAACTTGGTCTCGACATACACCTTCTGCATGCCATCCTCCTTGATCTCAAATTTCTTATACACCTTGTCCAGGTCCTCCAGCCGGACCCTGTGAGAGACCATCTGCAAGGGGTCGAGCTCGCCCTTCTGGATCTTGGCGAGCAGCTCTTTCCAGTACTTGTGCACCGGGGCCTGGCCGTTTCCGATGAGGCGGATGCCGCGCTGCATGAGGGAGCCGATGTTGAAGTGGTTTGTCTATTCTCATCGTTAGCGCACGAAGAAAAAACAAGATCGTCATGTACAAGGGAAGGGGGGGGTTTGCTTATGTGTGTACGTACGTATGCAACGTAAACACCCGTGACGCCACAGCGCCCATAGTTGCGCACGCCCTCAATCATCTCGTTCAGGATCTCGCTCGTGTCCGTCTCGGCCCCAATGGTCATCTCCAGCCAGTGCATCCAGCCCTTGGCGTACTCGCCCGCCGCGCACTCGATGGCGACGTCTGGGCCGCGGCCGTCACAGAGCTCCTTGAGCTTGCTGACGACCGTCTCCTTGGAGGTGACGCCGTGCGAGAGCTTCTTGTAGTCGACCAGGACGAGCTTGGAGGCGTGCTCGGCGGGGAAGCGCTGCTTGATGAAGGTGAGCCGCGGCTCCGTGTCGATGAAGATGATCTTGGACGCTCCTTCGCCGAGGGCGAAGACGCCGGCCATCTGGCCGATGGGGCCGGCGCCAAAAATGGCGACTTGGTCGTTTGGGTAGACGGCAGTGTCCTTGACGGCGTGATACGAGGTGGCAAGGACGTCGGAGAGATAGAGGGCTGAGCAAGCGAATCAGTCTGCAATTCCCAAGCAAAGCGGTTCATATATCAGGCCGGTGAAACAATGTATAGAGCAGTACTCACCCTTTTCGTCCGAGACATCGTCCGGAATCTCCAGCAGATTCACGTCGCCCAGCGGCACGCGGACGTATTCGGCCTGCCCGCCGGCGAAGCCGCCCGTGAGGTGCGAGTAGCCAAAGATGCCCGCGGTCCGGCCGCCGTAGAGGCTCCTGGCGCCCGTGTTGGCGTTTGTCTTCTCGCACTGCGACGACAGGCCCTGCTTGCAGAAGAAGCAGTCGCCGCAGGCAATCTGGAACGAGGCGACGTAGCGCTTGCCGACCTGGACCTTGGTGACGGCGCGGCCGACGAGCTCGACGACGCCGCAGAACTCGTGGCCTAGGATGTCGCCGTCGGCCAGCTGCACCACGGTGCCGTGGTAGAGGTGCAGGTCAGAGCCGCAGACGGTGGAGCCGGTGACCTTGAGGATCACGTCGGTGTCCTCGAGGATCTGGGGCTTGGGCACGTCGGCTATGAGAATGCAAGTGTGAGTGTCGGGGGCATATAGCAGGGCTGGACAGTACACATACCGATCTCGACCTTTTGCTTTCCCTTCCACACCAGCGCCTTCATGGTGTCCGCGCCGGCCTGCGGGTAGTTGGAGACATCCTGCTGGGTGATGGCGTTGTCGTCGTGGCCAATGGCCTTTTCAGCAAGATATGCTGCCTTTGAGGTTGCCATGGTGGATGGAAGTCGAGGTGGATCACATGCAATTGAAGCTATTACCTAGTATTAGACAGGGATGTTGGTTGAGGCAGAGTGCTGTACCATTGCTTGGGGTCGCAGACTGGCTTAGCTTTATATAGCTATTCGCCCGCAATTGAATTTCACCGTCACAACGTCCAGAAACTGAGTGTGATCATCAATATGACATAAGAGTTGTGTATATACGAGTATGAATGACGATGGGAGCTGAGCTGAGCTTGGCTTGTCAGCTTAACGTCATCGATTTGCGGACTGACAACTGCATGCCACTTTATTCCAGAGTGGTAGCGACAACTCCAGTCTTGATAGCGGCAAACGGCTTAGTGTGGATCTCAATATCGGAGTGGCTATCCATCGTTTTAGAAAATCCAGTTACTGCTAGTCTATGGAGTACTGTACTATCTACTGAGTCTTCGAATAAAGGAATAAAGGCTCCTACTTTCTACTACTGTCGCTGCATGCTTCTACTCTCACTACATACTTCTATTCGTAGCATTTCAGTTGCTATATCAAGACAAGCCACCGACTCTATCTTCACAGCTTAAGGATGCTGGATAGACACTCCTATAATAATTCCTCATTCATAGGCTAATCAAGAGGACCGAGAAGAGAGACGGGGGAAAAAAAAAAAAAAAAAAAAAAGAAGAAGGCTGGACAGTTGTCTGAGGCCCTGGAAGAGAACGTCTTCTCTTGTCACATGATGCAGCAGATAATGTCCAACCCCAATCGAGTCTGTTCCGCGAGGAGATGTTGTCCTGCAATCACCCGCCTTTGGCCGCACCTGATATATACCGTCCGTGCAGTAGGGATGAAGATATGAATCACATCGCAACGGGCACTGATCGTTAGCTGTCCTAAAGATCGATGAGATGGCGTCTTGACTAGTCTAAAAAGATGGCCTCTAGAACCAACTCAGGGGCACGCTCTCGGAATACGGATGGCTGGACTGCGTTAACCGAAACCAAGTGTCAATTAAGTGCCGACTGTGTGGAGATCTCATGAGGATTATGCCACCTGCTTTGCATTTGCTTGCGTTTCCAACTTCCTCTTACACCAGGTACTCTCCCTCTGCACTCTTAACACGTTAAGAGACCAGCTTGTCTTCAACTTTCTCCAAGATCTTCCTACCTGCTGACTATGTCTTCTCAGTCCATTATCTGGTTCATTCACCATACTGCACATGTTTTTATGCAGACCTTAGTAGTAATAAACTCATGAGATGAATGGTTTATAGTAGTAACCAGTAGTAGTTAAAGATACCTAGAGGTGCATAGATACATACGTAGGTTCGTGAGTAGATACGTAAGGCACCTGCCTATAGTAGTAAAAGAAAACATATTACGATACCTATTCTCCCATATAGGTAGTACTACTAGTAGTAGCCGACTATTTCTATTCATACATAGTCGGTTTTTCAAGTATATTCAAGGTCTCTATAGAGTGATCTTATACATATGTATATCACTCTGACTAGATGTATTCAGTAGTTGCTTAATACTTCCCTACCAAGAACCTGTAATTTTGCGTCTTGTCTCTTAACTCAAGGGCGGGAATATACAAGAGTTGCTGTCGGGACGCCGGAGAGGCAAGGTAGTGTATTACCGAAGGAGTTTCCAGGTAAGTAAACAGGTCTGCATTATACATTGATAGTAAAACTTACGGCTGAGGACATGACTCCGTGTGTACCGTGATGACACATACCGCCAGGCCCTTTGAACATGTCAACGAAGCCAAACTGGACGAAACCACCTTGAAACAGCAACCCCAGCGTAGTATTCAGCTGGATGGAGCAGGACTGTGAGGAGGCGACGGCGAAAAGTATCATATGGCTTAATCTGTACGGGCAAGTGATGAACTACCAACGGGTGCTGCGCTGACTTTGGAGGCTCGCTTGACGGAAAGTTGAATTTGTTGAGGTAGTAGGACGAGATGTGAGCCGCAAAAAGATGGACGCATTCGTCCCCACGGTCCGTCATCAACACCTGAGGCTGAATATGATGCGTTAGCGAACGAGCAAAGCCGAGTATATCGCGGGGGATCATCGCCCTACCCAATAGCTAGCCTTGGTTCGAATCCTAGAAGCGGTCTTCTGCCGTTGCTGATACGCAATTGCTATCAGGACGGCTACTAGGTACGGATCACGCAAACGATCAGACGGCGTGATTCTTTTGACATAGCGGAGATGTACCCCGTTATTCGCCTGGCTCCATCGTCTGCCTCCATATGGTTCCATCTGATGAAAGCGGTGGTGCGTGAGAGCCTCGCGGTCGACAGTGACCAAGGCAATTGGTGCTGTCCATGCCGTATCCCAAGCCTGATATCTGGAATAATGACTGCTGATGAAGCTTTGGCAACCAGGGAGATCCCCCACAAGGAGGCGGTTGTAATAAAAGGCGATACAGTCGCTACTTAATCATCAGTCTTGAATCGGGACATGAAGAGCCCCTCGGAAACTTACCCGCCACGGAATAGCGGGCTTCCATTGGATGAGATGATGGTTCTAATCAGGCTCTCGCGGTGATGAGCCGGCATGTCGGCCGATAGTTCTTCGACGGCTCGATGATACTTGGGTGGAAGAAGCATCTTGTCTACTTTGTCTTCATGCTCTTTTCGAAGTGGTGTTGGGGGAGCCTCTTCGAACCGGCACTGCAGCAACTCGAGATGAACGTCCGTCCACTCCAGAGGGTGGACCAGTACTCTTTCCCGGCAGCGCTGCTGGATCAGTTGCGTGATGGGCAATGTCTCCCAGGGCCGCGAAGGGGGCAAGGGGCGCGCCAGCCGCGATGATTGTCGAATGGGCGCCATCATAGGCGTTTTGGAGGGACGGACGTGGTCGTGATGTTGATGCGTCAAAGGCCGGTGGGAAGATGGCGATCGTTCCGTGTGCGAGGAGCATTGAAGTCAATGCAGGTGGCTCTGCGCGGGCTATGGGATGTATTCAGTAGTAGAGTGCGCACAGTGGCTGGTGGCAACGTGCTGGGGTGCTCGGGCTGCCCATTCTGGGGGCTTAGCGGGGAGCCTCAGCGCTTTGCCGCCTGTTTGCCGCCTGTCAACCTCAGGCCCGTGGACCTGCTGGGCCTCCACGTAACACTGGAGCGTCGTGGCGCTGAGCTTGACTCTATCCAGACTCCAAGGTTGCACACGAGGGCACGAACCCGCCTTGTGCCGGGTCTGGACGGGAGCCTTTTCCATTCTCCAGAGGTGGTGCTGCCTGGATACTAGATATGATGATCGGGTAGGTAACTGCTACGGCTGCCAAATCCCTCCCTGGAGCGACGATTGTGGTACTGACCCCCTGTCTACGATGGACTCGGCATGCATCCGCCTTGTGTTCTGTGCTCGTGCGCATCGTCATCTTCAGGTCTACCTGAGCTCTACCTACCTACCTAGTTGAAGTTAGGCCAGACAGCTCCATATCACACCCATCACTACCTACTTGGTAGGTAGGGCACTTCAGCTCCTTCGGCTCTCAAACACCTCCAAAGATGAGGAGGCTCCGGATATCGACTCTTCCAAAGCCGCGATGACGCAGCAGCTGCCGGCCACGATGGGCAGGAAACTCTGCTACGACCATGACGCCGATCTTCTCAGCACTGATGCCAACCTCTCCCAGCAACTGCAAGACTGCGCAGAGCGTCTCCCCCGTGGCAAGAACATCGTCCACCACCACCACTGATGCGCCTCTTCGGACGGCATCCCGGTCCATCTCGATCCTCTTCTCTGTGGATGCGTGGGATGCAGGCCGTGACACATGCGACGGCGGCTTGACCACGGAGACGGTGGGTGGCGGGAGCTTGCCAGCCTTCCGAACCAGCACCAAGGGCACACCAACTCGTTCAGCAAGCGGCGACGCGAAGACAAAGCCTCCGGCCTCGCAACAAACCACCGCATCGGTTTTGGTCCAGTCGCCGCCAAGCTGGCCCTGCAGTAGCCTCGTGCACAGAGCCAATCCTCCCGGCTGCCGGCAGACGCCGAGGACGTGGCGGAACTCGATGCCCGGACGTGGAAAGTTGGGCACTGAGCGGACCATGCTGGCCAGTCGTTGCATGTCTTCGTGGAGGAAGGGAACAAGGCACCGTTGAGCAAACTGCTCTGCCGCTTCACTGCCATCCCTGTCGTTGTTGAAGCTAAAGCTGGAACACCAGTCAAGGATTGTCGAGTTCGGCAGGCCACAGTCTCCATCACCGCTTTGGTATCCTCGACGGACCCGTAGTGTCTCTTCGCTGGCATTAACACAAACCTCGAGCACTCTGCTGTCTGGCACTAGATGCGATAGGGCCGCAACCGGTGCCTCGTCTCTCATCCCGGTGATCAGCAGCACGTCCGCGTCCACGGCTCCGTGCACCACGCCCAGGAAATGCTCCTCCGGCAGTCGAGGCCGTCGCCGCACCTGATCCTGGAAGAACGCCGTCAACGCTGGCCGGTGTTGCTCCTTGTAGGCCCGGTCCTGCAGCAGGGCCTTCGAGTCAGCGCCCGTGGCCGCCGCATATTCTCGCTTGGTCGCGTCGCTGATACTGACGACCCGCGCTGCCACGGTCACAGGGGCGCTGTTGTTGAGCACGGAGGCCCAGACATTGGCGCAGTAGTCCTTGCCGGCGCCGCTGTCGCCCGTGACAAGGATGATCAGCTTGGGATCCATCGGCGCCTTCGGGAGCGGACAGCCATAGGCCAGCAAGTTGCGTGGGTCTGCGCCGCGTTTAAGACGGGCCAAGCGCGGCCGGTTCGGTCCAAAAGCCCTGGCCGCCAGGGCCGAGTCTCTAGGGTCCGGCCCGAGGTCCGCGGCGTAGGCTCCGCTGCTCAGGGGCAGCAGATCCCGGGCGACGTCGTAAACCCACCGCACGGCAGCTCGAGCGTCTTCGCTTCCGTCTTGGTCGCGGGGCCAGACGCCGGTGACGACGCAAGCAAAGTCCCAGTCGCGACAGCCGAAAGCCGCGGCCTCAGGAGCGACGTCGGCAATCGCTCCACCGCCCTGCAGCAGATGGAGATAGCAGAGTGCCGTGGGACGCGACTCCACCGCTCTCACCAACATCTCGGCCACGTCTGCGGACCCGATGTGCTTTAGGAAGAGACACCGCTTGAACGACGACGTCTTGCCGCCGCCGTGGCCGCCATGCAGCACGGATATGTACATCTCGGCGTCGAACAGACCAATGCCATCTACGACTCTGGAACTGCACTCCGGCCCGAGAGTTGCCTCGATGAGAGTGGGTGCCGTGGACGCATTTGAGGTAGGCCCAGTGCGAGTTTCGATCATGGTCACGCCAAGATGCAAGCGGCCAGCATCAAAGTATAGGTACGCGTCTGCAGAAGAAGCCCGGGGGAGCTTGCTGGCGACGAGCGTGTCAAACTCGTCAAGCCTGCGCCGTGCTTCTAGGCTGTCGCGCAGCGGAACAATCCAGTTTCGAACAAAGTATGTCGGGGCCTCGTATGCCTCGAAAACGGCGCTGATAATGATGCCAGCATTGGTGCCGGCGCCTTTGACCGCCCACAACATATCGGCATCGTTCTCGGGGCGCACAGCACCGGGCGGCCAGTGCTGGCCCGGCACAAGGCCGAGACAAAGAATTTGTGCAGAGTCAACGCTCACCACCACGGCACCGACAATGGCGTCACAAGAAAGCCCGTACAGTCGAGCGAGATGCCCGAGGCCCCCTTGCAGCCACAACCCGGCGCCCACGCTGGGACGGGAACCAAGAGGCACTGTTAAGCCCACAGCCGTGGTCTTGCGGATAACATCGCCCGTCTTGCAGCCTGCTTCGGCAACGACGAAGGCAAGGGCACTGGAGTGGCATTTTCTCCCATCTACCTCAGCAGGGAGAATGTGCACCTGATCAAAAGCTTCCATGTCGACTGCAACAACATGAGACCAGAGACAGTGTCCGCTGTGACCCCCGCCAACGACAGTCAGTCCGACTCGGCGCTTCAGAGCCCATTGAACGCACTGCTGGACGTGCCCAATCTCTGTTGGCCTGACGACCGCCGCCGGACGGTGGAGACGAGCCTCCCAGCTCTTGATAATCTTGTCCCCTTTGGCCAATGGCACCTGTGCCTCCAGCTCCGGAAGCGTTGTCGCGTGATGTGTGAAAGCCATCATGACATCGGGCGCGCTGAACAAGAGATGATCTGGGCGCGCTTCCTCACGACGACCCATGGCACGGCACAGTTTACGCCACTCGGCATGAATGGCCTCATCCGCATCTTTGTCTTGCATGACAAAACCCGCGATGAAAGCAGCGAAACGATCAAGCACCTTGTCGTTATCTACCACGCGAACGATGCCAGCAGGGAACGGAACCGTCTGATGGCATACTAAGCCGTCAAACCCCGGGGTTCCGTCGCGATGGAAAACCACCACCACCCCGCCCTCGGGTTGCACAGCAAGCATCTCCAACGCTCGTTCGACGAATTTGCGCTTGGGTAGTTTTCCGTTCATGCCGTACATGCTGTGGCAGAAGAGGACGACGTCGAATCGTTCCTGGTCATCATTTGTGATGCCGGTGCTTCTCCCTTTGCAGCTGTCCAAGGCAAATGGCTCTTGATAGATATCCGGCAGGCTTCGTAGGCAAGGCAGCGGTGATTCCGTCTCCGGGCTGGGCAACAGCCATTGTTCCAACTTTGCAGCAAACAGGCCGTTGGGCTCAAATGCAGCGTATCTCGTGATCTTCCGTCTCAGAGGGTCAGGCAGGTGCCCAAGCACGCTCTTTGGGCCAGGTCCTACTTCCAGCACCGAGGTGCAGACACGCGAGTTGAAAAGAGGGGTTAGCAGTTGCGACAGTTGAGGGATTATGAAGTCTTGGTAGTTCGTCCATCCGGGGCCCTGAAGGAGAATGTCAAGGCCAGCGCTGTACTGTTCGTCGGTCAATGGCTTGGTCGGGGACGTGGCTTTCTGTCTGAGTGCCTGCTTGAGAGATTGGAGGGTGGCCATGCTACTGTTGAATTGCGAAGGATTGATTTCGTATCAGTACGCCGTGCGGGTGGTGACAATGGTGATGGGGCGTGCGGTGTACTAATGGCTATGGGATGGGGTAAAATGCCCGTAGTTGTGCAACGGCACGTGAGGTTCAGTTGAGCTCATGTGTACCAGTACAACCTACCATTTGACTGGATGATGTTCCCCTCCGAGATCTGTCCGCTCTCTTCTCCTACGTCAATGTCAATGGATCGATTGAATTCGAGCCATATCAGGAGTTTCGCCTATCAAACGCTAATACAAGAACTTTAGACACGATTGAGCGGAACATGATGTGTAGTCGGAGAATGATATGAATAACCGTGAGAAGAAGGTGTTCCTAGAGCACTAGAGCTATCTACTGAACACGACAATATCATAGAAGCTGTAAGTAAATCAAACTCCTTACCCGCGATCCAGCAATATACAAAAGAAAACGCTACTTTTTCCTCAAACCGTGAGGCTTCAGCTCGTGTCTTTGCTCCGGCGGCCTCTTCACCGCGACGAAGTAGTTCTGCCCCGTCTCCGAAACGGCGTGAACGGCCACGTCCTCGCCAAAGGGCCACTGCTCAATGAACTGCGCGTCGCCCCTCCGGTCAAACTCCGCGTACTGCGCGGGGTCGAGGCAGAGATGGGCCGCCTTCCACGCGTCCGCGCGGTGGACGTAGGCGCCCTGGATCTCGGTCGTCTGCGCGGCGCCGCTGCGGTCGGCGTTGTAGTCGATGGTGATCTGCAGGACATAGTGCAGGAAGCGGGCGCCCTCGGGCAGCCGGAGCTCACCGTCGGAGGAGGATGCGGCGAGGGACTCGTTGTTGGGCGCGGTGTCGATGCCGACGACGAATTCCTTGCCGTCGAAGGCGCGGGCGGAGATGAGGACGCCGTCGCCGTGGGTCCAGGGCGAAGAGTCCTGGGCTTCGCGGACGCGGTACAGCTGGAAGTCTTCGGGGGCGAAGCCGAGCGTCTCGAGGGACTGGCGGGCAAACGTCTTGGCTGCTTCGAGGGTGCCGTGGGACTTGAGGACGAAGGGAGTGCGGGTGGCGCCGGAGGGGTCGTGGGAGAAGTCGACGACTGTGAGGAGGGTGTGGAAGAGCTGGTCGGGGACGAAGACGTCCGACGAGGAGCTGCTTGTGCCGTTTGTGGAAGCCATTTTTGCCGGTTGTTGCTTTTCAAAAGGTGTTGTTTGGTCGGTGAAGGGATCTATGGAGATGCAGCGTCTGGGTCGCAGTACTTATAACACTTTATGAAGTAGTCACTTGTCACATTGCAAAGAGGTTTCGAGCATCATACGATTCCATCTGATGCCGAGAGATACTTTGTCGTCATCGAACGCACTAGCTAAGAAGGGGGGCCCGTTGCTATCCAGGAGCTCAGTGTTTTCCCTGTCAAACCTTGTCGTGAAGAACGGATGCTTTTCATAGACATCAGATCACCAAGCTGAAGGTTTGTGGCTGGATGAAATGAGAGCGTGATGGGCTGATTGGAGAGGCGGGAGTTAGACCTGTCGAATGGTGGCGTCGACTAGGAGACAGGCAGAACGGGATGGATTCGGCTGGACGGGTAAAGCGGGGGGGAGTTGACGAAAGTTGTGACCATCTCAGACTTTTGGCTTCAACCGACTTGCTTCATATTACTTGGTGATGAGAGCTATGAGAGAAGGGTGAAGAGGAGTTCGTGCGAGAGGGTGCCGTTTACACGGATTGGGCAGGGCACTGTTCTGCTAGATCATTGCAGAGGAGGTGATAAACTCTTGGATATGAAGGCATTGGATCCATATAGTGTATACTAGTATGGACTTATTTATATAAGAGCGGTTGAATTAAGCTATTCATGCGATAGGCTGGGGTCCCCTGTTGACCGTAGCTCTCGTGGGGCAGGCCATGATGGTATTCCCAACTGTATACGTATACTCAAGCATGGCTTGGAAACTTGCTGGTAGAGGATGATTAGACAACACCTTGATAGTTCAATCGCACACAACTTTAGAAAGTCTTGAATAGATGCGGGCAGGACCGGCTCTATAGACACGATGGAGATAGTTCGAAGCCACCGGATGAGCGACGGAATAGCCCACGCCACTTGCAACTCTAATAGCCGGCTGCTTCTACATGCTGATGAAAAGTCGGGTGAGCATCGTATGACTTGATTGATAGTTTCGTCATTTTATTACTGTGCCTTTACACTCGTAGCTGAAGCTTCTGCAGTTTCTAACGATATTCATACGCCTGGCTTTTCAAGGGGATACTCCGACTACCCGTCCTGCTTGAATCTCTGGCTGTGAGCCTTCGCATTTTTGTGATTGCAAAAGATACATGTCTTGCTAAGCAACAAGTATACAAGAACCTTCATGAGCAATTGTATGATCAATTGAGCTTCTGAGCGAACCTCATGACTTATGTCAAATATCAATCTAATCTAATGATTGAGCATAGCCAGCAATCTATGCATTTCCCTGTCGTGAATTCCGTCAGAAGCAAAATGTCCGTCGCACCATTAGGGCCAATCCTGGCGCGAGAGGTGATTATCAAAGGACTCGGCCTAGAGGGCCCTGGCCCCAAAATGATGGCTGGCCTTGAGTCCATGCCAGAATCGCCCAGTCGTTTCGCTCTGGCCTCTTTTCCCACGGCTGTTTTCATGTCATAATAACTGGCTGAATTCATGACCTGCCATTGTCCCCTGTTCGGTGAACTACTCGTTCTAGGTGGGAGGTGAGCCATGGAAGCGAAAGCGTGTCCGTAAGCATTATTCTCGGCTTGGCGAAAATGCCCAGGTGTCTTCCTAAACGGTACCACAATTGAGTATGGTATTCGCGGGCATCCATCATGATTTTTCAAACAGGTACATTTCGACTGATTGGGCCTCCGAGCCGAGAACAGGCAGCGGCAGCACTTGCTTCGCCTGCATCTTCCAGCCCGCCCCATCAAGCAGGCCGAACACTGCATTCTCAGAAGAGTGCCGCGGCTTCGTCCCAACAAAGACCTTTGTCGTGAACGATGATTCCCCCGTAGCCTTGGCCTTGCGCACATTCGAAGCGTGCAGGGCTGACAGTGTCTCGACCAGTGCAAGAAGCCCATCTTCGTTGTAGGTGCAGTCGCTCAGCACGACGAGATCCCAGCGCCGGGCCTGGACTTGCGGCCCGAAGCGTCCTTGCCTGCCTTCTTCCCAGTCCAGGTTCTCGTACAGCAGCTGGGCGGCGTTGTCATGCTGTCCGGCCATGCGCGCATTCTGCCGTAGGCGAGCAATGTTGGAAGTGGCTCGCGTCTCTGCATCCTCCAGGTCTGTCAGCAAGACAGTGCAACCTCCGGACCCGGGCGGCCGCATCTGTGGGAGCACGGCGCAGAGACCGATGCCCAGGGTGCCGACGCCGCAGCCGAGCTCCAGGATGCTGAGCTCGCCGGCAGCGCCCAGAATGTCCCGCATGGCGGCCATGGTCGGCTCTTGATCCGAGGCGAACCTTTCGGATGCGGGAATGCCGGCGAGGGCGCAGAGCGTGACGACTCCTCCGTCCCAGACGTGGCGGGCCATGCTCTCGCCCAGCTCCTCCTCTATCTCGAGGAACCCCTGGTCTCCCTCTTGGTTGCTGCCGTCAAAATACAGCCTCCGCGTGCAAAGATGATCGTCGTCGTGCCCGTTTCCATTGACGCGCAGCTGCGCCCATACAGGCATGATCAGTCCGTTCCCAGCCTCTGCATCCTTGAGGATGCTGTGCACTCCCGTCGCTGAAAGTGCCGGCTTGGCACTGATACATATTTCGGCGCTGGAAGACGCCGCCAACGCCTTGACAAACTGTAGGGGAAGATTGAAGCTGGGCTTGAGAATCCTCATGCCCGGCTTCCATGCCAGCTCGTTACGTCCGGTGAGGGCCCATGTGGTCCTGCCAGAGGAGGAGGCCAGCTCGGCCGTGATGAGCAGCTCGAGGGCATCCTGCACAGACAGCAGCGAGTCGCTCAGGTCCGTGTTGATGGTGATGACGAGCTCTAGGCGGATCTTGCCGCCGCTGCCCGCCAGCTTCGGGGGTCTGAGGAGGCGGATGTAGTGCATCGTATGACGGGCACCTGAGTTGTGTGCTGAAAATATTACCTATTCGAGGCGTGCAGTTTGGGCCATGAGAGTTGACTGACTCAGCATCGGATCTGGCTTATCGTGATGCCCCGCCAAAATTTGCATCGCGGGGCACAGATTTCTTTGCTTCACGTCCCTGCTTTGCTTCATTAATACTTGAGCAGCCAATCTCCAGCAGCCTAGCCAAAGAGCACGCGCTGGAGGAGCTTCTTGTGCGCAGACGCCCGAATAGCGCGCAAGAGCCTCTGCTGTCAAGATGGACGCGGCATATCGTCTCCAGCTGGAGGCGCTGGTTGCTGGTGAGTTCCATGTTCTTGTCCTATCGAATCGCATGCTGACAAAACCATCAATTGATGCAAAAGACCTTGTCGATGTGTGGCACGCCTATCGCACGCCCATCATCCTGTCGTCTCTCCTGCTCCTGACTGGTCTGCGCATATTCCTCCACACGACGGAGGACAGAGAGTCGCTCGTCGCGCTTCCCAAGGTTTACAACGAGCCACAGCAGTCTCAAGCAAGCGAAAAGACGATTCCCAAGGCGCAGCTCGTCGCCGAGACGGAGAAGAAATCCTCTGGCCCTCGACGAATTAAGGGAGGCGTGACACGAAAGTCGTCGCAAGAGGGCAAGACAGCGCCGGCCGAACACGATAGACCTGCAAAAGTGCTGGTCTTCTTTTCTTCTGTGACCACCAAGACGGAAAAGATTGCACACGACTACATCAAGACGCTCGAGACGTTCTTGGACCAGAAAGCCAAGGAAACGGACGGCAAATTCCTGAAGCCAGAGTTGCTGGACCTGACCGAGATTGACTTTGAAGACTACTTTGTCAGTCCTCCCAAGTCTGCTGAAGGCGCCGCATACTTTTACCTGTTCCTCATCCCGAGCTACAATATCGACACCATCAACGATACGTTCCTTCAGCATTTGCAAGAAACACACCACGACTTTAGAATTGATACCGCCCCTCTGTCTTCGCTCGTAGGGTATTCGGTATTCGGGTTCGGAGACAAAGAGGGATGGCCAAACGAGGACGAGGGATTCTGCTTCCAAGCCAAGGACCTGGACAAATGGATGTCCAAGCTGACAGGCCGGAAGCGAGCTTACCCCGTGGGAATGGGCGACATGAAGAGCGACCACGTGGAAAGATTTGCGGAATGGACCTCTGGAGTTCAAGAGGTGATTGCTCAGGCTTCACAAACCGGATTCCTCGGTGAGGGAGTTCCCGGCAGTGGCGATGCGGTGGAAAGCGATGATGAGGAGGCCGAAGGTGATGATGGCGAAGTCGTCTTCGACGACGAAGAGCCTGGGAACGCAAAAGAGTCCGACGACTCCAGGCCATTGGACGACGTTGAGGATCTGGGAAAGATGATTCGTCCCAACAAAGATGGAAGCGAGGGCTCTCGCAAAGCACCCCTGGCTGTTGACTTTACCACCTATCCCTCTGCTAACAAGAGGAAGGGCCAGGCACCAGTCATCAAGGAGATGGTGGCCAAGGACTCGCCCACATATAACGCTCTCACCAAGCAGGGGTACTCGATTGTGGGCTCCCACTCTGGCGTCAAGATCTGTCGCTGGACAAAGTCTGCTCTGCGTGGGCGAGGCAGCTGCTACAAGTACTCTCTTTACGGCATCAACTCCCATCAGTGCATGGAAACCACCCCGTCGCTCTCATGCTCCAACAAGTGCGTCTTTTGCTGGCGTCACGGAACGAACCCGGTCGGCACAACATGGCGATGGGTAGTTGATCCTCCCGAGATGATCTTTGATGGCGTCAAGGAGAATCATTACAAGAAGATCAAGATGATGCGAGGCGTACCCGGCGTTCGCGCGGAACGCTATGCAGAGGCTCTGAGGATCCGACACTGCGCATTGTCTCTGGTTGGTGAGCCCATCTTTTATCCCTACATCAACGAGTTCCTCGCCATGCTGCACAACGAGCGAATCTCATCTTTCCTGGTCTGCAACGCGCAGCACCCCGACCAGCTCGCCGCTCTCAAGGCCGTGACGCAGCTGTACGTGTCCATCGACGCCTCCAACAAAGACTCGTTGAAGAAGATTGACCGGCCTCTGCACCGCGATTTCTGGGAGCGGTTCCTTCGATGCCTGGACATCCTGCGCGAGAAGCGCTTCCGCCACCGCACCGTCTACCGCCTCACCCTCGTCAAGGGCTTCAACGTGGAGGACGAGGTGGAGGGCTACGCCCGGCTCATCGAGCGCGGGCTGCCGTGCTTCGTCGAGGTCAAGGGCGTGACGTACTGCGGGACGTCGACGTCGTCCAACGCCGGGCTGAGCATGTCCAACGTGCCCTTCTACTGGGAGGTCTGCGAGTTCGTCAAGGCGCTGGACAAGCGGCTGCAGGAAAAGGGCCTCGGGTACGGCATCGCGGCGGAGCACGCGCACAGCTGCTGCGTGCTGCTGGCGAGCAACCGCTTCAACGTCGACGGCAAGTGGCACACGCACATTGACTACCAGAGGTTCTTTGAGCTGCTGGAGGAGAGGGGCCCGGACGGCGACTGGACGCCCGAGGATTACATGGGGCCGCCGACGCCAGAGTGGGCTCTGTGGGGGAATGGGGGGTTTGATCCGAGGGATGAACGAGTTGATAGGAAGGGGAGGAAGATGGAGGCTGTTGTTTCCCGGGAGGCGCCTGAGTAGGCGATTGTATCTTGTACGACTAAGATTGGAATGAAATGAGATCATTAGTCTTTAAAACAATTGTCAAGAGTGGAATAAAATATCATAATTCTCAAGGAAAAGCTTCCATGTTGTATTTCACGAGCATCATGAAACACAAGAAGCGGTAGAGGTAATATTTTCATGTTGGATTATAGAAACGCTGCCTGCCACTACCCCCCTTTTCCCAAGACCTCCCATCCTACACCCTATAGCCAGCTAGCTGTATCATTTCACCATAACAAGTTACACAAATTCCCCAGCCTTCGGAGGAGCCCCATTGAAAGAAAGGCGGGTTCACAGATTTATAGTACATATAAAACAACAGCTCTTGCGTTTCCCCCCCTTTCAAGGTTTCCGAGTGAGATGGGGAACCTGATGGATGACGAAGGGAGGGGAAGTCCAGAGCTTCGAGCCGAAAGAGTTCATTTTTTGTGTTTTTGTTCAAGTTTTTTTTTTTTTACATTTCCTTTTCCCAGGTGTGGCAAGGTCCAAGGGGTGTTTTACGTCGGGATTGTATGAGGATAGGAAAGCGATTTGACTTCATCTCTGTTCCCTCTCCTCTTTTTTGGCTTTTCTAAGTTGAGTGGAGCGGAGAGACTGTGATTGTGGTCAGAGTCCTTTTGTTCCATTTTTGTCAAAGTTGGTCCTCGTTTTGTAATTTGCTTTAGTCGAGGCCGACGTTGGGGATGTCGCCCAGGTTGATGGGGCCTGAGGATGAGGGACGGGTGCGGATCATGATGTCGCCGTCGTACGCAATCATGTCGGCCAGGATGTCTAATATGGGCTGCGAAAGGTGTCAGCGAAGAATGTCCGGTTGATGCTTCTGACACGCTCTCCCTCACCTTGGGAACAGTGCTGTCGTAGATCTTGATCAGGTCGCCGGGAGCAGGGTACACCTTGAGGCCCTTGTAGAAAGCAAGCGCAGAATCAATCATCTTAGAAGCTAGATTCAAGCAAACAAAAACAACCCAAGTCAGCAAATGATTCGCGAAGGCGGGGAAAAGGCCATCCATACGATCCTGGCTCAGCATCTCGCCCGTCATGACCTGCTCGTTGAAGAAGGCCTCGCGCTCCTCCACGCCGGCGGGGAAGCCCTCCTCCTTGGCCTCGTCGACCTTGGCCTTGATGAGGCTTCGCAGCCGCTGTGTCGAGGCCTCGGCCTCCTCCTTCTCGGCGCGGACCTGCTTGCGCTCGTTCCTCCTCAGGTTGCGGCGGAACTCGGCGTCTCTTCGTCGCTTGTAGTCAAAGTAGGCGGCGTACGCTGTTGGCGGGGGGCACCAAGCGAAAGACGCAAAAAGTTGATTAGCGGAACTGAAGGTCTTTTCTTTATGCAAGGTAGGAACAAATGAAAAAGTAAAACGACTGCGCAAAATGGTCATTGGAGCGGCGACGAACCGACGAGGCCTGTCGCGAGGGTTGCGACTGATGCCGTCACCACGGTGCTTGTGTTGACCATCTTTTTTTGCTGGTTTTTCCTATGGAGGGGAGCTTCCTGGTGGTTGCGTATCTAATAAGCTGCAGCACTGCAGATGATAAAGAAGACGCAGGGCTCGAGATTCGGCGGCTGTGGCTGCTGTTCGGCTAAGCGGGACTTGTGTCGCGGGACAGTTGAGAATTGAGCCAGGGGTTGGAAGACGCCGTCGCCGGTCGGTTTCGCGATTCTATAGAGGGTTTTTGCCTTTGAAAAAGATATCACAAGGAAAATGGAGTGCCGGCTGCGATACCTGCTTTAGCTCCCGAGTCGGAACATCGATTGAGCGTTGAGAGGCGGTTCGGCTGATTGCCGGGTAAATGCGAGATGACCTACCGCGAGCTTGGCTCCACGACTCCGCTTGTACCTTAAGGACCTCCATATCGACATCCCGTCTGCCACGCAACGACTGCCGTCTCAATCCTACCTCATGCTCTAGTCAGGTCAGTTGCCAGCTTTTCGGAGACTCCTACGGCAATCTGCACGAGCATCCAGCGTCTGCGCAGCTGGACGATACCTCTGAATGTCTCTGGCCTCGCCATAAGCAGCTGTCCTCGCCCTCTCCTGTGCCACAACTAATCCCCCTCCCGGTCCGCGATACCATCAGCAGGCAGCATGTCTGAGGAGCGCAGCAAGATAACGCTGTCTCTCCGGAGCGGCAAGCGACGAAAGGCTCGTCCCGTCATCAGCGCGCCGCGACAGATTTCTGCGCCGATTCCTCAGGATGGCTCTACCGGCGGCACAGCGGCTGGTCCTATGCTCCCCATACCGGAGGCGCCTCGCCCCCGGCCTGTAGGAGCTGGTGGAAAGGTTGGATCTCGACTCATATTCGTCGACTGGAAAATATACGTTGACTTACTTATGCTGGACTCGTAGACATCTGATCTGGTGAAGCGACGCTTTTCCTCGCGTTTCAACAACTTGCCTCCCGAATTCGACGCGGCCGCACCGCCAGTTCCTAGTCTGCCTCCTCTCGAGCGCTTCAACACCGATTACCAACCCCCTCCACCGTCAAGAGCAGGACCAGGGGCTGCTCCCGTTGTCGACCTCAAGGCGCTGCGAGACCCGAATCTCGTTCCCGACCAGTATGTAGCCTCGGTGCTGAGTGAGGCGAGCGAGGACCAGATCCAGGAGTACATGGAGTCGCTGCAGGGCATCAAGGCACGCGCCGCCGCAGATTTGCAGCAGAATCTCTTGCAAAATCGGACTCAGTTCATCAAGATTAGCAAAGAGGCGGAGAAGCTCAAGGGGGAGATGCGAGCGCTGCGCAACCTGATGTCCGAACTCAAGGCGAACACGACGGCCCTTCGGCAAGCGTCTGGAAGAAGCGAGGTGGACTCGTCTATTGGAGGGGCTGTCACTATGAGCAAACGTGATAAGCGAAGCTCTGTTGCGGACCGAAGTGCCCTCTGGACTTCGCAGATGCAAACGCTCTACAAGACAGTGGAGGGTTCGCAAAAGTTCCTCCCAAACGCGATAGGCCGCCACGTGGTCCTCAACGCTGGGCCTTGGATCGAGCTGGACAATGCGACGTACAAAAGCAGGAGGGCCATGCAAATTTTCCTGCTCAACGACCATCTTCTCATCGCCTCCCGGAAGAAGCGCAAGGTCGACGCGCCCAACGCAGACACTCGCGGGCCCATGGTAAAGCTCGTAGCTGACCGCTGCTGGCCCCTTCTTGACATTGAGGTCATCGAGATGCCGGGGACGGGCGATTCCATGGGCGGCCGCAACAAGCTGGCCGACGCCATCATGGTTCGGGGCGGCGGTCAGGAGACGTTCATCTACCGCACGGAGAAGCCGGAGGCGAGCGAGAAGAAGGCGCTGATGATGAATGTGCGCAAAGCGGTGGAAGAGCTGCGCAAAGGGTTGCAGTCCGAGATGGAGGCCAATAACAAGGCCAGAGAGACGATCAACTACTTTGCATCCAGGGACCCGGGGCTGCTCCAAAAGACGGAGCTGCTGGAGACTCTTTCCGACATCAAGGACATGATGATCGAGGTGGACGGCAAGCAGCAGAACCTCCGCTGGGTGGAAGGCCAAATGGACGAGCTCGACATCGACATCGCGCTCCAGGGGTTCGAGCCCGCCGTGGCTCGTGTGGAAAAGCTCAAGGGGTTGGCGAGAGGCCTCAAGGGCAACACCGTGGCCCAGGACTTTATCAACTTTGAGGTTGAAGAGCGGTGCGCCAAGCTCGCCACCATCATTATTCACGGTATGGAGACGACGCACCACCAGCAGAGCAAGACGAAGCGGAACCTCAGCTGGTTGGCAAGACTGGGCTATGAAGACAGGGCAAGGGAGGCATATCTCGCAGCCCGCGGCGACACAATCCACAAACGAGCCAGGTTTGTTTTTTTCTCCTATCTTGTGCATTTCAAGAGCTAACCAAGCCGTGAACAGACAATGCCTGTTCCAGGGTGATTTGCATCTGTACATCTGGCAGCTATCATTCGTGTACTTTACGCTCATCCACAACACGGTGCAGTGCTTCCAGAGCTGCTTCCCTCCGCCGATGATGAGCACCTGCGTCAAGTGGGCAAAGGAGCAGGTCGAGGCGTTCAACGTGATTCTCGCCAGGCAGCTGAGCAGCACGGAGCCCGGCGGGCCGGAGTGGACGAAGTGCATGGACCAGGCGAAGGAGCACGCGAAGAAGCTGTCTGAAGTCGGGCTCGACTTTACGAGCTTGGTGGGCAAGGGCGTTGAAGGGCCGCCGAGCAAGCTGGCGGCGGAGACGTCGGATCTTGTTGGGCTGGGGCTGGCGTGAGAGTTGAATGATGCACGATTGTGAGGGATGGTGTAAGGAGAGTTAACCTTGGACTGATAGCGTTATCCATGGGTCAAGCTCGACGGAGAAGAGGAACGAGGCTATATATACTATTACAACTACTTGAGCAGCAAGGCTTAATCAAACACCTCTAATGTCTTATTGTAAGCCTCTGCCATGGTGTGTGTCCTTACCATACCGAGCTGTGTATCACGAGCCTTGAAACCACCAACGTAAGATGCCAAGCAATCAATACTAGGTATAATCGAAAACATCTTTTATTGCTACATTGAAGTTCTTCTCATTCTCGTCACTCAATGTGACGCTGTCCCGTTTAAAAGGCTGCCGTTTCAGCTCCGTTTCTGGACAAGTGCTTTGGCGGGGCAGCTCGAGCGGGCAAAGCTTCCAAAAGCCACAGGGGAAGCTCTAATTTCGTTTTTGCCCCTGATGGAGCTCCAAGCTTGCTCCGTATCAGCAAGAGCGTGAGAAAGAAGAGTTGTTGGTGTTCATGGGTGAAGTAATATCGATAGAGGGAGATTGGGTATAGGTAGGCTTGAGCTTTAGGTGATGATTTAGGGATTCAGAGGGATTGGAGCTTGGCACTGGTGTTTTGTTAGAAGGACTCAAAGGGACAGTTGTAGTGAGTCGAGGTACCGTGACCTATTTCGTAGCGCAGAGAACATTGAAAGCACGAGTACCATAAGGAAGCCTTCAGGCATGAAGAGGTGCAGTCATAAGAGCAAAGAAGATGGAGTATCGATAAAAAGATGGATGTCGTTCAACAGTACCTTCTTTATCAAAAAGACAAGACATTTCAAGATGCTCCATGTCGCCATTCCAGTTGTTTTGATAGTTGAGCCCCTTGTACCCCTCGCCCTTCCAATCGCTGTAAATCAGCCTCCTTGGGCGCTGCAGCCCCACCACCACCAGCTAATCGCCCACTGCCACAGCACTGGAGCTCAGTGACCTTGACTCTTCTTCCAACACTCACCAGAACAGCAACCCCCCAAGGCGTGACCGCAACGTCATTCAAACCATCAGCCTTCTCGCCCTCTTCTCTTCTCCCCTCCTAATCAATCGCTTCATCGCTCAACCTCGCCTCCTCGTCTCCTCCCCCTTTCCGCCCGCAACTCTCAACCAGTGAAGAATATTATCGCCAGTCACGCCAGAAGCCATCGCATTTCAGAATGGACACCAACATGGAAGATGTTGGGCGAGTGCCGACCGACGTGGCGCCAGTGCACACGGAGCCCGCGACGAGATCGACGCTGGAACAGTGGATTGAGAATCTGATGAACTGCAAACAGCTGTCCGAGGCCGACGTCCAGCGGCTGTGCGACATGGTGAGCATCCGGCGATGCGGGCGAATGCGAACGCGAGGAGAGAGAGGTCGTCGTTGCCCGATTTTTTAGGCTTTGTCGGCTCCCGATTCCTCGGTTCTTTGTGTGTGGTGGTTTCGGTTGGGCAGAGCTGGTGATGCTGACTTTTCCTGGTGTCTGCCGTCTAGGGTCGAGAAGTCGTCCAGGATGAATCAAATGTGCAGCCAGTGGTACGTCTCGCCCTCTTCTCGCTTCCGGAGATGCGGTGATGGGAGGGAAATGCTGACGCCGAGTGTGCCTCTGCAGAAATGCCCGGTCACGGTCTGTGGCGATATCCACGGCCAGTTCCACGACCTGATGGAGCTGTTCAAGATTGGCGGCCCCAGCCCCGACACCAACTATCTCTTCATGGGTACGGATAGACATGCGCTTTGGTGCTTTTGCTTGCTTGCTTCCTCCCCTTTTCCCCCCATCCGGCGCTCGTTTGGCTGACGACGAACTCGTGACATTGCCGCAGGTGACTACGTCGACAGAGGCTACTACTCGGTCGAGACGGTGTCGCTGCTCGTCGCCCTCAAGATCCGCTACCCGCAACGCATCACGATCCTGCGCGGCAACCACGAGTCGCGCCAGATCACACAGGTGTACGGCTTCTACGACGAGTGCCTCCGCAAGTACGGCAACGCCAACGTGTGGCACTACTTTACCGACATGTTTGACTTTTTGACGGCCCTGATCGAGAACCAGATCTTCTGCCTCCACGGCGGCCTGTCCCCCAGCATCGACACACTAGATAACATCAGGGCCCTCGACCGAGTTCAGGAGGTCCCCCACGAGGGCCCCATGTGCGACCTGCTGTGGTCCGACCCGGACGACCGCTGCGGCTGGGGCATCTCCCCCCGCGGTGCGGGGTACACCTTTGGCCAGGACATCTCGGAGGCCTTCAACCACAACAACGGCCTGACGCTGGTGGCTCGCGCGCATCAGCTGGTCATGGAGGGATACAACTGGTCTCAGGACCGCAACGTGGTAACGATCTTCTCTGGTGCGTCCTTTTTTTCTTCGTTCAATCATGAGGGCTCATGGGACCTCATCTGTCTCGTGCCTCATTGCCTTTTCCATCTCTACTCGTTTGAATGTATCCATCGCTGACAATGCCACTCCTCGACAGCCCCAAACTACTGCTACCGATGCGGTAACCAAGCCGCCATAATGGAAATTGACGAGCATCTGAAATATACCTTGTGAGCCACAATTAACCTCCTACCCCTTCTGGGCCCTGCCCCACGCCAAATTCTTGTGTATCGAAATCCTACAGATGCTGACCAAGTCGACAGCCTGCAATTCGATCCGTGCCCCAGAGCCGGAGAGCCGATGGTTTCTAGACGTGCGCTTTGGACTCCCTCCCAAATCCTTGAATCACGTCACTGACTTTTACCTTAGGAACCCCTGATTACTTCCTCTAATCTAGCACCGACGTTGTTCATCCGCACGAGTTGTCGCTGTAAAGGGCTGTTTGCAAGAGGGTCTATAGCTGTTAGTGCCCAGGCAGCCGGGCATCCAAAGAGTAATGTACGATTAATCCTACTGCCGGTGTCCGGGCCCACGCCACCCAGCCGTGACGAGTCTGAATGTGAAGAGCTGCTCAAATGCGCCGCGCCATGGGGATAAGGCGACGAGACGGGGATGGTGCTACGGAGATTGGGGAATGATGTTTCATGGCCGGGACCAGGATCAGTATTGACATGGAGAGTGATACCAGCTACGAGTTTTTGCATGCCCTTTCTCTTTCGCCTTGCATATGTGTCATGAAGCAGTTACATTACAAGGTTCATGATGTCCATGCTAATTAGCAGAATAGGACACGAAGACGGAAAGCGTTGTGTATTGTTCATTTTCTATTCGTCTGATGCTGATAACATATTATGTATACATTGAGAGAAGATTCTTTCTAGCCACTTGGCTCCGAAGAAGGCAGCAGGATTCCTCGCCTTTCCAGCTATCCCATGACAAACCCCCATCTATTATGACCCATGCTTCATGACTGATGACTTTTGTCTAATATTCCCCCCCGAGCACACTGACTATATATACAGATCTTCAGGTGCTCTCATCTCCTTGTCCTCTTCTTTCCTCACTCGCCCTCCGGATTTATCGGGCAGTCGACTGCAGCTCATACTTCATGTTGCTTTCGAGCTGCGAGTCCCGCGACGAGTTGTTGTTCATGGCCCGTTCCGACACGCTCCCGGGCAGCTCCTCGTCAAACACGCGCCCATCCCCATTGTGGACGCCATTTACATAGTGTCCGGGCAAACTGCTCCCGTCGGGAATATGGAAGCGCTTGTCGAACCGCGACAGCGCATACGTGAAGATGACGATGAGCTCGATGGCATAGTTGAAGCAGTAGAAGCACGCCTTGGAATGGAACCAGCGGGGCTGTGAGACGGGAACGCGGTAGTATGTGACGCCTGCGCGGAAGGCCGCGCCGAGGGTGAGCAGGCTGGCGCTGAAGATCATGAGGAAGAGCTTGTAGCGCATGCTGCCCGCGCCGAACTTCTCGATGCGCTGCCTCCGGGGGATGACGAAGCAGAGGGCGACGATGGGCAGGGGCAGGAAGGCGAGGAAGGCGAAGTAGGTGACGGCGACGACCTGGACGTCGTGGGTCTTGTCGATGGCGGACTGGTTGAGGGTGTAGACGCTGTAGACGACGGCGGTGATGAGCATGACGAGGCAGGCGCCGACGGAGGCGTACAGGCTCCGGAAGAAGACGCGCACGGGCGTGCTCCAGCCGAGATGGGGGTGGTAGGCGCGCAGGATGCGCAGGACGAGGATGAGGTTGATGACGTAGACGAGGAGGACGCCGGCGGAGGCGAGGATCTGGGCGGCGAGGCCGATCTGGCCGTCAGTCGGGTAGCAGGCCCAGACGATGCGCATGACGTTTGCGGAGATGCGGGCCATGGAGAAGCCGAAGAAGAGGCCGGAGAGGACGAACTTGTGGCCGCGGCGCCGGTTCCGCTGGAAGATTGTCATGTTGAGGGCGGCGGAGCAGGCGAAGAGGAAGAGGACGACGGCGGAGACGGGGATGTCGGGGATGGGGGTTGGCTGGAGGCCTAGGGAGGCGTACTTGGGAGGGTAGGGGGGGCTCTGGCGGGACACATGTTAGCTGGTTGTTTGTGGAGATGAGTTTGAAATGGTTTTCGTGATGGGTGATGATGGCGGTGGTGGTGGTGTTGATGTGTTGAGGAGCTTGATCCCGATGGTTTTTGATTGTATCGGGGGAAAGGTGTTGACGTACGAGATGAGACGGCTCCTGGCCGCTCTGGCTGGTTGACGCCATGTCTTCAATGATTTATATTCCTCTCTTCTGTTTCTCCGGTTGATGAATTGCTGATGTGATGTTCGCAGTCGTAGCTGTTGAAGCCCGTTTCCGCGTATAGAATGTGGCGATACGTCCGTGTAAGTCGAGGTCCCCTTATTAGCACCACATCAAACACCACGACGCGCGAAACACCAGCAGCAAATCGATGAATCGGTGAACTCCCTCGCCAATACGACTTGATTCAGATGGAAGGCCAGATGGCGATAAATGAGATGATGGAATAGCTCAGCGAACAAATGTTCGTGTGAAATCACTGATTAGGTAGAAATGTAGATGGTGGGAAAAAGGAACGAAGGATGGGATGAATGGGCTACCACCCAAGTATATGTATATACTAGGAAAATAAAAATAAAAAATCTATCAAGATAGAAGAACAAGGAAGGAACGAAACCTCCGTCATTGTACATTAGCTGGCCTGCTATCGTCCTTCTGGTATTCCACATTCTCATTCGTGTGAGAGGTGTGGCATGTTTTGCCCGGCTGCTTGCCCTTCTTTTTTCTCCGCAGCTCAGCTGAGCCCGCACCTCCGACAATGTCGCAACAAGCCATCACCGAAACCGACGATACACATGCACTCCATACTATCCCAAGCACAGGGGACAAAAACAGGGCAAGTGAATGGGTGGTTGGTTGGGTGGCCACGCCCGGGTGTTGGGCAGATCGGGGCTCGCACTTTGTTCAAGATCCGGGGGGGGGGGTCATCTGTGCTGAGTGGAGAGCGGGTGGCCCGCCTTAGTAGCAGCAGAATTGCTCTGTCTTAGACGTCAAAGAGTCTAATAAAGGTGTGGCTGCTGCCTTTCAGGGGTAGTGTAGGCAAGGCTAAATTGATAGGCTATTTCTAGTTTCCCCGTTGCCTTTTCGTTGTTTCGTTCGGTAGACAGCACGTGGTATAAGTTCGCTTGGTTTATGAGGATGGACATGAACGATGCCAAGCTGCACGCTGCAGGGAGTGCATGACCCTGAGATACTTGTGTACCTGAGTGCTACTGTATTCTCTCATGCGTTATAAGACCTCTGCTGGCCTTCTATTCTCACCTCGAAACGATGAAAAACAGACATCGTACATCAACAGCATGTCACGGCCGTATGGCAGCCTCAGCTGCTCCTAAAAGGATCGGAGGTCGGAATGTCGGCGCTTAACCGTCGGCGCGAATCTGACCTTTCCGGGCCGACTTCGCGTTTAGGTAAGCGGGGCTGGCCAACGGCATTTTAGGTAATCGCCGATTTACATAGCCAGATACATAGCATAGGGATTGAATTCAGCGAGGAATCGTAGTTACCGGACTTTAGAGATGGAAAATGACGAGAAGGAAGATGTTTTTTTCTCTGTGGAGTTGATTTGTTTTCACGGTTGGATAGTTCGTATTGCTTTGTTTGATTGATTTGAGAGAAAAGGTGGAAGAAGTAATGGTTGTTGCTACTAGTACTACCTACATACTATCTGCCTGCTGAGTCAGCTGGTAGTTCAACGTCGGTATATGCATGCATGCAGGAGGCCGGTAAAAGAGAGTACGGGAAATACTACTAGAAGTACTGTCGGACAGACTGCTGGCTACAGGCTCTCAACTGGATATAGGAGGTGTGCATTCCACATCGGAAAATTAGGTCATATGATTACCGGGGAAAGCAGATCCAGATCTGGCGGACATATACGGACCTAATGCCACCTATCTACGAAACGGCGGTATAAGTGAGTTCCCGTACCGAGTAAACGAATGAAGAGGAGAATATAGATTCATTTCTTCCTGGATCGATATCGGTCCTGAGCATTGTCAACAGCTTACGTATACTTCTCAAATCGAACCATCGGTCAGGTCACCGTTTCATGACCTTTTTCACTGGACCCTCGCCTTTTGAGATGTCCTCCTATTCTACTCCGTATGTTCTACCTGAATCCTTGCCCCTGAGCTGCTACCACATCGTACCCTCATGACTTGTTCCTGTCAATGCAGGTTGACAAGTCCCTTTGGAAAATCATCTGACGCAATGCTAAACAATAGGCTAGGAAGCCGCATGTCCCTATGAACAGCTCCCCTGGTACATGATTCTCAATAACTGCACGGCCACATCCTTGGTATACTCAGCATGTCGCCTCCGTCCAACAATTCCAGAGTTGCTCCCCTTGAAGCTGTAGCCACTCGCCGTGAGTCACTGGCAAGAAGCTACGACGATGGGGGTTGCTAGTCTGAGCACGAGTGCGTCTAATGGCTCCAGTCTTCTTTTCAAACACGACAACCTCTCCAGCAGTCAACCCTTGGACAGGTTTTCGGTCGACAACCTCCTCACGCAATCATAGGACAGAGACCAATGGCGAAAATGCTACACAGTCAATGCATAGCACGCCTTACACTGGCAAACCCCAGCATTTCGCAACCATCCGCCAGGCCGACTGCCACTCGCTTTTAAACACTCCTGGCCCGCCCACCAGCTGCCACCTGCTGCCAACCAACCAGCCGCCCAACACTTGCCCAAGGTATATATACTAAAAGTCCGGCAATGTTCATCAGGGGGGCAGTCAAACGGTTTATCGAAATTTTGCTGGAGGTTGGGCGGCCGAGGAAGGCATCGGATTCGATAACCGTTGGCTGTCCCGCCTTTTGCTCTTTTTGCCTATTTTTTGTCAACCTCTTTTGCATGGAAACAAACCGCTCTGCATGATATTGATCAATCCTATTTTTGTTTTTTATCTTTCTCTTCTTTTTGGGGCGTTGAGAATGGAGAAACTCAATTGTTTGCGCTCTTCCTCATCGTGCCTGAACGCGTAGCCGAGGCCGCGGCACGCGTGAGGGAGAAGTCGTGGTGTGTGCTTCGCGGAACAATCGAATTGCGAACTTTGTCAGTGATGTCATTGTGGTCCGTGTATGATACTTGAACATATCACTATCAATTCCGAAGGCTGGGTAAACCTTTTACATGCCTTTGAGCTACGGTATGGTGACGGTGAGGGCCCTTTGAAATGATGTCTGCTGCTGTTTTGCCGCCTCGCAGTCGCCTTGACAGGAGGAGCTTGGCGCTCCCTCGACGGTTCTTGATGTTATCATAAATGCCATCTCATCTACTAAGTCTCAATGATGGATAAATTGGATTGTAGGCATGTGGCTCTTGGTTCTCGTTGTTGTGATATGATAGATGCATGGACAAAAGGGGGGAATTCAATACTTTGAACACCAAGTAGTTCTCTCCGACTGTTCACTTAAAACCCTTTGACATTATCTCAAGGGCCCGGACAAACTTTTCGCTTTGCCTCATGGCTGGTGCAAGACCATTGGTACCGTTGGCAGAAAGCCCAAGTCCGTAAAGAGACTATAGCGGACGAACATGATCTGATACAGCTCAGTTCAACGACAAGGGCCAACGGACGACCTTTCACACCTTGGCTAGGCTAGTTGGTTGAAAGTCTTGTAGTCAAGTGACAACTGGCTTGAGAGTCTGCGTTTGTACAGTTGCAGTTGCTCTTTTGTGAGGATTTCAAGAAACTCAATGCCACAAGGGATCGCGTGTGTCCTTGGGATGTAGGCGAGAATCTCTGATGATGAAAGGAATTCACAGTTGGTTGTGGCTGGAAGGTCCGGTCGAACGGTTGGAAGACACAGTCGAGCGTGCCTATAAAAGGCAGCGCCAGGGTACAGCGTAGCACGTACAAATTAGCTTCTACAATACACTTCAGTGCTTACTATCAACCGTACAACAATATATACACCCAGCCGCAGACATCATATCACCTGGCAAGGCAATGTATAAATGAATGATAGAAGCATTGTAATGCAACAATCTGGCAATATCAACGGCGCCCCTGATTCCATCCAGAGTACAGCTTCATGGAAGCTCATTGGCGTCAAGGGCGGGGACACTTGGAAGTAGCCGTCTTTCCAAACCGTGTCTTCAAGTTATTGTGCGTGAATTCTTTCATCGCTGGAGGTTTCGTATCTGCCCGGTCCGTCACCAGTTACACGGCGTTCTTTGGAGGTTTCGTTACCAGGTAGGTTGACACGTCAAGTCAAGTCGCGACAGCAAATGATCAAGCCCCTACCCGGAAAAGCGGCGACGGCTTCGTCTAGAACACTGGCTTAGTCTACTAGAAGACAGATATCAACCTTCTTTCATGAATGAATGGACTGAGATAGTCCTCCGACGTCCGCCCTGCTCTTCGATGGTGGCAGTAGCACCAAGAACTGCTAATGGCGCGCGCGTCATGCGCAAGGTCTGCCGCGAGGTCTAGGGAGATGACCAAGATCCACGGCAGTGTACTATTCCGAGCGCGTGCTATTGAGCCATGTAGTCTAAGGGGATATGCATCTCAGAGGCGAAGGGCAGGTAGGTATTCCACACTTGAAGTACACCGCCCCTTTCTGCATGGAAAATGATTTTTTCCACGTACACTTGTTGGCGTCCTCTCGGGGATGGACGATTATGCAGTGCCTCGTTGTCGTCAGTTTTGCACGCTCATCGATGTACCAAGATTTCTCATATTTTTCTTGTTGCATATGATCTAGCACCCATAGCAGTAAGTCGATCCCAGGTATAATCTGCCTTGGACACCCTATAAACGCCAGCAAATATCATGGGAACCGAGATCGGCCATATGCCATATCTAGATACGTAACCATCTTCCAAATAACCACAAGTCATCGGGGTATATGTCCCAACCGCTGTCTTCGATGATTCTGAAGTCGAGTAGCTTATTCTATTGGCCGTAACGGCCGTATCGCTCCTATTAGGACCTGTTGCCGAAGCTGTAAATTGGAGAAACCCGAGTGCCGGCTCATTGGCAAGTCGCCTGAAACTCGTATTGTTCATTGGAACCATACGCAGGCAAGATCAAGAAAGCAGCTTCATGACGTCCGCCATTCGCGTGTCTTTGGACTTCTTCGTCTTGCCCTTTTCCTGAAACGCCTTCGTCACCAGGTCACGCTTCTCTTGCTGAACATCCAGCACGCGCTCCTCGATGGTCCCCTCCATGATGAGACGCCAAATCTTAGTCTCGCGTGTCTGGCCAAGACGGTGCACTCGATCAACAGCTTGGTCTTCAATCGCCGGCGCCCACCCTAATAGTTACGTGTCAGGAAACTCGTGACAGCTGAATATCAGATACGCTTATAAAGGAAACTTACAGCTGTCGGATAGAATCACTGTATCCGCAGACACCAGATTGAGACCCACGCTGCACACTGCCAAGCTGGCCAGCATGATGCGTGTCTCGGGGTCGTTGTCAAGAGCATCAATGGCTTTGTCTCGCTTATCCGCATTCATGCTTCCGTCGATCCTGCAATACTTGATGCCTGCGACCTGGAGTTGCTTCTGAACAATGTCGAGAAACGACGTCCACTGCGAGAAAATGACAATCTTCGAGCCCTCATTCTGAAGCGTGGCTCGGACGATTTGTAGCATTGCTTCCGTCTTGGAGCTCTGTTGCTCTGTATCAAAGTGCTTGTCAAAGGCACCCTCGGGAGCTGGCTCCAGCAGGTTGTCCTCCTTCAGCGGGTTGCGACACATGGGACATTTCGCCTGCAAGTTGATTGCCCTGGTGATGCAGTGGCGGCAGAACACATGCTGGCAATTTGTAATCACAGGGTTAGTGGGCGTATCGTAGCAGATGGCACAGTCGTCTTGACTGTCGATAAAGAGCCGCAGGGCTTCCTGCAATAGCGCGCGGTTCTTCGGGGTCAGCTGAACGACGTCGTTCTCTTTCAGCATCTGCATGAGATCGTCGACTCGCTCTCTGCACAATGTCCAGTGGTTACATCTATAACACGTCAGTGGATGACTGTAGCATTATCATGGAATGAGCAAACTCACGATTGCCGGAGTCGAAGAAGGCGCTCCAAGACGTTTTGGAAGCGACCCTTTTGTCCGGTCTGCGATTTTGCCTGGTAATTCTCTAGCACTCCTCTGGCCTCAGATCTACAAGCAAGGTCAGCACTGAACTCCAAAGAGCAGGCATGTGATCCGGGATATAGCACGGCGGACTTACAGTAGAGCATCGTACTTGATCTTTTCCTCTGGGTGAAATGTGATGCGGTGTAGGTACTCTGTCTTCTTGGGCAGTTTGAGGTCCACAAACTTCATGTCTTTCTTTCGTCGCAGACAGATGTCTTGCATCAAAGATTGCAAGAGTGCTTCCGCACTGCGATCGCCGGACATGAGTTTGCGTGAGATTGCATTAGCAAAGATTTCGGGTTGTTCAATGCCTCCGGTGATGTGCAGGAACTTGACGAGGGACTGCAAGTCCTTGACAGAATTGATACTGGTGACGGTTAGGCAACGAACATGACGCAATTCTGGCTTCAAGTCGAAAACTAACATGGGTGTTCCGGTCAGTACCCAGCGGGATTCGGCTGGGAGCTCGCAGGCTGCCACAGCCGCTTGGGTCTTGACATTCCTGATCGTGTGGCCTTCGTCAAGCACAACTCGCCGCCAAGGCTTCTTTTGGCCCAAGAGAGTCCCGTTGCCATCTACCAGCTCCTTGGCAAGTGTCCCATAGCTGGTAATGACAACATTGTATTCCAAGAGGTTGTGGTATGACCCTCGGTTGGCGCCGTGGTAGACAAGAACGCTTGGCTGATGCTCCTCCTTGACGTGCCTGCGAATCTGCTGCTCCCAGTTGCTCATCACACTGACGGGAGCAATGATTAGAGTTGAGCCAGGGCCACCGGTGAGGATCAAGCTGATGATTTGGAGTGTCTTGCCCAGTCCCATGTCGTCGGCAAGAATGCCGCCTGAGAACAGCGTTGGCGCTTTGACGGTGATGAAATCGGAGGCGACGTTCCAGTATCGGCCTTTTTTGTCGCGTCTCCATAGCTGGGTCACCGTATCCGACCCAATTTCTGGAAGCTGGGGCTTTTCCTTGGCTTGCATCCAGGCCAAGCCCTTTTACAGATATTATTAGCCAAGATCACGAAAGGACAAGGCTAGGTGAGAAGAGCGTGCATAGGCGTACCTGTAGCTGATACGGCAGAAGCGTAGATTTGAGCTGGCTGGGTTGCGCAGCCTGGGGCATCTTGGCCAGGTCATCCTCGCCCAATGCGAGCGTCTTGATGGCATCGCTGCCTTTGCGAAACTCGACTGCATCGCTGGATTCGAGAATTTGTTCGAGAGATAGTTCGGGTACCAGAATCCCTTGGGATGAATTCAAGCCGCCGGCGGTAGAGATCCTTTGAGTCAGTCCGAGAGCCACCCTACGTGCTTCGGCGTCCTTTCTGGTCTGTTTGAGCTGGGTGGCTTTGACAAACTTGTCCGCCTTGAGAGCAGCCTCAATTCGGGTGCGCTGTACGGGATCGCTTGGCCCGTAAAACGATAATCTGATGGGACAATCATAGACGCCTTTCTCTCCTATGATTTCGCCTTCAACAGTGATGTCGCCAGAGTCCTGTTCAAAGTCAGCCATGGAGCCACGTAGAGGGAAGTCATGGGACGCAGACTCACGATATAGCGGGCGAGCTTGGAAACGACTGTGCGAGGCAGGTGGCCTATTTGCTGATGCATCACGCTGTCTATTCGGATCGCATTGCTGTCATACTATTTCCGTGTTAGTTTGTCGACTGTTCGTGCTGATGAGTATCCATGCATACCTGGTTGTTGGGCTCTCTGTGGCACAGGACGGCCTCACCAGGCGAAGCATATCCGTTGTAATATCTAACGCCTACAATTTTGGCATCTTGTGACGGTCAGCGTCAGTACCATCCGAAAAATTACCTTGGGTATGATCAGGTAGTTCAAACCAACCAAACGTTCCATAGAGCTCCCTATCTAAAGCGTCATCGTCTTGCGTCAAGTCCAGATAGTCTAATTCTTGCGTAGAAGTTGGATAAGATGGTGCCTGGCCCCTCTGTGAAGAGCTGGGGGCAGCAAATGACGGCCTGGAAAGGGAAGATCGAGCAGAGAGCGCAGGCCGTTTTCGAGCTGGCTCAGGAGAATCGCCGGTGAGGTCGATGAACTCGACGGCGGCGCGCTTGCCGCGAGGCATGACGAATAACACTTGCGGTGTAAGATGCAGAAGAGAACTGGAAAGATGAAGGAGGGGAAAGAAGGTGGCTTATGCCGTGAATGAGTGAGAAAAGAGATCTCTAATGACGATTTGTGCTGGAGCAAGGAATTGAGTTTTCATTCTCTATCGATTTGCTCTTCTCAACCGCTGATTCCACGACTTTGGCAGGCGCCGCCAGTTGACTTCGCGTCTGATTTGGCAAGAGCCAGTACGAGTACGACCAGACGCGAGGTCATGTGATTGAGGGAAGCTCAGCAACAGCAAACAATACCTAAGGTGTCACGGTTGAAGATGTCACTCCAACAATCTGAGTGAGAGCAGTTACAGTAGCTCTACTTGTATATTCAGCATCTTACAGTCACGTTTGATTCATCGTAAAGAAGCTACTCATACATAAGCAGCATCGACACAATCACAACTTATTGTGCACTCTCTCCCTGGAAACTCTCCCTATGTATGAACCTCAATGGAATCAACAAAGGCCAGACTGACTAATCCTCTCGAGCCCAAAGCCTGTCGCCGAGATCCGCCGCTCGCAAAGCAATCGACTGTCCCCAATTAGGTCTAGCCGAAATCACGCCATCGATGGCTCTCCAGAACAAGAGCAGGAATATCAACGACATGCGACCGTCTTTCTCTCCTCTCCAACCTCACTCCTCTTTTTGCTCTGGAGAGGCAGAGAAGCTTCTACGGAATGAGACGCTTCGTTCGGTACCAAAAATGCCGTGCTATTGCTATGAAATCCGTCTCTCACGACGGCCTCTTCACCTGCCGGCGATGGACACCACAGATGCTACCCAACGATACCCAGAGCATTAAACTAAAGCACAAACAAACAAGCTAGGAAACCCAAACCCTCGAGAAAACCCATACGATCCAACGCCAAAGCGCCTTTGCCAGTGCATACACCGCTGTGGTGGCATCCTACTCTTTCAACAGGCGACCGTATGCCGAGAAGTACATGCAGCCGGGCACATGGCTTCTCTTGCCAGTCTTCTCGTCAAAGATGTGGCAGCCCTCCTTTGCGACGTTGGGGGGAGTGTACACTGAAGAGGATCTTTGGTCAGGTCCAGCACAAGTGTGTTGGGGTCGGGGTGCAGACTCACGGTGCAGCGAGACAGCGAAGTCGCTGCCGCGGTTGGACACTCGATGGAGGCCAAGCTCGTCAGCCATGTACGTGACTTGGTTCTCTTGATATGTCTTCTCGGCGAGGACAGTCATGGGTCCCTCGGGCTCGTTCTTCTCTGGAAAGACGTAGCGCGTCTCCGTGAGCTCTCCGCGCAAGATCTTCATGATGCAGTGCGCATTTCCGTGGTCGTGGATGGGGCTGCCCTTTCCTGGAGACCAGACGAGTACGAGCTGGTTTCGATTCCCGTCAGTACCGGTTGTCGCTGGGCTTGGACCTCTGGCATGAGGATGCATGGGCACGACCTACCAAGTTGCTCTTGCCATTGCCCTCGTCGACGAGGTTACGAGTGTATCCTCTGCTGGCGTCGCCGAATGCATACCTGGACCAATGCATGTCCCTGGCGTCATAGGCTTGCATCAGTTCCATCAGGGTTCGCACGTCGATATCCTCGGACGTCAAGCCAGACGACGGGCCAAGGACGTCCTTGAGCGCCTGCACGAGCTCTTCGAATCGATCCTGGCCGTGCACTACGTTGCCGACGTTGTTGAGGGCACTGCCGCTTGACGCAACGTTGACGGCCATGATTATTGATGTTGATGTTGATTGCTATGATAGGGAAGGATGGATTGACTTGGATAGGGACGGTGTGGTGGGAGAGATTTGATGAAGGGGCTTCACAGCAACGATACAGTGGCTGCATTTATCAGGACCTCAGAGATACGCAACGAAGCGACAAAGGGCGGCACACCGACTGGAGCGGGGATGGCCGGTGTCTCTCGTGTCTGGTCAGCTGAGCGAGATCCCCGACGGAGGCTTGGGAAGGGTAGTGCAACCCGGTGTCGGCCAGCAAAAACCCTCGTCAGGTCAAGCCACGGAAAAAGGGAACGGCGAAGATCGCCTGCATGAGCAACGGGGGCAAACGGGTACATCTGGCAACTATCGGGTGGATTACGTTTACGTCGCGCAGGTTTTGCACAATCTGGTTGGACGACGAGGCGCTAGGAGCACACAACGGCCAGTCGAGTCCGAAGCGGTACCGCGAACTGCCTGCTGACGCGCAACTCCGATAAGAAAGAGTTTCAGTGAATTGATTACGGCCGGCAACTGTCAGAAGGGAGGGCAGGGAAGACGGGAGGAAAAGAAGAGCAGAGAGTGTTTGGATTTTCGACCTATTGTCACTCTGCCGATGCGATTTGCGCCACTTGGCATGTCGCTGGTCTCACTCAAGGCCTTGCGACAGGACATACAGCCGTCGAACGGCGGCCAGACAGCCGGCAATGGACAGCTTCTGCTGATAAGCGTCGAAAGATACCGCCAAGCGTGGGGCCTCGTGAAACCTGGTGCAGGCACGGGGCGGTAGCGTCGTGCTAAGAGGGAAAAGCTTCAAGGGAGCCATGGATGATTTTCAGTTGCTCATTGCGGTTATGCAGATGGAAAGGGGTTCAAGGGAAGATCTAGAACTACGGGCTTCTCCTGACGCGTTATCGCTGTACGAGTAGTATCTGCCCCTGAACGGTTGACTATCTTGGATATTGAATTGCATCTGTTGAACTGTACGGAAATCAGCTTGAAGTGATGGGCATCCATGTCATATTTGAGGCGCTGTCTCACAGGTGATTTAGTACGAGAATGAGTAAGGTAAGATCCGCGAGGTACAAAGTACAAGCTCCACAGCCGGTGAACGTCCGCCGGGCTTCTCCGACATCCGCCGCCGACAACCGCCTTGGTCACGGACTGGCCCGTTGAAGCCGTTGAACAGCCAGTTTTTTCTTCGTCAAATCCTTGATTCAATACGATTGATGGGCATTGCTTTCTTCTAGTTAAATTACGGGATGAAAACTCTGCTTCTATCCACGCGTCGGTGCAAGTCATGATTGCCAAATGATTAGGTATACATCTGCGCACGGGAACTCTTTTGCCGGCCTGTCGGTCTCGATAGATTGTGGCTTGCTGCAGTGACTCTTGACAACGTGTGTTGGAGTAGTAGTAGTTTTCTGATAGGTTTTGCTTTGAATCTGGAGGCAAGGGATGATGGTTCAGAGTGCACGGACATGCTTGTTTCTGGCCAATTCAAAGCAATCGAGCGTTTCTATGCAGTGATACAAGCAGGCTGGTGAGAACACAAGACATTGTGTAATTGGCGATAAGTATGCAAGGTAACTGCCGGACGTGTTACGAGGTGTAACTTGGATCAAATGACATATTGGTCAAGACAACGCCGTTTCAACGGAATACTAGTCTTAAAAGATCCAAGAGCAGACTCTGTAGGTTGTGTTTCCTCTTTGCAGTGGTTGAACTGGCGTTATTACATTACAAAATCATGGCATGTCTTACACCAATATGCATTCAAGTTGCAACAGCAGCGACCAGACCTATAAAGCCAGTGACACAACTTTTCTAAAATGAGCAGTACTGGTAATAGCATGACATTTCCCCAATCCTGTCATTCTAACTGTCACCGTCATACTCTACACTCTTACAAGCTCAACTAGACAACTAGAACAAAACGGCATCCCCAAAATCCCCCTCCATCCGCTCTCCCGGACATCAACGCCGCATCATCCGTACGCTCAGCTCAAAGAGGCACAGCCCTGCAAACAGATCCCGATCTAGAGGCCCGATGACTGATTGACACGAGAAAGATAATATCCACATCCGCGGCCCGTCGCCCGGCACGGTACATAAAGCATTCCAGATCAGCAAGATACTAGTAATTGTTCCCCGACAGCCGCTCCTGTCAAACAACCGGCCGATGCCGAACTTTCCCCAGATTTACTCGGAGGATCATGATGTACTCTATGTTGTACATGGTTCAGGGTCGTCAAGGCATGTGAATTGATGTAATCAGGGCATGTTGGGGGATGAATCACATCAAGGAAGACGAAAAGCTGCATGCACCTCATTTTCATCACCTTAGTAAAGGCAGTCAGGAATGCTAAACTAGCACTCTGGAATTGAAGATGGGCAGCACAGACATCCCATCCTCCTCGACCTCGAGCACGCAAGAAAAAAGGGAAAGCCAGTAAAACAGGCCCTGCTGAAACTATTTCGCAGCTGAAGGTGACAAGCGTTGGTCTACCGGAACTAGATAAACACGAGGCTTGGATCGGTCGGCAGCCAGTGCATCATCTGACTAGCAAGGCCCATCCGCAACGGAAATGGAATGGCAAACGCGAGCAAGAAGAAAAAAAATTTGGCGTTCAGGAGGCCAATGACTCAAGATTGCTTGTGAACCAGCTTCTCTCTTCTCTCTTTAAAAGTAACACGAGTCGATAATCCGGCAATCGGCGTACCCTCTTTTTCCTACGCCCCGTCTCATAACTGCTTCTACTTGTTTCTTTTTCTCCTTATAAGCTGAAAGAAGGGATTGCAGGTGATTGATCACTTTAAAGTTGTGTCGGCTCAGCCTTTCCGAGGAACCGCTGCAACATCTTTTTTTTTCCCGGTGTGACCTTGCATGCGCATCAACGTCATAGTGCCCGAATCCCGAAAAGACCAATTCCTATAAGAACATCAAAGAAAAAGGAATCGGTCACAACTTCTCACGATATAAAGGGACAATCTCCGAACTCTCACATTTTGGTCAATTGGACAGTCATAGCACTGGTTTCCCATTTCCTCGACATTCTACATACCCTTACTCTTCATACAAGTTACCTAATATACAGGCACTGGGTCTTTACATCGCCTGTTGAGAGACATCATGACAGCAACGACAGCCAGGCCTCCAAACGGCCAGATATCAACCGAGAAACCGCCCGACAGCACCGACGACAGCAGCAATCACAATGACCAGAGCACATGTGCACAGAACAACGATGCTTCTTGTCCGTCAAGAAAGCCCTGCAAGAATAACCGCGGCTGGCGCAAAATCGTCCGCAACTTTACTCCCTCGTATGTTGTTGTCCTAGATCACACTGCCTTTTCTGCCCCAGTGCACTCAGCCCCTTCTTAACCCTCCCTCTTTACTTCGTTTTCAATCTTTTTTTTTTTCCTTTTCATCTGTCATGTGTATAAGGTATATTAACAAGCGTATAGATGGTTCGCCGTAAACATGGGCACGGGCATCGTCTCCATCCTCCTCTTCAACCTCCCCTGGAACGGCTACTGGCTGCACATCATCTCGTACATCTTCTTCGCCCTCAACGTCCTCCTCTTCGTCATCTTCTGCATCATCTCCATCTTGAGATACACGCTGTACCCAGAGATTTGGTTCGTCATGATTTCGCATCCGGCGCAGTCTTTATTCCTGGGGTGCTTCCCCATGGGCTTTGCCAGTAAGCTTCTCTCTCTCTCTCTTCCCCCCCTATTCTCTTCACTCTCTGCCACATCATATATCAAACCACTGCCATCTCATCCTCCCTTTCATCCCCCTCTGTCTTCTCATGTCACTTCATCATCTCTTCCCATATCTTTCACCCAGTTCAAGCTAACAAAAAGCAACTAGCAATCATCAACATGATGATCTTCGCCTGCTCCCACTGGGGCCCCGGGCTCATCTACCTCGCCTGGGCATTCTGGTGGCTCGACGCCCTCATCTCCATGGCCACGGCCATCTCCATGCCCTTCATCGTCATGCACCGCCACCGCCCGGGCCTCGACAAGACCACCGCCACCCTCCTGCTGCCCATCGTCCCCGCCGTCGTCGCCGCCGCCACGGGAGGCATCGTCGCCGACGCCTTGCCCTCCGCCGGCCACGCCTACGCCACCCTCGTCGTCTCCTACGCCCTCTGGGGCATCGGCCAGGCCCTCTCCGGCTGCGTCCTCGCCCTCTACTTCCACCGCCTCACCATCCACTCCCTCCCTCCGCGGGACGTCATCGTCTCCGTGTTCCTCCCCATCGGGCCCCTCGGCCAGGGCGGCTTCGGCATCCAGCAGCTCGGCAAGGTCGCCCTCAAGGTCGTGCCCCAGACGTCCATGTTCCGCGTCTCCGGCGTCGACGACGCCACCACCCGCGGCGCCGAGTTCCTGTACTTCCTTGGCGTCTTCTTTGGTATCGTCATGTGGGGGTTTGCGCTCGCCTGGGTGTGCTTCGCGCTCATCAGCCTGAGGACCACGCGCTCGTTTCCCTTCAACATGGGCTGGTGGGGGTTCACGTTCCCGTTGGGCGTGTGGGCGACGTGTGCGAATGCTCTGTGGCAGAATCTGGGCAGCGAGTTTTTCAAATACGTGACAACGGTGAGCTCTCTCTCTCCCTCCCTCTCTCTCTCTCTCTCTCTCTCTCTCTCTCTCTCTCTCTCTCTCCCTCTCTTTTCTCTTTTTTTGAAAACACTGTAGGATTCACCTTCTAACTTCGTGGGACACCAGATCATAAGTCTTTCCGTCGTCATCCTCTGGATCCTCGTCAGTCTGAGAACCATTCAACTCGTCATTACTGGCGAAATGTTCTTCGCTCCGTGTCTCAAAGACCTCCGCGAGAAACAAGAAGCACCCATCAGCGAAGACTCGGCAGTCTGAGCAGCCCAATTACAAGCCATGTCCTTTGTGAGCTCCGGAGTATAGTACTGGGGAGGCAAAAGAATCAGGGGTTTCAAAAAGCATCATCATTGGAGTTTGCATCGATGGTTTCAACAAGGCGTTTTCTTTCTTCCACCACTTTTCATCACATATCCTATCATCATCGTCACTGTTATTAATAAGTGAATAAGCATTTAACATAGACAACAGCGCATCGTTCGGCTATGGAACACTGTAATGGGGCTATATAGACATAGATTTACAGATACCCTAGACAAATACTTCTTTTCGACTTCAAAATCAAGCATCCCAAGACACAAAATGCCCTCAACATCGTACAAGGATCGCTGGCTGTCTATCCTGCCGTCTACTCCGTACTCAAACAAGGCTTCGTGAGAAATATCTGCCCCTACCTCAACCATCTAGCATACGCCCAGCGAATCCTCTCCAAGGCCTTGGCTTGGATGTGCACCCCCTTGACATTTGCCAGGTCCTCCAGGTCCTCCAGAAACTCCTTTTGTATGTTGTCCGGCATCAACTTGCTGGCCAGGTTACGGAGCACGTGAACTTCGCACAGCAAAAGGCCGTGGTCCTTGTACGACAGCACGTTGTTCTCTGTCGGCCGTGCCTCGGACAGGATGCGGTCAATGTTTCGGAGGATGCGGATGGCCTTGCCAGAGACTTTGCTATGGCGCCGTCCAGATCGGCTGCCAAAGATGCTACGAAGGTACTGGAACACGCCAATCGAAACAAAGATGCCAGGGGTCAGACCAACGAAGCCGAATACCAGCTCCTGACTTTTGAGGAGCGAGTCAATGCCCGTCATGGCCACCTCGAGATCGACCTTTGTCTTCTGAACCTGAATCAGGAGAGACCGGACAAGGTCGCCTCGGAGCGCACCGACAAAGGGGCTCCTGAGGTCCTGTTCAAAGGCCCGCAGCACCGGCGTCACATCGCCTTCAGCCACCTTGGAGCGGATCTCTGCGATTTGAGCCTCGGTGATGGAGGAATTGCCAACGGCAAATTGGGGTTTATCCGTGGCAAAGTCCACCACCATTCGCTCCAAGCTCTCTCGGTCGGCCTTGAGGCTGTCTCTGCTCATGATGGCTATCTCGCTCGTCTCATCGTGCCGTATCGTCTTGATGACCTTTGCCGTGGGTTCAACAACCCAGTTCAGCCAAAAGTCTCGCAGGGTGCTTCCAAAATCCGTGATCCACTGTATGATGTCTGCCTTGCGGTTGACCAAGATCTTGAGGATGGTGGTGGAGGAGGTGATGCCAACGAGAGCCGGAAGCCAGTATCGGAGGAGAACCGGCGGCCGACCGTTGTGGGTTGCGAGAGCCTGCATGGCATTGACATGCTGGGGAAGCGTCTTGTCAATGATCTGAATCAGACGGCGGGCCAGTGTGCTTGGGCGATACGAAGTCATGTCGCCTTCGACGTGCACAGACAGCTCGGCGTCTTCTTCGACACCCGCAAATACCTTTTCCTCAAAGTCGTGGATGTTGGCTTCCAAGCTGCATGCCTCCTTCAGCACCATGTCCATCAGTGCTACGCTGCGCTCGACGACGCCTTTGAGGTCTTCGTGATCCTGCGCCCCAGCTCGGTCGTCATCGTGGCCTAGCTGAAGACCTTCATCCATCAGCACGCCAAGTCCGCTAGCTGTCATCTCCCTCAGCTTTCGCAGCTGTGCTTGTTTATGCCTGGCCTCAGCTCGGCACAGAGCAACAGGCGAGAGCACCTTTCGCTGTAGATTGGCAAATGAGTGCTCCCGGATGCTCTCTCGAACAACACCGTAGAACCTGCTCCATGGCTGCGATATGGTGGATCGTGTGGACTCGACAAGCTGGGCGGAAGCATCTGCCGCTGACATGAGGCGTAGTCGTGACCGGCTGGCTTGGTATATGTCGTGCGACCACGCCCACAACCGCAGGGGAGATGTCTGCACCGCGTATATGCTGCTGTAGGTGTAAGAGCTCAAGACTCCGTCCCAGTACCACATGTCATCGCTAAGGGGGATGATGCTGTCAACCAGCGTATTGAGGATGGCTCCATAGACTTGAACCGTCGCTTTGGAGACCAGGAGCCACTCGATCTCGTTCTCGTATGGCGTCTTCGGTTGCGCATAGGCACCGCTTGATGCGCCATCGACGCGATCCGCTATCGCAGGAATGCCCGATTCGTCGAGGAGGAGCTTGACGCGCTCGACCGAGAGCAGCGGCTGCGAGGACGACGTGGTGCTCAGCGAACGGATGATGCGCAACAGATGGTCCAGGCGCGGGACGTCCAGGGCCTCTGCGGCGGCAAAGGGGTGCCCAGCTTCCGAAGCTCCATCTTCCGAACCCTCCTCGGACAGGACTGGGAGCCGGTCGAGGTAGGCATCCAGTCGCCGCACTTGGCTATTGCAGGACGCAGCAGCAGGTCAGCACACATCCAAACGCACCCATAGGACACGCACGATGCCGTTCTAGAAGCTATGGGGAGGGGGGCTTCAAAACTCACTCGGCGACCAGCGACATGGTTTAGGATTGTATGAGCCGATGAAACGATCAGACAAGCGAACGGTCCGGCAGGCTCGACCAGGGCTAGGGATAACCTTGACCTTGTTGAATCTGCATCGATCTGGGCTGGAGCTGGACCAGGTGGCGGGTGGAGTCGAATCCGGAGGTGCTTGGACGAGAGGTCAGACCATATCACACCACAAGCAGCGTTCGGGAGTAGAGCTGGCCGAGAGCAAGCGGGATTATCGATCCATTCGACGTTTGCCAAATTGCTAAAAGAGGAGGATGAGGAGAAGAGGAGGCGACTTGTCTGCGTGGGGCGATTTGTGCCCGATTTTTCCTGAGCTCCAGAATATGAAGATCGTTGGATGGCTCGTACTCGGAGCGACAGCGAACCGCTCACGTCATGCAGCGAGATAGGGGAGAGAATATGAAGCGAATGGCGAGGTGAAGAGGATGGAGGCAAGAGGAGAAAAAGGCTGAGGACGGCGATGTATCTTTGTATTTTGCTGTTTCAATGGACGAACAGCTGCCATTGGCTGTGATGTCACTGATTTTCGTGGTGCTTGAGGCTGAGAACCTACAGGACGGCTTCAGCTGCTGAACCGCTACAAGTCACTGGACCGGCTACTACATTCAATTCCGGGCCATTTGTTGAGTGCATGAGATCACTTTTGACAGCTCGCTACGCCGACAACTCCAGTTCAGAAAATACAAGCAATGCTGGGCTTTTGATGGTAATCTCCAGCATCAGGCTGTTCTGCAGGGCCCTTTGCATTGCAATAAGGCAGATCTGCCGATTAATTACATGGATGGGATCCGATAAAAAGCAGCCCAAAGTGGTGCTCGAGACGCCCCTGGCTCTAAGAAAAAAAGATACATTTGCAAGGTATCGTTCCATGCACGAAGCAGCATCTTCTGAGGATGCCGCAGGTCAGCCCAAAGACGCCGCAATACGTGGAAGCGGTAAAGCCGTGGAACTGGGGTCAGCAGAAACAAGCGGATCATATAATTCCGGCTAGACTGAAATTGAATGATTCTCAGACATTTCTCGTGTGAGTGAGTGAGTGAGTGAAATGAGAGAGAGTGTGTGCGTGATCGATAATGATGATACAAGCAGCCGCAGCTCGTTCAACAAAGTGCTGATTTGCCGCGATGCGAATACGAATGCGGGCATGCAGGAACGCGCCCAATCACAGCGCCTCGCAAGCCCATCCTCGCCTCTCGACCCTCTGCGAGGCTGCGCGGCCCGTCCGTGGCCCCGATTGGCATCAAACGACGGCCAGATCCCCCAGAGCGCCGGAACGTCTTGCTTCCAGGTGGGCTCATTGCAGCTCCGACTCCAGTTTTAATTCCCTGTGGCCATTTGCCATCTCCTGACTAGTCTAGCCGTTCTGTCTGGGAAGAAGCGGCCAATGAACGCCTCTGGGCGTCTGCGAAACCAGCGATAAAAATCTCCCTTTGCGCCCCCACAAACGCTCTCCTAATCCCAACTTGTCCCTCCCACAAGGCAGCCTCTCCTTATCTACCGCCTGTCGTCCTCGCTTCGGCTCTGGGAGGTTTCCTTTCTTCTTACATCCCTCTCAGCACCTCTGGAAGGCAGATTCCTACGAGCATCTCAGCAATTGGCTCTTCACCATGGAAGTGGCGTAAGTTGTTGCCTTTGCTTCCACACTTGGCTCGGCATATTCTAACCGGCAATTTCACAGGAACGCGACATTCAGCGCGTTGAACCAGACGCAGGGCTACCTCAACGTCCTCGAAGAGGTCGGCAAATACAATGTCCACCTCAACTACTTTGAGCGCCTCTGGGCTGTACGTCTTCTACCTCTCCCCGCCAAATCAACGCGAAGTCCGAATCCAAAAACTGACATCACATCTTCCAGGCTTGGTACCTCTACATGCAGAACGACACTCTGGCGACCGGCATCATGAGCTTCGTCATGCACGAGGTCATCTACTTTGGCCGCTGCATCCCCTTCATCATCATGGACCAGATTCCCTTCTTCCACAAGTACAAGATTCAGAGCCAGAAGATGCCGACCCTCAAGGAGCAGTGGGACTGCGCTTCCATCGTCCTCATCAGCCACTTCACCGCCGAACTGCCTCAGATCTGGTTCTTCCACCCCATCGCCACCTACTTCGGCATGGACTACAGCGTCCCCTTCCCCTCGCTCTTCACCATGGCCTGGCAGATTGCCATCCTCTTCGTCATGGAGGATACCTGGCACTACTGGTTCCACCGCGCGCTTCACTACGGCCCTCTCTACAGGAGCATCCACAAGATGCACCACCTCTACTCCGCTCCCTTTGGCCTGGCCGCCGAGTATGCTTCGCCCATCGAGACCGCTCTCCTCGGCATTGGCGTTGTCGGATCTCCCATCCTCCTCCTGGCCATCACCGGCGAGCTTCACCTGCTCACCATGTACGCCTGGATCACCCTCCGTCTCCTGCAGGCCATCGACGCCCACAGCGGCTACGAGTTCCCCTGGAGCTTACGCCACTTCCTCCCCGTCTGGGCCGGTGCCGACCACCACGACATGCACCACGAGAAGTTCATTGGCAACTACGCTTCCAGCTTCCGCTGGTGGGACTACATGCTCGACACCGAGGCCGGTGCCGAGGCCCACAAGAGGCGCCGCGAGAAGAAGATGGCTCAGATGAAGGCCAAGAAGGCTCAGTAAACGGCCTTTGCACACGATCCCACCTCAACGGACCCGCACATGGGCGCTGTTGGAGACGATGTCAATTTTGAAACCGGACGACAAAAGGGAAAGAGATGCACGATTTGAGAGATACAACTACCTTGATGAGAAAAAAGAAAAGTAGGATTAGATTAATGGTCAGCTAAAGGCCTAGCTGCGGCAGCCTCCGACATGGCAATGGCATCACACGGCGTTGGGAGGGAGTGGCTTGAGCATCAACCTTGATTAATGTTTTGTATATACTTAAACACGTACTTTGCGAACACCCTAGACATATACTTAATACAGCTCAACGTCAAGCCCATGGTTGGAATACCCTCTCGGCGTCTCTTTGCGGTTGAAGCCTTACATCTCAATTTCTTGCCTCAAAGAAACACAAGATCTTACAATGCTGTTTGAAACAGCGCATGACCCACCCGTTATGTAAGCGGGCCAGAGCTTTCCAATATTTTCGTGCCATAAATTTCGCTCCTAAGAATTCACACCTCTCTTTTGCTTCCTTCATGCTTCCAACAGCTCTATGATATTCCCTCTGCGGTAGCGTATAGCTTAACAGCTATGATAGAGCTACCTACTATCGAGACTTTCCTTGATTCGACCATTGGCCTTTGACTCAAGGTTCCGATCCGTCGCATCGAGAAGTGCCTCGTTACGCCAAGCCTGCTTCCGAGTGTATCGCCCTGCCAAACAATCTCATTTCTTCCTTCTCCCGCAAACGACGGATGATTGTCAAAGCAGAAACCGTCCAGGTGGACAGGAACTGTTCATACATTTCGTGCCATTTCCTGCTACCATTACAACTGCCCTGACAGCCACCGCCTCACGAGCTCTGGCAACTGAGACGTCTCTTTTCTTCCGTGCGTCTTTTCGGTACTTTGTCAGGGCAGAGAGCAAAACTCTTTTCGCGATTCCGATTAAGCCGGAGCGTCGACTGCCATCCTCTTGCTGAAAGGCGCGAGGTGCATAGTTGAGGCTTGACTTTGTGGATCATACATTTCCTTTTTCCCCCTTTTCTGAAGAAACGCCGTAGAACCTAAACCTCCATGTGCGCCGTTTGTGATGTATTCCCAGATGCTCTTTCCCGTGTTCCTCAGTAGTCAAATGAAAGATTATAACGTAAGGTAGTGTCGATATTCCAGTGAGTAGCCTTTTCCAACCGCTCACTTCAGAACCGTATGCGCGCCTCGTGCAGCCAGAAACTGCTCCGCGGAGCTCTGGGGCAGCGTCCTAATCAGCCCAAACACCTCCTTGTTATGATACCGCAGCCGCGTCTTGGGATCCAGATACGGCGCCGGAAGACCCGTGATGTCGCAGTAATGCTTCGCATGAGCCAGTGAAGGCGCCGACTCGATGTTCGTATACGTCGCGCTCGGCGCAGACACGCCTCCCGCTCCCGCACCTCCAGCCCCAGGCGGCTTCAGCGTCTTCTCCAGCACGAGCTTCGACAGGCTCCTCGAGGCCTGGGCGAGGTTGGGCGGCTGCGGCGGGTTCCCGTTGTTGCTGGTCGCGGGCGTGGAGGTGCCGCTCGTGGAGAGGCCGTCGTCGGCGGCGGACGGGGTGGCATCGCCGCTGACGTCCGCGGGGGTCGCGAGGGCCGAGGCCTCGCGCTTGGAGGCGTCGCCGACGATGGCCTTGAGGTTCTTGTTGCGGCGCTGGTTGGGCTTCCAGTTGGGGTTGCGGAAGTTCTTGTGGATGGAGTGGATGTCGAGCTGTTCGAGGAGCTGCGTGTGCGCGAGCTGCGCTTCTGTCGGGGCTGCCATGGTGTCGCTCTAGACTCTACTGAGAAGATGATGTGATGTATGGAGAAGGAGGAAGGTGCGTGGATTGCGTAGGATACTCGGTGAGGCTTGGTGATGGAGCAATTGGTGGTGGATGAATATTGGAAGCTGAGAGTCGAAGCCTCCTAGAACCTGAGCCACGCTTAGTCATGAGTGTGATGCTCTCGCTGAGCTCACCGAGAACCGTAGCGCTGAAGCACAGAGTTACGGGCTTACTAGGTATGTACATAGACTCGGCGCCCCTCTGTAATTCTATCTCATCAACCATCAACCATCAGTCACCGAGCCTGTGAAGGCATCTTTAATCACAAAGACATGGTACTCGATTCCCATCATCTGTAGACACGCGCATGATGCGTTTGCTAATGCAAGCGCAGGAGAGCCCTCACGAGCATCAGCAGAACCTGCTGCTGTCGCGTATCATCACAAACGTGGTATGGCTATTCACCACCAGCCCCGTGATGAGCCGTGGCTAATGGACGCAGGAAAAACTGAACGAGGCAATTGTTGTCATGAATAAGAGCCTTCAGGTCAGAGGATACAGGAGCCTGTATCATTTTCTACGTTTACTCACACTGCGCAGGAGATTAACGTTCAGAACATGAATGTCGAGCTCGTCGCCCAGATGTTCAAGAATTACCAGTCCAATGTCCTCTTTCATCTAGAAGGTCAGTTGATGTCACATCTGGGGGTTGTGATGAGTATGGGTTTGACTCTGATGTTGACGGTGTTTTGCAGCAACGGATAACCTCAAACCTCCTTCGTGAGGTGATACCGGGGCGTGATCTTGGTTGGCTAAGGTAATCGGAGATGAGAGCATGACTGTTGACGATACCCAAGTGGATGGCGCATATGAATTTAGAAGACAACAGGCATAGAAATCCATGATATTTCAGTTTGAATCTTTCTACAAATCGAATCCTTCTATGCAGGAGACTAACATGACATGAAAAACTGTGCCCTCTGAACCCTCTGAAGCCACCGTTTACACGGTGCCCATCCCATGTACCGCCAACTTGTGCTCCCTGCCTCCAAGCCCGTGAAGCTCCCAAAAAGACCGTTGACGCGCTTGTTTAGCGGTGGACCCACGCCCAGCATTTGCCGTCATCAGCCTCGCAGCCTCGCGATTGTCCATTGAACCCTTCCGAGCTCACCAATCTGTTCCAAACCATCAATTGGTCATCCCTCGATTCCTGCCATCCATCAAAATTCGTCCCAACGCCCGCCCGAATCGTCATTTTTCTACCATCATGGTCTCCTCGTATTGAGACCTACCACGACTTCCATCCTACACCTCTCGCGCGATAACTCCCTTCGAGACAAAACGAAATCATGGCGCCCTCTGCCATCGACGACCGAGTGCCTCAGGCGCCCCAAGAAAAGACGTATCCACCGGCCAAGATTTTCCCCGTCAAAGAGACCAAGTTTGAAAAGTTCATCGAGCCCCAGACCGACGGCCGAAAGAAGGCTCTTGAGCAGCCCGGCAATGCTGCCATCGTGATAGACAATGGTCCGCCACCATAGCATGGATCAACCCACGGGGGGGCAGTTTGGCTGACAGTCTACAGGCTCCTCCGCCGTTCGGGCAGGATGGTCCTTTGAGGACGCGCCCCGTCTCAACATTCCGCCCATCATGGCCAAGTACCGCGACAGAAAGCTCGGAAAGACGTTCTCCTTCGCCGGCTCCGACTGCTATGCTGATACGACGGCGCGCGGGCATATCCGAAACGCCTTCGAGGCCGGCACCGGCATCATAAGCAACTGGGATGTGGCGGAGCACGTGCTGGACTATGTCTTTCTGAAGCTGGGCATGAACGAGGCAGACGGCGCCGTCGACGTGCCCATTGTCATGACAGAAGCGGTCGCAAACCTGCCGTACTCAAGAAAATGCATGTTTCCAGGCCCCCAGACTGGATAAGGAGTCCCATTGTCCCGAGGCGGGCTGAAGGCTAACATTTCATCTGTGTAGCCATGACCGAAATCATCTTTGAATGCTACGGCGCTCCGTCCCTCGCGTACGGCATCGACTCGCTCTTCTCATACAGGCATAACAAGGGAAAGACGGGCCTGGTCATTTCCTCCTCCCACACCTCCACGCACGTCATCCCCGTCTACAACTCCAAGGCACTTCTCTCTCAGGCCACGAGACTGAACTGGGGCGGCTACCATAACGCTGAGTACCTGCTCAAGCTGATACGGTTAAAGTACCCTGCCTTTACTGGTAAACTCAACCAATCACAGGCGGAACACATGATACAAGACCATTGCTACGTCTCAACAGACTATGACAATGAGATCCGCAATTATCTCAACTGGGAGGGGCTAGAAGATCGAGACATCGTGATCCAGTATCCGTACACGGAAGAGGTGGTCGTCCAGAAGAGCCAGGAGGAGCTGGACCGCATCGCGGAGCGCAAGAAGGAGAGCGGACGAAGGCTACAAGAGCAGGCGGCCAAGATGAGGCTCGAGAAGCTCATGAAGAAGGAGCAGGATCTCGAGTACTACAAGAACCTGCAGGGCCGGATAACGGATGAGACGAAAAAGGAGACGCGACGTCTTCTCGACAGCCACGACATTAAGGATGAGGCACAGCTCGAGAAGATCATCAAGGAGCTGGAAAAGTCCATCAGGAAGGCCCGCACCAAGGATCTCGGCGGCGATCCCGAGGAAGAACAAGAGCAGCCGGACTTTAGCCTCCTGGATGTCCCGGACGAGGAGCTTGACGAGGCCCAGCTGAAGCAGAAGCGGCAGCAGCGTCTCCTCAAGTCCAACCACGAGGCCCGCGCCCGCGCAAAGGCCGAGAAGGAGGCCGAGAAGGCTCGCATCGCCGAGGCAGAGCGGCTTGACCAGGAGCGTCGCGAGAACGACCTGGAAGGGTGGCTGGAGGAGAAGCACCAGGCCCTGCAAGAGACGTTGCAGAAGATCAAGGAGCGCGACAGGCTGAAGCAGGACCTGGGCAACCGCAAGTCGCTGGCGTCGCAGATCCGCATGAAGAGCATCGCCAACCTGGCGTCGGACAACCCGACCAAGAAGCGGCGGCGCGGGGGCGACGACGACAACTTTGGCGCCAACGACGACGACTGGGGCGTGTACCGGCAGATTGCGGTGGGCGACAACAGCGACGAGGAGCAGGAGGAGGAAGACCTGGCGTCGACGCTCAAGTCGCTGGAGCAGGACCTGCTCAAGTACGACCCCAACTTCACGTACGACGCCTTTGCGCGCGGCCCCCGGCCCTTTGACCCGTCGTCGCAGGCGGAGCTGCACCAGATCCACCTCAACGTCGAGCGCATCCGCGTGCCCGAGGTGGTCTTCCGGCCGTCCATTGCCGGCGTCGACCAGGCGGGCATCATTGAGATTGCGGGCGACGTGCTGACGCAGCGCCTGGGCGGGCTGCCCAACCGGGACGACTTCCTGCGGGACATTTTCCTCACGGGGGGCAACACGCTGTTCCGCGGCTTCGACGAGCGCGTGCGGGACGGGCTGAGGGCGCTGCTGCCGGCGGAGGCGCCGCTGCGGGTGCGGAGGGCCGAGGACGCGCTGCTGGATGCGTGGAAGGGGGCTGCCGGGTGGGTTGGCACGGCGGCCTGGAAGTCGGCGGCGATTTCGAGGGAGGAATATCAGGAGAAGGGGCCGGAGTATATCAAGGTAAGTCCTTCTTCAGTCTTTGCCCGCGTCACTCTATTATATGTGTGTGCTAACAGATGTTTGATATCCGCAGGAACACGACATGGGCAACTCATATGCGTGAGAAGCTGCATAGGTAGCCTAGACGAACGAAGCAATTTCATGTCAAATGTTTAGTAATGTGTTAATTCTCTTTTTTCCTTCAGTGTCACATTTCTCATTTCTAAGAAGGACCACTTCGTTATGCAGACTACAATAAGGTGCCAAAAGAAGGCCAAACACACACAGGTCGTGTTAATGAAAATTCGTTGCCAGTAACTCGTAACTTCTCACAACTCAACTCAACCCTCCCTTGCACTCCGAGTTCACTCTTCGTCTCAAAAACGCAATGTAATGTTTTCTCGTTCAAGATTGCTTCTACATACCCCATCAAGAGGGAGTAGTAAGGTGTGAGTAAACAATTGTAAACCAAACTGGAACACAGCACCCAGTCATACCAAGTCACACACCGCACATACACACGTCCTCAAGAGGAAAACAATTGAACCCCTCTAAACCACAAACGACACTTCAAACACACATCACGCACACAAAGGAAAGAAACACATTGGAAAGTTGATAATTCAGATTAGACACACACGAGGTCTCCCGGAACGCCAATCCCATCAATTTAACCCCTCCCCTCCTTTTCCTTAACGGAAAGAAGATAAAAAAACAAAAAAGACAACACAAGAAAGCTGCGTCTGGGATTATATCTGCAACACACACAAACGCAATGAGAAAAACCCCCTCAACGCCTCCAGAACAAGAGCAACCTAAAGACCAAAAAGAAGAAGAAATCTGGAAGAGAAGCAGCTTGGTTCTGCTTCCCCACCAATCAAAACTCAAATCGCGGTGGCACTCTCTAAGGTTGGCCAGGCCGTGCATCGGGGTTGATTGGCCTTTCCAAGTCTTCTGTCGCGGCGCGGGAGTTGGCGTCCTGCTCGCCTGGCTGCTCCGTCTTGAAGGGCGGGCTGGGGTATGTCTGCGCGCGCTCAACCATCTGCTCCTGGGCAGCCAGACCGGCGACGGCCTGCGCGACGGCCTCGAGCGGCGTGCCAACGCCGGAGTTGCTGCTGTTGGACGGCTGCGGAGGCGGCGGCGGAGGTTGCTGGTGCTGTTGGTGAGGGTGCTGCTGGTGGTGCTGCTGCTCAGGGGCGCTCGGCGGAGGCGGCGCGGCAGTCGACGGCTGCGAAAGGTTCACGTTGGGAGGAGGAGGAGGAAATTCGCCCTGGGTATCGAGCAGTCGGGATTGGAGGTGAATCACGTATTCCCGGAGCGCGTAGTTCTCGGATTGCATCGACTTGTACGAGAGCTCCAGCTCGGCCAGGTCACGGACCTGCTGCTCGAGCTTCTTGATGTAGCCCTCCTTGCGCTGGCGGAAAGCTCGCTGTAAGAGTGACACAAGAGCGGTCAGCAATTGCCATGCCAATTGACATCAACGTGATTATATCTTGGGTCTCAACCCGGGCGCTTGCCGCTAGTTTACCCATTCAGGAACGCGATGGCAATGCGCAATGGATTGTCGCGGGACCTGCGAGCGAACCCGGGGGATGCCGGCGCGATCTGCTCGGATAACCAATGGCGACATTGACCAACGAGCGACGTCGGCAGGGGATGAGAGAAAGGCCAAGGCAACAGACAGCGCAAACTCACCTGAGCAGCTCGGTTCTGGGCGGCGCGCTTGGATTGCGACAGCTCGCGCTTCGCCTTACGACCGTCGGCCGGGTTAGAGTCGTCGACGGGCATCTGCTGCGGCGGCGCAGGGGCCAGCGGCACGGCTGAGGGCCCGGGAACGGCGGGACCGGGGCTGTGGCCGGCGGGAGGGACCATGGGCATCATGTTGGCGGCGGGCGCGTGGCCGACGGAGGCGCGGAGGTCGGGGTGGATGTGCGCTTCAGCGTCTAGCTTGGCGAGGGGGCGGGCGACGTCTTGAGGCGCCAGGGCGTCGTATCCATTCGGGGGCCGCGACGGAGGGCCTCGGGGATCGCGCGCGCTCGAGGTGGGCGAGGCCGACGAGGCAGCGGAGTCGTGGTTCTGGAGGAGCTCGAGCTGTGCGCGCAAGTGCTGTTCTGCGGCCGCGCCTGTTAGCCCAGCGTCCATTGAGTCTCCGTCCAAGGGGGGAGAGAGTGGTGGTTAGGACATGAGGGAAGAAGCGAGGCGTGGCCCGATGGAACGTCAATCGAGCCAGCGACACAAGGCAGCACCCAACTAAGGCATGCTGTGCCGCGGCGAAGCGATTCGCGTTGTCGTGCTGCTGCTATTTCCAGAGCCGCTGGCCTTGGGGCAATTGCTTGCTAAGGAGGTGGACGGACCGTCGGCGCCGAAGTGGTGCTTATAGATCAACTGGAGCAGGACCTGTAAACCCCGGAGACGCTTGACTGGTGGTGGTGCAGCAGCCAAACAGAAAGCTGGAGGAGACTTGTGGGTTGCAGGCGGTGTTGAGGGGAGGTAGTCGAGGCAGAAAGCACTGCAGAGAGACGGAGAGAAGCTGCAGCAGCTGGGCGATGCCGGTGATGTCGATCGATGCTGGTGCTGGTGCTGGTGCTGATACCGATGCTAGTGGGAAGCAAAGCCGCAGCAACGCCAAGCAGCAGAAGCGCAGGCACGAGCAACAGGCACAGGCAAGGAATCGGATTTCAAAGCAGCGCCACGCCGAGCAGGGGAAAGTCAAGCAGAATGGCTGAGGCCAGGCGCTCGGGTCAAGGGCAGAAGGAGAGGAAATCAAGAAAGTCGAGAGGCGCAACAAGGAGAAGCAGAAGCAGAAGCAGAAGCAGAAGCAGAAACAGAGGCGGACGATGGTTACTAACCTTGCGTGTTTGCGCCGTTGGCAGGAGAGCTCTGCATTGCTCGAGGACTCTGACTCAGCATCCGGGAACACGAGGGACGCAGCTTAGAGAGAAGCGCGAGAGGAGGGAATTAAAAAAAAAAAAAGTTATTAATGGCAGATTATGAGCTGTCGCGGGTTATTTTTTGATGACTACACACAGCAGCACAGTTCCTAGAAAGGCAGAGGCTGAGGGGGGGCGCAGAGAATTGCTGACGTGAAACATGGGAAGAAAATCACAGGTGGTCGAGTTTGGAAGCGTGGATGCGACGGGATTATGTAACGCGGCGGCGTGGCGGGATGGCCAGGGAAAATGGCGTGGCTGGCGGGCTCTGAGCAGGTACTCCGTGCTCCGTACAGTGCGGGAGTTGGCGTCTACGTCGAGTCCCTCCCTCTCTGTCTCGACCATTTTTTCTCTTTTCTTCTCTTTCTTCTACGACTTCTTCTTCTCTTCTTAACCCAGTTCTGCATTTCACCCTTATTTATGGATCCTTCCCTTCGCTTGGCTTGCTTCTCCGAGTCTGTTCCGTGCAGCGGATGGATGGGGCTTGATGATGACTGATCGGATTCCGGGACGCGGGAAAGGTTGGGTAACCATGGACGACTTTCCAATGGAACCCAGCACCACCTTATTAGCGGGACGACGACAAAGGGTGGCAGAACTTGTCTTGTCCTATCGCATCGTCCCATCGAGTGAATCATAATGTCCGGAAGACCGACCGAGACGCAGCTACAAGCTGTCTGTTGGGCTGGAGATGCTGCAATACTGCACATGGCTCGCAATGTATTGCTATACTTGTGGTTGAAGCTCCAAGCTCTACGAGCACGGAATGGCACGGTACCTGCGGATACCTGGAGCCTCGCAGCGCCAGCAACCGGCCGGTACATCCAGATACTGCAGGCTTGCCGAGTCGTGCCACGTACCGCATCTGGTCTTGCCCTTGCGGCTCCGCGTCGCCGCCAAGTCGCCGGCATGTATCTACTAGGTAGGCCGTCTTGTCTTAGCAGCTGGGGTGACAGTTGAGGTTACCGAAGCTCCGTGTCATCGTGTATTACTCCATCAAGCAATGGAGTGACTTTGCACACCTAATAAGCCAGACAGTATCATCATCTGAATGCTGTCTTAGGCTCCAGCTTTTGTTCTTCCAACAATTCTGACACCGTTTGAGCGGGCTGTACGATTCCAGTAAATCGTCCGGAGTCCTCCCCGGCGCTGAGCAAGTACACAGTATATATCAACACGCATCCAACAGCTGCCGGCTCCATACGAGTACAACAATAACAACGACACCACAACAACACGACACCTGGTGGACAATATTAGCCAACATCAGCCACGTCGCAAAAGGGGCGTCCTCTCCTCCTCTTCCTCCTCTCGTTTGTTTTGTCACGCCTGCGGGCGCCTCGGCCACAGATTCAACGCCGCTCCCAGCACAAGGGAAATAGGGCCGCAGAGTTGCATCACGTCAAATCCCGAGTTTGTCAGCATTGCTCAGAAGTAGCCCCTTCAGGCATGGTCGGATTATGTCATGTTTGATAAGAAGTGGGGCCCCTCCGTGTGCTGTCTCTGCGCTCGCTTTCTTCCTCCGAAAGCGGTAAACGGTGTTTGCGTACACAAAAGTAGACATGCACCAGCTCGGCCGCGATGGAATACCCGCGGGAAACTTTTTCTCCCACAAACCCGAGGCGGGACTCGCAGCAGAGAGAGGGCACAGTGTTGATAGTAAGTGCCGCACGATGCCACACGCACAGTGCATGGGGCCCTCTTGCTTGCACAGTCAGCCAGCCTCGTTCCCGACTTTTCCTCTTCCTCCCTCCTTCGTGTCTCTCCTGCTACCACCAATGAATGACGCCGCGATTCCGCCTCGGGAGGGTGTCCGGTTGGTGGCACTGATTCGCCCATTGGCCCTTGTTCCTCTCTCTTTGGTCTCTTCTGCCTTTTTTACGTGATGACATGGCCAGCGACTGGCATGGGGGACACAAGCTGGAATGAGGAGCTTATTTCCGAGCCTCGCACGGATCTTGTCCCGGGGCATCGCCTTTCTCTTCGCCCTCTCAATGACAGGACAGGACGAGACATTGAGCTTCTGGGCGGGCCGTGTCACAGGTGCCAGTCGACGGCTTACGGCTTATGTGCCTGCTTTTCCTCGGGTTCTGCTCATTGGTGCTGTTACTTGACTGACACTCACGCAGTAGTCAAACCCAACCGTGTTGCTTGATCACTAATACGCTCGACACGCCAAGTCTCATGGCTCGACTCCGTACATATACTCGTACAGAGGCGGCTAACCTTGTACAGTGTCGTGATTACTCGTCCAGAGACCCAGACTGGAGCAATGGCGTGGACTGGCAGGAAAGAGAGCGTCGTGTCCGCCCTGGAGTGACGAGCAGGGGCCTCTCGGGTGTTTCCAAATGGACCTGCATGGCCCGTCCAACTGCAGCTTTTATCCATCGTCCCGGCGACGAGCTCTACTGTACGAGTACAAGCACAACCTGCGGAGTACAAAGCAGTAAGCTCCACGAAATGGCCTTTCAGGCATCAGCCGGGCCTTTGATTACCTAGGACATAGCAGCACTATTGCTTGTGTGATGCTGCCTAGCTTCCCATTTGCTGTTCTAGCCACGGCCCAAGGTCCAGCTCGGCTTACATCAACTACTGGCAGCACTTCAGAATGCTGCTGCTATCTCCGGTCTCCGTTCCTCGGCAAGTCCCGTTTTGCCGAACCTCTCTTGAGCTCCAGGTTTCTCGATATAGAATAGCCTCCCCGCGTCTCAACTCCGGAGTCCGCTGTAACACGCGACATATCAGAAGCGCAAAGCACAATGGTCGCTTTGTCTGCCGTGTCCAACGCTTGCTGAGGGGAGATATAATTCTTCGTCGTTGGGCATGGGATGAGATTGCCAGTCTTTATCAACAGCAAGGGGTAATATAACAGCCAATGGACAACGTTGTTTTTACAAGCAAACATGGACGTGGGTCAACTCGTCGGACCTGCTTCTAGAAGGCGTGGGCGGCCGCCTGATTTGGTATCCTTGGCCGGCTCTTGAACAGCTTGCCGCCCTTCCACACGTGTGTTATGTTACTGGGGTCCGTCAGGACGCCGACATCATCCAGCGGATTCTTGGCAATGGCAATGATATCGGCATCATATCCCACCTTGAGTTGCCCGCTCAAAGGCGCCATTCCTCCCAGCGTCTCCGGTCCATTGGCCGTTGCGCACTCAATCGCCTGGAGCGGCGTCATGCCCATTTCAATCGCGTACGTGAGTTCCTGAGCATTGTTCCCGTGTGAGAGCGCAGACTTCCTGGCGCTGCTGGTCATATCGGTGCCGAGGGCAATCTTGACTCCCTTCTTGATGGCCAATCTGTATGCGTCCTTGGACTTGTCGATGATGCCAAACAGCTTGCGCTTGACTGGCGGAGGGAGCTGATCGCCGTAGTCGCGGGCCAGGACGCGGATGATGTGCTGCGTAGGGACGAAGATGGCGTTCTTCTCCAGCATGAGGTCGGCCGCCTCCTCGTCGAGATACATGCCGTGCTCGATCGACTTGACGCCCGCCCGGAGCGCAGACAGGATGCCCGCCTTGCCTATCGCGTGAGCTGCCACGGCTCGTCGGCTCCGGGCTGCTTCTTGCACCATGGCCTTGAGCTCGTCGTCTGAGAATTGGCGATCCTCCGGGTCATCGTTTAGACTTCCTACGCCTCCGCTGGAGCAGACTTTGATGCAGCGAGCGCCCCGTCGCACCATCTTGCGGACCGTCTTGACACAGTCATCGACGCCATCGCAGATACCAATGGGGCTTCCACCGCAGTTCATGGCCGCCGTGACAGCGCTGAGAGGCGCTGAATGGTCGTCGCCGTGACCCCCCGTGATGGACAGCGGAGCAATGGCCGAGTAGATGTTGGGGCCGATGAGCGGGCCATTCTGCACAGCAGGCCACAGATCGCCGCCATAACCACCCAGCTCCCGCACCGACGTGTAACCCGCCATCAACGTCGTCTTCAGATCGTCTACCGTGACGGCGCCGCCCAGGGCATTGTACCCGGGAAGGTACTGGCTGGCCCCGCCCATGGTGCCGATGACATCCAGTCCGACGAAGTGGACGTGGACGTCCCATAGGCCCGGCATCAGAACGGGGACCTGTTTGGGGGGGATGTCTTGGTACTTGGGCGGGATGTCGCTGTGGCTTCCGACCCAGTCGATTTTGCCGCCTTTGATGGCAAGGACTCCATTATGGATGGGTTCTCCGCGGCCGGGGATGAGCAGTCTTGCGGAGATGAGGGAGATGGTCTCGGCGTCTTTGACTGGAGGCTCTGAGGCGATGTGTGTTGGAGGCAGAGGGGGCTGGAGAGGGACACGCATGGCGACGAGTATCGAGCAGTTACAGGAAGGGCTGTAGCAGGGAGCGTCACGCCAAACGCAGAAGAGCTTACACGGGCGGAATGGGAACGACAACACAACTTCCATCGGTGACGATATCCGTAAGATTCATCCCTTTTATACCTGCCTCTGCTCTATCAACATCTCGGATCAAGCCTGCAACGAATGCGAGCGAAAACGACATGGCGATGCGCTTTAGGCGCATTTACTTGCCCGAAAGAGGATCTTGGCTAAATACTATCATTTGATCCTAACAAAAGGACCCTTGGGGGGAGCGGGATTGTTGACCGAGTGCTTGTGTGGAGCGCTTGGAGATAGGCGAGTGCCGATGTATGTATGTTGATGCGAGGACTCCATTTATTTCCTATCTCTGTTTAGGACGATGGGTTGATGAATGGGCTTGAGAATGAAACCGAAGCAGTTTCAATGTCAATTGCTCGACATATTCAATGTTGGTTGGGTTCTTGTAAGCTGGAGTGCTTGGATGGAAGAGGGAGATCTACCCTGGAGTCTAGTCGAAGAAACAAAGCTTAACCGTTTTGGCGCATTATCTGAACCAAGCTCAAGCCAACTCCAAGCAAGCCCATTCATCAAAGCTACATCTTCAGTTCTCGAACAAATCACACCAAATCTCAACAAACCCCCTCTCTCAACCTGCAAAACATTTACAATTCAAAAAAGAGAAATGTCACGCTTGAGAGTCCCATCTCTCTTCCTCTCCAAAACCACACCATTCATCAGACAAGCAACCAGATCCATGTCTTCTTCTCAAACGCCCAAGCCGGACACCCTCCTCGTGTCCAACGGCGGGAGGTGGACGCTGACGGCCGATGGGGAGGCGTTGGAGCGGAGTTTCAAGTTTAAGAACTTTGCAAAGACTTGGGTATATTTCAACTCACTCAACTCCCTTAAGTCACGCACCCTGGTCTGGGTAGTAGCGGGTATGAAATGTTTTTGTGCCAAAAGGGAAATGCTGATGTTATATCTGGGGGGAATAAGGATTTCATGACGGCCGTTTCGCTGCAGTGCAAGATCTGGAATCATCATCCCGAGTGGTCCAACGTACGTTACTGGCCCCGCCCTTCTCTCTATCTAGCCAAATCACATACATTACTCTCCTTCTTCGCAGCAAACAAAGGTGAAAGAAGGAATTGATTGTTCATGTATGGGAGCTAATGTATGTGATTAGGTCTACAACACGACATTCATACGCTGGACAACACACGTCCCCAAGGGCCTGTCAGAAAAAGACATCAGTCTCGCCTCCATCTGCGACTCCCTGGCTAAAGATTTTGGTGAGCTGGATCCCGAGCCGGAGCAGGCGAGTTGTGAGATGAGGAGTTTGGCGGACGAGGTTGTCAAGGATGGGAATTGCTGTGTGAAGAAGTAGATGCCGATGTAGTCTATTGAACTAACTCAAGTCGTGTCATGATGGTTGTGGTAAGAGGTACATGTATGTTGTGTAAACCTCAGCTTCGTATTGGCTGCGCATCGCCTATTTTCGTTCCCAATGTTGAAGTCCCCCCTGGCTCTAACAGTTCTTCCTCGCGCACCTCGACTCCTCATACTAATCCCTACACTACTGTCAACGGGTTGTTGAAATAGACCAAGACCCTCTTCTTCTGCTCCCGGAGCTCTAGCACGCGCTTCATGGTGTAGGCCCTTGGACAGCTGAATGGAGGACAATCCAGGTGTGGCGTGGTGGCCCTCTCCCAGATCCCAAGCCCACACGTCCAATGCTCATAGTTTAGATGCTTGAGGCCAGTGAGGGCAACGGACCTGAACCAGGCCTCTGGTGCAGAGGGATATTTGTAAGTGATGCGAGTCCAGGCCTTCGTGAAGGGATGCGACGTATGCATCAAGGCAGCCAGAGGTACGACGATTCAGGCGGTTGAATTCCTGGATGATGATAAACACGTCCTCGCAGAACGGTGATGACGGACCAACTCGAGAAGTTGCTGTACCGTGAAGGTCTCGCTCTTGTACCCTTCTCGATCTGGCTCTGTGCGTGTATCTTTACTGGCAGAGTGTTCAAATGGAAGCAGAGCCATAGCCCTTCCAGCTTCCCAGTGTCTTTGTCACCTGATGAGCCAGTCTCTGGGAGAGGCTCTTTTTAGTCGATGCTCTTCCCCAGAGTCGAGGCATTGACCTTGATGGTCTGTTTCCATGCTTCCCAGTCGTCGGTGGGTTGTAGCTGTGTGCGTGGTGACCTTGCGGAGTTCGTTCGTGATAGTGGCCATGGCGGTAACGCGGTCGATGTGACGGGGAACCTTCTTAAAGATAGGCCCGGGGGGGGGCTCTCTTGGTTTGGCCTGGCAGCGCAACAAAACATCCGCCTGGTTGGGGACTGACATATCCACTTCCACGGAATCGTCTGACTCCGTGTCGGTGAGGTTGACCGATGCAGGTCCCGACTGCTGGATGACCTTGTAGACTTGGTTCGTAGGTCTGACCTTATGGTCGTTCGGCTTCCAGTTCATCACCGAAGCGTGCGCGAATACGAAAGCTTTGTACTTGAGAATCATCGGGGACGCCGTGTCGTCTTTCTCCGGCTTAATGAGTCGGAGCTTCCGTACCATGATAGCACAGAGCACAGTCGGTGCGTCCATGATGTGGTAGTTCCCAGTTTGCTCGGTCAGCTGGGCGACTTTCTCAATCTTCTCTTTGAACCCTTTGTAACAGCCCCATTTCGACCACACCGTGGCGGTAAGAACGCCAGTGCCGCCGCATTTGTCAACGCAGGCATTATAGCATTGGCGGTAGTCGTCATAGTCCAGTCCGATAAGGGCGAATGCTCCCTTTACCAGAGTTCGGTCTAAGTTGTCTTTAGCACTCCCCAATGCTGGGACAGGTGCTGGGATAGATGCCTGGACTGCTGAGTTGATTGTAGACTCCGTCAGCTGACACAGCCGTCGCAGGGTCGGATCTCTGAGATGCACCACATCCTTTGTCAACTGTACAAGAAGGAGGCGCCCGTTTGCCCTAACGGTTCACAACTTCCTCTGACCAGCGGTCCATAGACTGGATGACCGGGATCCTGGCTCTCTAATAACTGGTTCCCCTGGACATCGTGCGCCGTGTGAATATCTCATGATCCATGGCGAGCGACCCTGATGTCATGCTCGTCGAGTGCGAATATGTTAATATAATGCCGCGATAGATGTAGCCGTGGGTGGTTGTAGATAATGGTATGTCTCTCCAGACGCTGACCTTACCATGGCCCTTCTCCTCCTCCAACCTCGACGCGTCTCCTCCTGTGTACCCTTTCTGATATCCGACGACGGTAGTCGAGGTCGGCAGTCATGGTCGACGACGGTAGTCGTGACAATTGCCCCCACAAGAAAAAACCACCTCTGTCCCCAGAGGTCATGCATCGTCGTCTATGGGGTGGCGAGCTCATCGAGCGTCGGGACGGGATCAAACATACGGACGTCGTCGAGGTCGTCGACGTCGTGTTCGGTTCCATCAGCTGCGGCGGACGGCTGGGCAGCGGCGGTGGCAGAGGGCTCCGCTTCCTCGGCCGCAGGCATCACCTCCGTCTCAAAGCGTGCGAAGAACCAATAACAACAGTCTGCATCATGACCCCCGCTCCCGGCCTCTGCCACTCAGCATCGAGAATCATGAGCTCCTCGACGTATACTCCGCTCGGTAGAGGAGCTTCTATCAGGGCCGCCAAGCATAAAAGACAGCCGCACCTCACTGTTCTTGACCATGTGGAGGTTGGGCAGCTCCGTGGCTCGAACTGGCCCGTGATGAGGGAGATATTCCTTGCTGCAGAAGAGCGAAAGGGCACTTGCTGTCCCTCACCAGGCCCGTCGATCGTGATGTTGATCTCAAAGTTGAGTGCCTCGAAAGTCGGAGTGTCCAACTGAGATGGACACTGCTTGTCCACTCTTTTGTTTTCTGTGGTGCTCCTACTCAGCGAGCATATCATGAATGTAAGCGGTAGGCTAGACGAGGCCATCTTGCCCAGCTTATGCCCATCCCAAAGTGTGCTGTAGAACTGCGCCGTGGCAGTTGTCGTCTGGGAGCAACTGGACCAGTCTTTGTTCTTTTGCCGTTCTTGTATGCGACTAGCTTCTGGTATATGAGCGGCCTGTCGTTGTTCGAGATGTCACCCTGGAGCTGGGCGAGGAACTCGACTGCACTTCAATCCGCAGCCGCACCAACCTTTTTGCGCATCGCGCCAAGGACCTTGTTACCCTTGGGACGGTACTTCTTCCAAGAGTGCTGCCATCAGGTTAGCAGCTGCGTCGCATATAACTCGCAGGGACATACTTGGTTGCGAGCAGCCACGGCATTCTGGAGCTTCGTGGCCACGGGACGGTACTTCACAGACACGGCGATGCAGGGATGTCCGCCGAGGCGGCAGCGAGTGCATTTGTCACTCTGGGCTAGGTAGCAGTTAGCTCGCATGCAACTCGCAGCTATGTCATTGCGAAACTCACATTCATCGTCGAGACAAGCATCCATGCCAGTCCAATTCTCGGTAACAAAAGCTCGCAGGCAGCGCCGGCAAGCGGTGGAGCGGCTACTCAAGTGTTAACTACCTGTGAACAAGGTGCGAAGGGCTCAACTTACGGGGTGGTTTCGCCTCCTGATGAACATGGCTGTAACATCACCGTACTGGGGGCAAGAGAGCGGCCAGCTTGATCCTGTCGAGTGGTAAGTCGCGGGCCTGGTGCTCTAGAGCTGGGTTGATGCTGCGGACGTATGTTTGATTGTTGAGGAGTCTTAGACTCTGTTGACTTATCGCTTCATCAGGACCAGATCTGAAGGTTGCTACGGAAATGGCCAGCGGTCGAGGTAGGTCGTCGCATCTACTGGAAGAGCTTCATGACTACTCCGTCGTCCCAAGCTGGCGACTATTGTCGGATCAAGTCAGTCGTCATACACCGCGCATGCTGGCCGTTGGCTTCATAGAAATTCTCTATAGGTGGTATCGGCAACACTCACCAATGCGCCGGTGTAGGAACGACAACAAGGTCGCCTTTGTGAGCTTTGTTGATGATCCATTTGAATTGAATATCAATATGATGCGTTCTCCCGTGTTGTTGCGGTTGATTCTTGCATTCCGAGAGTCTGTAAACAGGATTATGGGCTTATGGTCTCCAGCTCCAAGCTCCTTCGGCAACCTTCGTTCCCAGACAGCACACATCCCGGCTGGTGTCAAATTCATGAACTCAGCCTTCAGTGGAGCTAACATCAACGACCGTCTGTGCCTTGCCTTTCCATCTAACTGACCTATGGCGAGCGTCTGTTCGAAGTCAAATTGCTGACAACTGCTCCCGCGAACTGCTCATCGTATTTGTTGATTCAATAGTGTACGCCGCCTGAATGTCTGCTTGGTAAACTAGCCCTCCTGAGTTCCTCTTGAATTTTGGCCTCTGCTGAAACGAGAAAGTCGATGTGTCATTTCTTGCTCTCCAAGTTGCACGAAACGCTCTCCCGGTCTGACGGAACGTATAAGCGGCAATTCTCATACTCCAGATGTAAATTCTCAGTGTGAATCCCGACTGGCGTGATCCGAGTGAACCGTTTGCGGTTGTTGCGCAAGATGAAACAAGAAGAAATGGTAAAGGTCGATTCTCACCATGGGCAAGCCGTTCCAATCTTTCCGAAACGAGGACCAGCGTATCGACCATGGCACCAGTGCGGATTGCTCCTCGTCAATGTTCACGTTGGGTGACTGTGCTGTCTTCTTCTTCTCTGACTCTGGTCTATTGGCATTGTCGAGTCTTCAAATGTTGAAAGTACCAAGTCCAAATGGTTGATTCGAACCATCGGTGGCTTAGAGCCAGGTACAGCCTTCTCTCGCCACTTCCTGTGCGTATGGCGAGTGAACATGGTTGGGAAACGTGATGCTCCAGGTTGTTGTGTCGGCCCGTGAATTCGTACGTCCATGCGATTCTCTCAGTGTTAGAGCAAGCATCCCGGCATCTGTCTCCTCTTCCACAAGAATGGCGATCCTCGACTGTCACGTCTTCAAAATCAAAGGAGAGCTCTCTTGCCTCCTATTGAGTCGCCGTTGTCAAGGGCCGTAGACGGTCTGTATATAGGTTGACGAGACTTATTTATGGCGTTGTGTTCCCGGTTCATCTAGGCCAGGAATGGTACTGAATGTTCTTCTTGACTGTAAGTGAGCCTTTGGATGGGTGTGTGCGATGGTCACACGATATTCAGGGTGTCTTCCTCGGGTCTTTGTCGACCAAATGGTTCAAACATAATCCAACTCGGTCTACTCAAGCTTCCATAAGTAGCCATAGGTAATATGGATGCGAGAACACGTAAAGTGCCAAAGAGAAAAGCTCGTCAAATGTATAGGGGTTCAGCTCGGGTGATGGATTCCTCATCGAGCCGAGACTCGGTAGCTGTTGCAGACGGCCCCCCTTTATCGGCAGAATCGTTTGGAGGCATGCGTGTCGAATGAAGTGGGTGCACTCGAGTCCAGAACGGTGACAAGGAAGCGGCAATTACGCCATCCGCAAAGAGCCTCGTCGAGGCTGTTGGTAAAGGGTTCATGTTCCGGTTTAAAAATCTGCGGTAGTTTCCTCGGTGGCTTCGGCCACAGACACGGGCTCGAAAATCTGATCGACGTCGTCGTCCTCAGAGAGCTTGGGGAACTCCAGCAGCAGTGGCAGAAGAGTCACATAGAACATGCCTCCGAGGCCCTGGGCCTTGCCCAGCGTGATGCTTAGCATCTCCTCGCCGCGGGGTGGTTGGCAGTCCTGCACCCTGATCAGGAAATCACGCATGTGAATTAAGTTGGACGTTTGATTCGACTCAATGCCATAGATGGCCAACGAGTAATCCGTTCCATCCGCAGAGATCGTAGCACAGGGATTGGTCGTTGCCAACGACTCATGGCACGGAAAAGCCACCCGCTGAGGGGAAGCGGTCGCCTCGTCGTCGGAACTGCCGTCGATTGCGTACAAACCGGCACCGCGGTGGGAGGACTTCCAAGGTGGGTTGGGTACGTCGCGTTTCTCGCCAGGCACGTCAGAGTTTGCTGAAGCCACCGGTTGTCCAGTCCATGTTCGTGCCCGAAGCGGTCTTTGATAAACTGCTGTAGACGGCGTCTCTGTTGAATGTAGGCGATGGTAGTCGATACCAATCCACAGTAATCAACAGGCACTGTCGAGCTTGGCCGGCGGCGTAGCTCATCAGGATGGCTATGAGACCTTGCGAATTTGGCAGCCCTCTTGATCTCATTGTAACTATGCTTGCCGTATGTCAGGCCGAGGATGGCGAAGGGGCTCTGGTGGGGAAGTAAGCCCATGATGCGGAGGCAGAATTCCAAACGCGACAGAAAGACCGAAGTCGGCGAAAAGAATGGCGAATGTAATAGAAGATGCGAAGGCGACGGAAGACGCGAAGGCGGCAAGAATCCAAATGCGGCAGAGCTCGCGAGACGGCGGCAGGAATCGCACACAGGGCTGCAGGGATTGCGAATGTGATGGACATCGCCTTGGAGCAAAGATATACAAGTAAGGGCCAAAGGTGTCTGTGACTTCTGTATGTAGACAATCTGATGGTGTTGTATCAGGGGCGCGAGTATGTCATGAAGAACACTCATCATTGGAGTGTTGGCCACCCACACAAGCGACTCCCGCCTCAGCAGGCGGAAAGTATGGTTGAATATCCCGTTCAGGCACAGTGCCACATGGGCCTCGTCGACCACTCAAAATCCCTACTTCAATGTTTTCTGTATACGAAGTATCGGCAACTTCTATGGCCCCCAAAGCCACGTCCTCAGGCAATTGGTCGTGTATGTGTTGGCTGGGAAAGCCAGTAAGCACCCGCCACCGAGACTCCTCGATGTAGGCTGGAAAAGTGAACCTAGAAAACTCTTCGAGCAGGCCGCAGAAGACAAATTAGCTTTCGAGATCATGATATGGCAAGCTTCTGGACATGACGTGCCAGAATGTTTGGTGATGGACGTATCAGCTCGCAACTGAGTGGATGTAGCTGCAAGTCAAGCGATGGCATGGAGCTTTTGCCGTTATATTGATAACCAGGATGACTTGGGCTGTTGATCTTTGTTGATTAGTCGGGAGTGGCATCACGTCCATCCACAGGTGGACTGCGAACAGCAAGTAATAAGAAGGTGTGTGCGATGTCCATTGAGACTTCTTCAGCGCGGCGTCACGTACATAGCCGTGATAGCCACCTGCTCTCGATAGTTCAAACCCCTGACCGAGGGACCCATGTGGCAGTGTTGGCAGTTTTGCTCAACCCTCGATTGGAAAGGTGAACTAACTCTTGTAATCTGTCCGTCGTGGTCCCCAGGTCGCGTGTGGTTGATAATATTGCCGGAGACTCCTCGCCATTGCAGCAGCACGTCTACTCTAGCCGATGTTAGTCTTATGTAAAGGCCGGCCTCTGACCATCAGGATATCGTCACTGGTAATTGACTCACGTCAGATGGTTTGATAAATTTGCATTTTCAAGTTTCCATCCATAAGCTCATTCTTATATCTCATTTATTAATATGACGGCACCTCCCTGGGAACGTCTTTGGCCGAAGAGACAGGAGGTGGCCGCGGACAAAAGACGTGGAAGAGAGTGCTTGCTGATATCAGCGAATGTTTTGTCAAACTGCGGATGAAGAAAGCGGATACTCACCCGAGGCAGTCTCTCCTGGGCCGGTTGTTGACCTTGATCAAGCGCAGCCATAATGCTCTGGCTTTAGTAGAGAGCCATGTTCTCGACCATCTTCGCCAGTGTCTGTGTATTGTTCTGTTGCGTCGTTGACAGTAACCTCCCGTCTGCCATATCATTGGCACCCTCAGCTGAGGATTTGGATTCTGGGCATCGCATCTGATGCCGAAGCGTCCGGTCAGTATGGCTGGAGTAGAAGGGCTATGCGGGGGTCAAAGAGAATGAATGGAGAAGGTCAACGTACCGCTCGCCCTCATCATTAGTGTGTATCAGCACCCTATATCCCTTTATTATTGGGTCTCTCTCGGTGATGCATCTTGATCATAAGTCTGGAAGAAGGGAAATGCCAAGATGTGTATGGGTTTAGGATCAAACTTGAAAGTACAATTGGAAGTGCTAGAGAATGATATAGACTGTTATAGACAGACTTGTTGGGCCCAGACCAAACTGATGGCCATCAATTCACTCGTGCTGTGGCTGCCAGCCTGGGCAGCTGCGTTTGTGTTGTTGAATCTCGTGTGTGGTCCCGGCTCATCCCACCATGAATGCATATGCTTGTGACGTCGTCTTTCCCTATTCAACGGCTCTGTTTCTTGGCACCCGGCGGAAGGAAGCATGAGAGCTTACCAGCATGGTTAGCCGCCGGTCTTCTACAGGTGTTTCGTTGAGTCTAGCCGGGACTCTGGCGCCGTGAAGCGGCTACTGGCCGATGACTCCACGTAGCATTGTTACCTACATGCTATTGTCCGCTCCGATGTTCCCTGAAGACCACAATGATTTCTTGATTCATTCATGAAACGCAGGAATCGCTTCGTTCTTCGTGTAAGAAGCGGCTTCAGGGGCACAAGCTGGCGGGATGCTGCACTCTTGGCCCATCAGGCATTACTCGCAATGATGTTTGCTCAGCAGACGAGGTGTGGCTTGACGTGTTAGTCTTCTGCACGCTTTCTACGCAAGTGACGCGGCATCATCACTATGACTGATTGCGTTTCCTAGGCCTAGGATTAGCTTTGGGGTGTGCATAAGTTCTATGTATGAGGTATCGTTAAATGGTAGTGACGTATCAAACTACCCCCTTGTGAACGGACTATTTGCCTGGACATGCCCTGTCGAGAACGATGAAGCTGGCCACCTTGCTGGGATAGATATGAGAAGTAGAATTGTAGGAAATTGAGTCTCGAAGAAGCTCCACGGGCTCTTGTTCGTTCTACAAGTCACCTCACAGCCCGCCAAGCCCGTTCTTCACCTAAACACACCCTATATCCCATCTGCACAGCCAGACAGTAAAACACGCAAGAGCCAACATATCATCGTGATCACGAATGTCGAGGTGCTTCAACGATACACTCGCCTCCAGATTCTTCCCCGAAAGAACCACAGCAACTCGTCTCATATCCAAAAGAAAAACCGTCCATCTTCCTCGCAAAAGCGACGTGACGTCGAAAAGTGAGGTACCTCTCCAAAGACCCTTGCGCTAAGCCTAATCCGCGATAAGGTGAAGCGCAGCTCCCCAATCGCGTTCCGCCATGGTGTCCTGAGACAAGACAAGAGAATCGCACGAGCTTCGAATCTCCTATCAGTTTGTTATCTCGACCTTCTTCTTCATCCCTTCACCGAAAACCAACCAACTTCGCGCCGCCTATTCTGCCCATTTCGAACACCCCAAGGGGACCCCTGTCGCGTCCGCACAAACGAATCGTATACAAAAAGCACATCGACGAGGGAGGGGGGAAAATATCGTCAGCTCGCCAAAATGTCAATGTGGCTATCCGATAACCAGAGTACGTCCTCAAGCGACCAATGGACCATTTGCCAAATGCCGATGCGATTCAATTTGCTGACTTGCCGCGTTATCAGAGATTGGGGTGGTGTTCTGCTCAGGCGGTAGGTACGCGACCCGTCCGCAAGCTTCGCGCTTCGACGACGACCAAGAGCGCCTCGGTCTAACGCAGATCGCTTCGTTGCAGGTGGTCTCTTCCTCGTCGGGGGAGTGATGCTATTCTTTGATCGTGCTATGTGAGTCTCCCACCTCCTCCGAGCGACCTCTTAGGCGAAGTTATCTGGCTAACATCTTTGCTCTTCACAGGCTTGCGATGGGAAACGTACAGTCCCCCCCCCCGACCTCACCTCCCCTCGATCGCGACAGCCATCCCTCCGAACACGAACTAATACGAACGACTTATATCTAGATCCTCTTCCTCATCGGCTTGACAATCATCATCGGCCCGCAAAAGACATTCTTCTTCTTCGCCAGGAAGCAAAAAGCAAAAGGCACGGCCGCCTTCTTCGCCGGCCTCACCCTGATACTCATAAAATGGACCTTCATCGGCTTCATAGTAGAAGCCTACGGCATCGCCGTCCTGTTCGGCGACTTCCTGGGCACCATCGCGGGGTTCGCCCGGGGGCTGCCCGTGGTTGGGCCGTACATCGGAATGCTTGCGGATCGGATAGGACTTGGTCGGCGCAATGCCGAGTTGCCCGTCTAGCAGGAACCGCGAAATGTTGGATTTTGTGTGCTGCGCATGACAAGCTGCCAGCGTGTACTGGGTGTAACTGGAAAATTTCCTGACAATTGGGGGGTTAGTACGGAGTAGTGATGGCGAAGATGCTCGAGGGCTGGTAACTGAAATCCGGCTCGGGGTGGGCAGCGAACACCGGTGTTTTGGCGTTAACTAAACAGCGGCGTTGAGGGACGGTGTAACAATAAACTGCTGGATTGTAAACTACATCATGTATCAGCCCAGGTCTGGGCGGGATAATCATGATACAGGCGATGGTAGCTAATAGCAAGCTTCAAGCTGTAACTAGCTTGAGATGGCAATGTTAGCCAAGCATCGAAGCTAAATGCAAGCTGAGTCACCAGAGCAGTTTGGGAACAAGACTTGAAGAATGTTGGTTTTTTTGTTCCTTTTTTTCTTCTTCTTGGAATCTGCCGAGAAAGATGACTTTGGTCCTCCCAACACATGGCAGTTAAGTTGCAAAGATTTCCCACGGAAACTCCCCCATGCCTCCTCCTATATCATCCAACGCTGTCACGGCACGACTGCTCGGCACCCTGAATTTTGCACTCCATCTTCAGACACCCTCACCCCACCAACGATGTTGAAGTCTTAGTATCCGGACTTCTTGAGGTGGTCGGCGAGAGCGCTGACGACCAAGGTGGCGTTTCCGGCCTGCACGTTCTCCGCGTGGATACCGATGACGATGGCCGACTTGGCGGCCGCGATGGCAACACCCGACTTGCCCTAATACCTCGTGTTAGCAACTCCCGAGCTCTAACAGAGATACAAACCCGTATGAAAGAGGAAGAATCGGCTCGAGAGGTCCAACGTACAGCTCGGGCGTAGATGCCTTCATCATCGTTTCGGGTCAAGACGTAGCGCTGTCCGGCAATGTAGAGACCCTCAGCGTACGCCTTGTCAACAGCGGCCTTGTCCTTGCTGACGATGTCGGCAATGACCTTCATCTCGGCGGGTTGAATCTGCATCATGCCACTTTCCATCAGACTCTCCGTCTATTATTGCAAAGTTGGTGGGAAGACAATACCGTCAGATCAGGAGAGGTGGCCCAGGCACTGTCGCCAGCAATGCTGATGATGGCGCCCTTGGCGACGTGGCCGGTGGCGACCAAGCTACATTTCCCGCAACGTCAGTATTTCGAGGATTCGGATCGTTCAGGCGGAGCGGCGAGAGAGGGCTGGGACTAAGCACCTAGTATCGACGAAAGCTGTGGTTGATGAGATGTTAATAGCTGTATCCTCACTTTTCCCATTCTGCGCCTCCTTCGAGGTCGAGGTGGGGTTACGGATCAGGGGGGGGGAGAAGAGAGGGAGCTGACCTTGCCAGGACATGATGACGGCTGTGAGATCGGAGTGTCGTAGAGACGGGAGAGACTGAGGAGAAAGAGAGCAACGAGAAGAAGAAGGAGAGAGAAGAAGAAGAGAAGCCGGCAGGGATGAAAGGGTCAAAAGGGTTCCGCGAGCTGGGAAGAAGGTCCAAAGGGAAAATGGCGGAGTGGGTTGTTTATCTGGGCTGGCTGATGAGGTGGATATTCGTCGAAGCAGCAGAAGGACAAGGCAAGAAGATTGCTCAGTTGCCCCTCGTTTTCCGTCAGTCCCATTAATAACTGACCAGAACCGGACCTTGCCTTTCCTGTGACAAGTAGCGGGTACCTGCCCGCACCGGCAATTTGGCGCTGAGCACCACGTCACTGGGACCAACATCTGCGCCCAATGTTCCCCGCCGCGGGCCCTTTTTTTTCCCCTTCTCTCTCGAGGAATGAGGAGACAAAGCTGGGCCAAGGAACCCCACCAAAAGAAAACAAAAGCAAGCAGCAGCACAGCACAGCTCAGCTTCTGGCTGTCAACTTACTAGAGCTAAGGTATACAGGGTGCCTACCGCCATTTCGGTGCCGCTGCGGGTATCTCGAGGTCCATAGGAGCCCCCGTCCCGTCCCGTTATAGGAGGCTGCGAGAATGGCCAGACTCCAGGGGATGAGCTGTGCCTGATGCTAATTCGGGTGCCTGCTTATTGCTTTCGAGTGCAGTGTTAGAGGCAGCGCTAGCTTGGGTTTGACGTCAAATTCCGGGAGGTGATGCTACTGGCTGGGTCACGAGTGGTGGTGCGTCGACGAGTCTCGACAGGTACCTATAGGGGGAGACACATGGAGAGAGAGACGTTGTAGTGGCAATATCATCAGAATTAGTCTGCAGAGACAACTACTATACCTCCTAGGCATCCGGATTGTTGTAGGATTCACATACTCAACGGCTGCCTGGCCGACACGGTCTGACAGGCTCCGGGTTAGGGCTGCGATATCACGGCTTGACTCTTTTAGCTTCTTCCACCCAGACTATTTTTCTGCCAGGTGCGTTAAGGGGGTCCCTTTCTCGAGCACAACGATCGCAGCCTCGGCACTGCTGCAGGCCTGACAGTCCCCTCCCCGCTGGCGGCTCTCTGCCCATCCTCATCTTCATCCTCGTCCACAAAGAAACTCGCCGATGTGACAGATGCCAAGCATTCCTCTCAACTTTGACACCTACGTCATCTTCCGCATAGCTGGGAAGCACGGGTGTCTGCGTTAGCCGAGCTTCTTCCAGCGATGCCATGATGCTGCTGTTCCCGTTGTCGGTGTGAGAGAACGTTGAACATCACCCATACTGGGTAGTACTTTAACATACATCATTTTCCGCACCCTTGCCCTCGACCCCGAAATCCTTTCGGGCTTACCTGGCCTAAGTAGTGTCTGCTGCAAGATGATCCTGTGGTATTGGCAGTGACAAGGAGATTGATCACATGGAATTGAGTCTTGCCGTAAGCGGGGCCCCATTTCCACGTTGTCTGTTGTAAGTGGGACAGCGAAGGCATCTCGAAATGATGATATTTGACGGCAATCTCCTCATCAATATGGAAGATGAAGGAATCACGGTTTCTATTACGAAATATTGGTTTTTATTGTCTCCGCCGTCTTGAGCATATCTGAGAGCAACAATTTCCGAAGGCGTGGTGACTGTCACTACGTTGTAAACATACCACATACTCTCCTCATTTACCACTCCTCTTAGCCGATATATATCAAGGTAATGCTGCCTCGTCTTTCTTCTACAGCACATGAGAGCTGAGGTTCGGCCACCGGCTGGTCTGCAACTCACTTGCAACCATTATCAGCAGCTCCGCCTGGGATAAACCACCTCACAACGAACAAGCTTCCAAGAATGACCAAGAACAACTTTGACAAAACAGCCAGAAACACCGGTTATCGTCCCGCTGCCGGCGTCAGCGATTCTTTGATGCAACATGCAGAGCGCTCGAGGGTCGATGCTAGTCGGATCGCTTTCCGAGAGTGCAGTGAGCCTGGTACGGTACCAATGCATTTGACTGCAATATAGCTGGAATCGCGCTACTCCAAAGCTGTCGCTAGCTGTCTACATATATCGCAGTCCACGCCCACTTTGCTCTTAATCTGATACAATGACAGCTTAGCAAACCTCGAAGTTACCGCTGGGAGAAACAGCTGAGGCTCTCGCTCATCCTATAACTCGTCATCAGCAGCGTAATGGTGTTTCTACTTAAAGGCCAGGTGGAATGAAATCAAGCCCCTCAATCTCCGGCTATCTGGTGACGTTGGCCTCATTACCAACAAGCTGGCATCTACAATTTCATGATACCTGGTAACCCCTTTCAGTAATTCGTCCTCTGACGGCACAAACACACTGGCACACTCCGTACGGTGCCTTGCATAGGCTGTGGCTCTACATCGTGCAACTACCGTGTGCAGAGCAATCAATCTTGGCCAATGACGACGCCGAAGAGCATAAGCCTTGAAGCATTGTCGTTTCAAAACCGCTCTCTCTTGGCACACCGTCCCGACAAATACCAGCTGCAAATTGCACGGAGCAGGAGGAAACACTCAACATTCCCATGTTCACCTACACGGCATTACAGGGATAATATCCATCAAGTTGAAATCCTCGGCTTTGCTGTTAATGGAAAAACTGAACGCCTTTCGCCGTTTGTCGCCTGAAGTTTGGCTGTTTTGGACGAGAGCTCCTACTCGCCTACATGTATTTGCTAGTCCAGTCCACCATTGGGCCTCTTCGCATCCGCAGCGTCAGGCCTGACAATGAGCGCCTTTCTTCGCCTGTATTCGTCTTTGTGTCACAAAATCGGTCAGATTGTGAATCCCACCTATACATAGAAGCACAGAGAGTCTAGCACAGGCGTCGGCCAGCAAAGAGCCTGTCCTGTCGCAGTCTTCGCATGGAGCTCGATTCTGTCTTCAGGAGTCGGTCTTAGTGTCGCACCCCGCCGCGGTAAAATTATCAGGGGGCCGGAGGAGCCACCGCGTCTGATCTCAGATCGACCTCTGCGTGGGACTGGCTGGATCGGGCTCCCGGCGCTTCTCTGCAACGCCCGCGGGAACAGAGGCTCTGACTGTTGGTGTTGCTTGCTGTTGGAACCTGGAATGGAGAGATTTCCCCGCGGCTTGCCCGTGTGTCTTGTAGTATAACGGTCGTCTGTGCTCTGGGCAAGATATTCCAACAGTAATCCATAGATGTAAGTGAGATACGGAGTACGTACATCGCGAAATTGTTTGATGCAAGATGGACCTGGAAAGGCGGTGCCTGAGATTGATTGAGCGTTTCAACGGCAATATTCCCAGTCCGCCAAGGCGGTGACGGGGACCACCTCCGATCGATAAGGTAACGTTTGATCCAAATGCCATCACCACCAAAACGGCATCTCCCCAGCCAAATACAACATCCGTCTCCAGGAAATGAATCTACCATTTCCCCCAAATTATCCCGAGGCTGCAGCCGCAAGCGCGCCTGCAATCGTGCAGCACTCATCGTCAAGCCAATTTCTCCAGCTTGCCCAATCCGGCAAACCTTGCTAGTCCCGTCGTTTGGGCCCATCCTGGTGCGGATCAGGCCGCCTAAACGTCCGGACATCGCGACCCCCTCTCATCAACCTCAAACATAGCTTTGCAGCCAGAAGTGCCGCGCGACATGCGACTGGCCACGATCGTGCCCCGGGCACCGCACTCTGATGGCAAGGCTCCCGCGTTAGGGGCGGCGAGGCCCTTTGTCCTGTCGCCTTGACGCTTCGAAACCACACGGCCGCCGGGGATGCTCCTACGGCCGGAGTCTAGGGTCGTCCTAGGGTCGTCCTAGGGTCGGTCTTTGAGTCTTTGGGCTGACGACACGCGTCGAGGCAAACATGGGGTCTCTAACGAGCCAAAGGTGAAGACGCCCTCCACCCCCGTACCGTGCGGTGAGCAGATTGCGTAGCATCTGATTGTTGTGCCCTAGAGGAGCGCCGCTAAGAATGCAGAGTCCTTTAGAGGTGGATGAGGGTATTACAAGTTTGCTGGAGGACCGGTATTGCGTTTCGAAATCCAAAACGCCTTTGCCTTCATATCGACCCGGCGCTAGATGCTGGCATCGTGCTAACAGCTCGCTACACTAATAATAACATCTTCGTCCTTTCTCAAACGTCTCCTGCCCGTCTGACCCTGAGCCAAGAGGGAAAATCATCGCATGATCCGCTTCCACTCCAGCTCGTTTCTCACCGGTTTCTCGCTTCCATCCCACGGCGACTCGGCCTTGGCGTTCAACGATGGGCCTCTTCAAGGCACGGACAGGGGACGCCACAACCTTGCCGAACCCAAATTTCTCTCACCAAGAGCCTGTCCACAGCGGCACGCCGATTCATGCGGAATCTGAAGAGGGCCCGCAAAAATGGCCAGATGATAATAGGAGCTATTGCGAGTCGTCTCATAAACCGGCCTCGCCCGCACGGTCACCCAGACCTTCCACGACTGAGAGCGCCCTCAGCCCTCGCCAACAACACGGTCCTTACCTTTCTCCAGGCCTGGATGCCACTTCTGCCGCCGGACGGCTTAGACAATTCGATCAGTCGGGATACAGCAGGTCTACCAATCACATTAGCTTGGAACCCAGGATTGCGACTACGAAACCTCTGGAAGGGCGAAGCTACAAGCAATATCACATTCCGATCCCACGCGAAGTACCATCACCGGCATCGCTCCCCAAACAAATGGCGACCTCATCCTCACTTGCACCACCCTTTCCCAGCGCGGGCGACCCAACCGCTCTAATCGGCATGGCACTTGGCAGTCCGAGCCACCCTCCTGGGTCCGCCGATGCTCCATGGCACATTCAGACACTCACGACGGTGTCTTCAGGGGGTGATGCCACGGAACCCGCTGCTAACCCCAATGGGCTGTCAAGGTCGATGTCTAAGAGGTGGAATCCGTTCAGCAGGACGAAGTCAAAGAGGTCCAAGCCGGCGGATGGCTCACTTTCACGAGCGGTGGACACGGACTCAAAGAAGAGTTTTGATGTTGGAAGCCGAGTCCATCTGGTGAAGCATGCCGATCCTTTGGGAAGTCACAAGGGCAGCTCAGTCAGCTTATTGAAGGAACCGGTCCCAACCGTCCATGTATTGCCAGAGCCACGAGAGGCAGCGGTGCCGACACGAGAAGCCCCTGCGCCACCACAGCTTCAATCGCTCCTGAGTATCGAGATTCCGACTGTGGAAATGGAGCGGTACAGCATCATGTTCGGAAGCATTCTCCAGAAGCAGCAGCCGCTATTCCCCCAATTTCTACAACAGTCATCGCTGCCTCCAGTGCAGCAAGAGCCGCAAGAGCCACAAGAGCCACAGTTGTTGGCACCCAAAGCACAATATCCTGAGCCCCCTCAGCGGCCTGCGCCAGTACCGAAGCCACAGCAATCAAGGCAGAAGGAATCAGAGAGTCCCCTGGAGCGTCGGGAACGTCAGGGGTCACCGCAGCGATTGCAGCTTTTTCCGCAGTTACGGCAATCACCACAAGAGTCACAGCGGCCGAGCTTGCCAGACCGACGGCAGGTCAAAGTGGACAAGCTCAACCTGCCCGCTCTCAAGCAGTATCGGGACGGCTCTGTGCCTTACGAGATAGTAGTACCGCGAAGATCGACATCGCCTTTACCAGCCAACTCATCATCAGTTCCCGACTCTACCCCTGATCAGGCTCCTCCTCCTGCAAACAGCAACCTCCCTCCTCGGGTTTCCTCGCGGGCCCGATCCAACACTACCACAGCAGTGGCCAACTTTCCGAACCCCGCCATGAACAAACCACAGTCGCAAACGAGGAAGAGAACGTCATCTGTTTCTACTCCTTCTCGCGCCGAACCCTTGCCCGCAGACGCCGAACCGATGCCAGAGCGACGCGAGCGTCTCATCTCCAAATTTCACCGAAAAGAATCACTATCCGAGCCCGTCAACCACAAAGTCACCCAATCGTCCGAATCTCTTGTTCCTGCTCCTACAAACACACCACCCCAGCCTCGCTCAATCCTCAAGAAGCCAACAGCACCTCCCCCGCCTCCTCCCTCCAACCGCTCAGCCGAGCACATTGCGCCTCCAAAGCAGCACAAGTCTAAGCCCTCTGAAGCGTCTACTCGAAGCGAAATAGACGAGGAGGTGGTCGAAAAGGCTCTGTACGAGGCCGTGGAGATATCCATCGCGCGCCAGATTAGCGTCTCAAGGCAACAGCGGAAATTACTGGTGCCCCTCGACCGTTCAGCGTCAAGGAGGGCCGCGGGCTCGCCAGACGCGGCTGCGAGGATCAACCTGGGCAAGAATAAGAGACTCATTGAGACGAAGACCGTGGTGCCGGTCTTGGTTCATCCGGATGGTGAGACGAATTTTCCCCATGGGGGATCTCGAAAGAGCTCGCGCGTGGTACTCGAGAGGGCATGATGGAACGACCTTTTAACGTCGCTGACTGATTCAACCTTGTCTATCTTTTAACATCCCGAAGTTGATCTTCTCCTTTCCTCACTTTACCTTGATCTTCTTCACTTTCATCTCGGCTTCTTTTTTCATGACTCTACCAATCACCTGGCGTGCAAAGCTATTTATATGCCTCCTGTTTATATCTTTCTTCTATGTGTCATCTTATCTTCTTACCTGATAACCAGTCAATTTTTTTTGTTCTTGGAGACAGACTTCGTTTCTTGTCATGAGCATTTGTGCATAGCCCCGGGGGCAAGCCTTGACGGCAGATACCTACATACCTACCAAAACATTACTTACTGAAGCGAAACACAGATTTCGCGAGCCTCTTATTCTAAAGCAGCCTAGATGAAAATCAATATTTAAATCAGGAAAATCGTGGTATTTGTTACAGATTTCGTATATCAAAAACCGTGATTGTCTTCCCGTTTTGTCTTCCTCTTGCATCTCATCTGAGTGTTTATGTGTGAACGAGAGAGACATATGTATTAGAGATGGTTAAGATAAGGTAGGTTAGGCCTGCGAGTGTGTGTCTTTAATAACCAATCTTGCGATAAAACAAACAAACAGCCCATTCATTGCTGAAAAACATGACCGTATGCAACGCCATATAAAAGAACCTCTACATCAACACGCAGCAGGAATTCTGCTTCTTGGCTTGCTCTATATTTCGAAACACGTTAGCCACAAAATCCAATAATCAACCCAAAACGCAACTGAAAAAGGCACAGAGCCAAGGGGAAATAGCGGGAAAAGGGGGGGCGCTCATACGATAAAACATCTTGCTCTGCGCACTCAGCCCATCGCTCTTGGCCACCAAATCGTCAATCTTCTCCCCCCTCTGCAGGACGCTCTCAATGGTCTTGTGCAGCACAATCTTGGTCTCGTCGAGCTCTTTCTGGATCTTCATGATGCTGTCGGCCTGCTGGGGGTCCTGGTACTTGGCGAGGTAGTCCCTGAGCTCGGGGAAGGGCAGGACGGGCTCGCCGGTGGCCCACGAGGAGCGCGGGTGCTTGGCGAGGAACTCGTCGACGACCTTGCTGAGGAGCTGGTGCGCGACGAGGGCGGGGTACTGGTGGTCGGAGATGATGATGCCGCAGATGCCCTCGGTGCGGCCGTAGGCGTGGAAGGTGTAGTCTGTGGTTTAAAGCGCAATGCGTGTGAGTGTTTGTTGTTTGTTTTTTTGTTTCTTCCTCTCCTCTTTGGGCTTCGATAAAGGGAGATATGGGTGGGGAGTCTGGGTGTCGAACCTTGTTCTTCGACATCTTGTCGTTGGGCGGGACGGGTGCGCTCGGCGACGGTCTTTGCGAAGAGCGTCATGAATTCGCCATAGCTGGATGATGGAAGGGTAATCTCGTTAGTTGCTTGATTTTCGAAGGAAAGGATGTTTCTCGCGAAGAGGCGTTGGCTTGGTCGCCTGACGGGCAGCCGGGGGAGAGACCAACTTTTGGCGTGTGAAGCGCGAGTATGCGCTCAGCTCCTTCTCGGCGACGAGTTCGTGTGCGGGCTGGGTGTCGTTGCGGAGGATCTATCTCGAGGGAAGAAGCCGTGTTAGCCAAAAGGGACGATGATGATGCTCCTTCGACGATTCGGTGAAGAAGGGCGAGGAATAGGGCGACTCGATTGGACGTACGCCGATGTAGTGAAGCTTCATGATGGGCGAGATTGATCGGGGTTCAAACGGTGCGGTTTGCTGTAGACGTTGGGTCTGAGATTCGACAAGAGGCGGACAGTCGTGCGCTGCGAGTTGTTGCGAGTCGAATCACAGACAAAAGGAGGGCGTTGGTGAAGAGGCGGGAAATGGGGGAAGCAGGCCGACGTTTGGAAGAGGCGTTTCACAAGCCGGAGTTTCAGATGCGCTAATGGGGAGATAGAGAGAGGCTGCAGTTCCGTCCAGGTCATCAATGTTCAAGCATTCCAGGTTCCGCAGGGATGAGGCTTCCATTCTGTTGGATGATCCGCCCCACGGATTTTAGGCGCTCGACTCCACTGCGAAGGGACGAGGAAACCCCACCAAGTCCACTGGGCAGCAGCACGATTCAGCGCTGCGGGAGCGCTGTAGCGTTCATGTTTGGACCTTTAGGCGGACTTTAGCGGGGGCGGGCGGTGTGTGACTGATGAGAGCTTCTTAGTACATGTAGTGTCCGGCTTGATGCGTCATCCGGGCTGCAGGTCATTTTGAGACCTTGAAATCTCGAGGGTAGAAAAGGTTGAGGTCCTTCTTCCAGCTGCGCCATCAGACATCAAAGTCCGGACTGCTTTTCCCCCCAACCTTCCTTGCTGCTGCTACTCTCATCAGAAGAGACAAGACCCGGACAAAAATGGCCTCAGCCGATCTCATGAGCGCAGAAGCCGAATGGAGGCAGCAGTTCGCTGCCATGCAGGCGGCCCTCGCAAACCTCAAGCTCCCCCAAAACGACGCCAAACCGTCCGATGCTGCTGATGCCGATCTGGACGACGACGACTTTGGCGGCTACTCCACCACGACCAGCGGCCACGACGTCTGGGACTTCATCTCCGAGGACGACGAGTACGAGTACTCCAGCAGCGACTTTGCGGACGACGGCGCCGACGCAGCCACCGGTGGTGGGTTTGGGGCCGAGTGGCTTGCTACCAAGTGTGCTTCCATTGCCGCCAAGAACGGCATGTCTGCGGACGTCTTCCAGTCTCAGGTTGTCAGCGTGCTGTCTTCTGGGCAGCCGGAAGATGAGCTGCAGGCGCACCTCACTGATTTGGTTGGGTTCGATGACTTGGACTTTATCATTGAGCTGTTGGGCCACAAGGATGGCATTCTTGCGTCTGTCTCGAGTCAGCATCAGGAGCCGGAAACCCAGGGACGGAAACTCCTGACCAAGGCTCAGAGGGAGGAGGCTCTCCGTATGCGAGACTACCAACACAAGAACGCAGCTCTGGCACCCAGCTTCTCCAAAGAGCCTCAGTATCCTCACGTTTACCGGGCTTACAATGCGGGAAACACGCTGAGTGCCTCTGGCAAAAAGTACGGCTTGCCGGCTGGTAGTGAACGCCTTCAGTTCGATAAATATGAAGAGTATTCCATACCGGCTGGGAAGAAGGGCGTTCCAGGACCTGGAGAGAAGCTCGTCAAGATCTCAGACCTGGATGGGCTTTGCCGCAATACGTTCAAGGGGTACAAGACGCTCAACCGGATGCAGAGCTTGGTCTACCCGGTGGGATACAAGACGAGCGAGAATATGCTGATTTGTGCACCAACTGGTGCTGTAAGTTTGAGGAGTTCAAAAGTCGTTGTATCATGCTCATCATCGTCATAGGGTAAAACTGATGCAGCCATGCTCACAATTCTTCACACCATTGGACAACATTGTCAACCGAACCCCGTTGAAAACCCGGAGGTAACCGAGTTCGCCGTCAACACGGATGATTTCAAAATTGTCTACGTGGCACCCATGAAGGCCTTGGCAGCTGAGGTCACCGAGAAGCTGGGCAAGCGTCTTGCCTGGCTCGGCATCAAGTGTCGAGAGTACACTGGCGATATGCAGCTCACCAAAGCCGAGATTGTCCAGACCCAAATCATCGTGACGACCCCTGAGAAGTGGGACGTTGTCACGAGAAAAGGGACTGGAGATACCGAGCTCGTGCAGAAGGTGAGGCTGCTCATCATCGATGAAGTCCACATGCTTCATGACGAGCGTGGAGCTGTTCTGGAGTCTCTGGTGGCTCGAACGGAGAGACAAGTCGAAAGCACCCAGTCCCTCATTCGAATCATCGGATTGAGCGCTACCCTGCCCAACTACGTCGATGTCGCCGACTTCCTCAAGGTCAACAAGTATGCCGGCCTGTTTTACTTTGATGCCTCATTCCGTCCTGTCCCACTGGAGCAGCATTTCATTGGTGTCAAGGGAAAGGCAGGTTCCAAGACCTCCAAGGACAACTTGGATAACGTTGCCTTCGACAAGGTCAAAGAAATGTTACAGCGGGATCACCAGGTCATGGTGTTCGTGCATTCCCGCAGGGACACTATGGTGACGGCGAGGATGCTGCACCAGAAAGCGATTGAGCAGTTTTGCGTCGATCTGTTTGACCCGAGCGGGCATCCTCATTACGGTCAGGCATCACGGGATATGAACCAGTCCAGGTCCAAGGATATCCGAGATCTGCTGTCCAAGGGCATCGGCGTTCACCACGCTGGTATGGCACGAGCAGACAGGAACCTCATGGAGCGGCTCTTTGCGGATGGTGTGCTCAAAGTCCTCTGCTGCACTGCTACGCTGGCCTGGGGTGTCAACTTGCCGGCTGCAGCAGTCGTCATCAAGGGTACCCAGGTCTATAGCGCCCAGGACGGCAAGTTCATCGACCTCAGCATCCTCGATGTGCTCCAGATCTTTGGTCGTGCCGGTCGTCCCCAGTTTGAGGACACTGGCATCGGCATGATCTGCACCACTCTGGACAAGCTTCCGCATTACCTGTCAGCCATCACGGAACAGCAACCTATTGAGTCGAAATTCTCAACGAAGCTGGTGGACAATCTCAATGCCGAAATCGCTTTGGGTACTGTGACTTCCATCCCGGAAGCCGTTCAGTGGATAGGGTACTCCTATCTCTTCGTGCGAATGCAGAGAAGCCCAATGAACTATGGCATTGAATGGGCAGAAATACGCGATGACCCAAACCTGGTTCAACGACGTCGCCAACTGGCGATCCAGGCCGCGCGGACCTTGCAGCAGTGCCAGATGATCATCTTCAATGAGAATACCGAAGAGCTCCGCAGCAAGGACATTGGCCGCATTGCCAGCCAGTACTACATCCTTCACACGAGCATACAGGTGTTCAACACGATGATGAATCCTCAAGCCACGGAGGCTGATGTCTTGAGGATGATTAGCATGAGTGGAGAGTTTGACAATATCCAATCCAGGGACAGCGAAGCGAATGAGCTGCTGCAGTTCAAGGAGATTGTCCCTTGTGACGTCGACAAGGGCATTGACACGCCTCAGGTCAAGACCAACATTCTACTGCAGTCATACATTTCCAAGATACAGCCGGATGATTTCGCTCTTTCCAACGATATGAACTACGTTGCACAGCAGTCTGGCCGAATTTGCAGGGCCTTGTTCATGCTTGCTCTGAACCGAAGATGGGGTCATCAGTGCCTGGTGCTTCTGACCCTGTCCAAGTCGATCGAGAAGAGGATATGGCCGTTTCAGCACCCTCTCCATCAATTTGACCTCGCGAAGCCCATCCTAAACCAGCTCGACTCCAAGGAGAATCTGACCATTGACGCCATGAAGGAGATGGAGCCGGCAGAACTTGGAAGCTTGGTGCACAACCAAGGCGCTGGAAAGAACATTGCCAAGATACTCAACAGTTTCCCAATGGTTCACGTGGAAGCTGAAATTGCGCCTCTGAACCGAGATGTGTTGCGCATCAAACTCTATGTCATTCCGGACTTTACGTGGAAGGATCATATCCATGGGACATCGGAATCCTTCTACATCTGGGTCGAGAACTCGGAGACTTCGGAGATTTACCATCACGAATACTTTATTCTCAACAGGCGAAAGCTGCATGATGAGCACGAACTGAATTTTACCATTCCTCTGTCGGATCCTTTGCCGAAGCAGATTTACGTTCGAGCAATTTCTGACCGATGGCTTGGATCGGAGACGGTGACACCCGTATCCTTCCAGCATCTCATTCGCCCAGATACAGAAAGCGTGTACACAGACCTGCTCAATTTGCAGCCGCTACCCATTACTGCGTTGAAGAACCCGGGTCTGGAAGAACTCTATGCGAAGCGCTTCAGCTTCTTCAACCCGATGCAGACCCAAATCTTCCACACTCTGTATCACACCTCGGCAAACGTTCTCCTGGGATCCCCAACAGGTAGTGGAAAGACTGTTGCCGCCGAGCTGGCCATGTGGTGGGCGTTCCGGGAACGACCAAAGTCCAAGGTGGTGTACATTGCGCCCATGAAGGCTCTGGTTCGTGAGCGTGTGGTTGATTGGGGTAACCGTCTTGCTAAGCCGCTGGGGCTTAAACTGGTAGAGTTGACGGGTGACAATACTCCCGATACGAGAACCATCAAGGACGCGGACATCATCATCACGACTCCAGAGAAGTGGGATGGTATCTCTCGTTCTTGGCAGACGAGAGGCTATGTTAGGCAGGTCAGCTTGGTTATTATCGACGAGATTCATCTGCTGGCTGGAGACCGTGGACCGATTCTGGAGATTATTGTTTCTCGTAAGATGCCCGGATGTGACCAACTAAGAAGCAGCAGCTAACTGATGGCAGGAATGAACTATATCTCGTCGTCGACGAAGAACAAAGTCAGACTGCTGGGCATGTCGACGGCATGTGCGAATGCTACGGACCTTGCCAACTGGCTTGGTGTGAAGGAAGGGCTGTTCAACTTTCGACATTCTGTCCGACCCGTGCCTCTCGAGCTTTACATTGACGGGTTTCCAGAGGTTCGAGGGTTCTGCCCCTTGATGCAATCCATGAACCGGCCGACGTTTTTGGCAATCAAGAATCACAGCCCTGAAAAGCCCGTCATCGTGTTTGTCGCATCTCGTCGACAGACTCGGCTCACGGCCAAGGATCTCATCAATTACTGTGGAATGGAGGACAATCCTCGACGGTTCCTTCGAATGGACGAGGACGATTTGCAGCTCAATCTGTCGCGCGTCAAGGACGAGGCTTTGAAAGAAGCCATCAATTTTGGCATTGGGCTCCATCATGCTGGTCTTGTTGAATCGGATCGACAGATCGCTGAGGAGCTGTTCTTGAACAACAAGATTCAAATCTTGGTCGCAACCAGCACGCTTGCGTGGGGTGTCAACCTGCCCGCTCATCTCGTCGTTGTCAAGGGCACCCAGTTCTACGACGCCAAGACCAGCGGCTACAAGGACATGGATCTCACCGATGTCTTGCAGATGCTGGGACGCGCTGGCCGACCTCAGTTTGACAACTCTGGCGTGGCTCGCATCTTCACGCAGGATGCCAAGAAGGACTTTTACAAGCACTTCTTGCACACTGGCTTCCCCGTGGAGTCATCGCTGCACAAAGTATTGGACAATCACATCTGTGCCGAAATCTCGGCAGAGACAATCATGAACAAACAGGACGCACTCGACTATCTGACGTGGACCTTCTTTTTCAGGAGGCTTCACAAGAACCCGTCATACTACGGACTGCAAATCTCAGCGGAAGAGCACAGCACCATAGCCGCCCAGCAGCTGGCCAACGAGTACATGATCGACATGGTCAACAAGTCAATCGAGGAGCTCGAGGAGTCCAAGTGCGTCGAAGTCTTCCCCAACGGCGACGTCGACCCGACGCCCCTCGGAAAGATTATGAGCTACTACTATCTCTCCCACTTGACCATCCGCCACCTCGTGCGCAACGCAAAGGCAAACGCGAGCTTCCTCGACGCCCTCTCGTGGATGTGCCACGCCACGGAATACGACGAGCTGCCCGTGCGCCACAACGAGGACCTAGTCAACGACGTGCTCTCGCAGAATCTCCCCTTCTCGGGCAACTCATTCAACCTGCCCATGTGGGATCCGCACGTCAAGTCGTTCCTCCTGCTGCAAGCGTTCATGTCGCGCATCGAGCTTCCCGTGACGGACTACGTCGGGGACCAGACGAGCGTGCTCGACCAGGCGATCCGTATCATCCAGGCCTCCATCGACGTCCTCACCGAAATGGGCTTCCTCTCGAGCTGTCTCCAGATGATGAAGCTCCTCCAGAGCATCAAATGCGCCCGGTGGCCCACCGATCCGCCCGCCTCGATCCTCCCCGGCGTAGAACCCGACGCCTCGCCATCATCCAAAGAAAAGGACGAGACCCCCCTCGCCACGATCAGCACCTACTCGCAGGACCAGCTCACCTCGTTCGCAAAGAAGCTCGGCATCCCATCCAAAGCGCAGGACCGCTTCAAGCGCGCCGCCTCCATGCTCCCCAACGTCGCCGTCTCCGTCAGCGACGTCACCACCCTCTCGCTCACCGTGAGCATCAAGCGCCTCAACCCCCTCGTCGACCGCGAAGCCCGCATCTATGCGCCCAAGTTCCACAAGCCCCAGACGGAAGGCTGGTTCGTCGTCATCGCGGACACAGCCAACGACGAAGTCATTGCCGTCAAACGTGTCGGCTGGGCCGGGCTCTCATCTGGAGGCGGCAGCGCCACAGGAGGAGGCAAGAAGGCTCTGGGTCAAGGCTCGTGTCCTTCTGCTAGGGCCGTGCTCAGGTTGCCCGAGCCCAAGGGTAAGGCAGCGCGGAAGCTGGATGTCATTGTTGTGAGCGATGGGTATGTCGGGTTGGAGCATAGGGTGCTGGGGGTGGACATCCCGGCTCCGCCTGCGGTGGACGATGACTTGGATAAGTCTGGGCAGGGAAAGAAGGCGGCGGGCGCGTCGTCTTCGTCATAAGCAGTAGCATTAAGGGGGGCAATTTGAAGGGAGATTTTCGAAAGGGGGAGGATTTGAAAGCAGACTTCCGTCACAATTCTACATGAACATGAACATACAAGGTAGAACTGAACAAGTAATATAGACGCTACCTCCCATTCAAACGCAAGACTCAGACATGCAAAGAAAACAAGAAGCCAGCTCGTTTCATAGATGGAAGAAAGAGAGAAGCAAATGACAAGTACGACGTACAGAAACCACAAATGACTCAACACACTGTCCGTAATATCCCTTAAATCCCCCCTCCCCCAAAAAGCAAGATAAAACCAACGAAAGTTACAAAACCATGTCTCGTGAGAGCTCTCTTTCCCAGATCTTTCTACATAAAGCAAAGACAAATAGAAAAGCAAATAAACGCAAAGAAGAAAGAAATCCCTGCGGCCCCATTTCCCGTCGTCCCATCGTGACCCGGTGCCGCATTTCCTTTTCCAGCCCCATGTTTCCGCGCAAAGTTGCAAATGTAAATAGTTATCCTGAACGCCGCGTACCAGTATTCTCTAAAGCAGTTTTCCTGTAAACGATATCGAGAGAAAGAGATATCTCGCCAAGTCTCGCTTGTACAAGAAAAGAATACGCAAAGTGGGGTGAATGAAGACCGAACCCTGAGTCGCCTTTCGAAGCCACCGTTAGGCTGTGACGAGAAGCCTTCAGAGGGCGAGGCCTATAAGACTTCAGCCAGCGTGGAATTGCCAGGGAAAGCCCAAGCCTTTATGAAGAAAACTTGGACCATTCAGCAGCAACTGCTCTGCCGCTGCTTCTGGCGAATCTCCACCTGCTGATCCTGCTCCTGCGTGGACCCGGCCCTGTCAATCGTCACGGCGGGCGAGAATCCCGGCGGGAACAGCCAGCTCCGCCGGTCCCGCCCGAGGCGGAAGCTTCCGCGGCCGTTCATGCCCTCAAAGTACCCTCCGTCCATACCGGACTCGTACCCGGGGGTGTTGGGCGTGGCGGTGGCCTGGAGCAGGGCCTGCTGCATCTTGCGGTTCTGCTCGACGAGCTTCCGCGCCACGACGCGGAAGACCTCCTCGACGCCCTCGCCGCTCTCGGCGCTGATCTCGTGGCAGGCGTCCCAGCCGACCTCCTGGCCCCAGAAGCCGGAGCTCCGCTTAGAGCTGGGGCTCCGGGGCTCGAGACCACCCATGAAGGGAAACAAGGGGCCGTTGTTGGGCGTGGCGGTCGGAGGCGGCGTGCTGCCGAGGCCCGGTGACAGATTCTCGGCGACGTAGGCGATGCAGCGCTCAAAGGGAACCTGGCGCAGGGAAGGATCGCGGGCAACGATGTCGGCCTTTGTGCCTACGACGTGCAGGACGACGTCTGACGGCAGGTTGCGGCGCAGCTCGGTCAGCCACTCGCCCATGTCGGTAAAGGATTGGGCATCGGTGATGCTGTAGCAGAGGATGCATGCGTTGGCGCCGCGGTAGTATAAGCGGGAGATGGAGCGGAAGCGCTCTTGGCCGGCTGCACAGCGAGTCAGCAGGAACATGTTTGCGTCGTGCAGCAGCAGCATTACACGATGCTAGGGCGAGAAGGATTCATCATCAGGCAAGAAGCCTGTCAAGGCAAACACTGCGCAGAGGCAAGGCAAGGCACGGCCAGGCAGGGATGCATGAGGCACGACAAATGGCAATGGTACACAACACCAAAGGCAACAAGATGCACATACCCGTGTCCCAGATCTGGAGGCGCACAACAGTGTCGGAGTCATTGTCGACCACGCGCTTGGTCAGGAAGCTGGCGCCCACGGTGGACGTTACCTGTGCCGGGTTGAAGGAGCCCTTGCAGTACCGCATAACAAGGGACGTCTTGCCCACGTTTTGGGCACCCAGGACCACGATCTTGGCCTCGAGAGAGGACGACATTGTCTCTGCAGAGGCCGCACAGGCGATACGGCGAGGACACGGTCTGGGGGAGAAGGAAAGAGGGTTGGTCGTAGGCGAGGCAGTGGTAAGACAAGAAGAAATGATAGGACGGAAACGAGAAGGGTTGGAGGTTGGACGAGTCCAGAATGGATGGTGAAGAATCACGGAATGGTTGGCGCGCGGGTGGGTCGAAGAGGTTGCTTATCGCATTGTCGATCGCGTCAGCGTACTCGGAGACGATGTCGGCGAAGATTCGAGGGACGATGCGAGAGCATCGTTGGAGAGAAGTGGCACGGATGGAAAAGGTGAGGATGACGGGAGGAGGAGGAAGGGAAGTAATAATACGGCGCGTTTACTCTGCCATGGAGCTAAACAGCTAGTGGCGTGGGCGAATCGAGTGTAAGTAAGCCCCTCCAACAGCTGTTGTTGTCTTGTCTTATTCAGGCGAGGGATGAAGGATGGAAGCCTGTTCGGCTGAGGCTATTCAGGCGACTTGTTGATGCGAGGTCGTTGACAATGGAGGAGGTGCAGTAGGTATGTATGTAAGCAAAGGCGGTGGTGAGAGGAGAAACAGATAAGAGATAATGGAAGCGCAGCATAAATGTATGAAAGTAAGGTAGGTTGGAGATGCACTTCAAGTGGGCTCGTTCCCAGGGATGACGATGGGCTGCAGCGGGCCATCGTGGAGGTGCTGTGGAGGGGCTCAGTAGCGGATGGCGGTGCGGTAGGTTAGGTTAGGCGATCACGGAGCGGCGTTAGCGGTGGCCTGGCGCTCACATGCCCTGAAGGCAGATGGTGATGCCTTCACGTGAAGCGCCGCATGTGCCTGAGAAGGTGCCCTCTCCAAAGTGAGTTTCAAGTAGCTTCTACGTGATCACAAAGAAGCCTTCTTGGTGACAATGGTCATTTTTCTTTTGCATCAATCAGCTTCCAGTCAAGCATGAATGATGAAAGAACCATCACCGTTCTTTGTCACCAACGGGGCCATTTACACCTTTCTTTACGGATGCGTGTGCACAAGCACCAGCTTGACTCACACCTCAAGTCACTACGCTTTCCTCTGGTGGCGATGCTGCCTATCTCGAGTCTGGTCTCTATCGAAACTTTGACTACGGGTACTTACCTTGGTATCAGTGATTCACTCTTACCGTGATATCTTAATGGCCTTCCCTTTGCCACCCTTCCGAGTCTCCGCCTAGGTACGGGAGTGAAGAGCAGCCAGCAGTGGACGGAGCAACAAAAGATGTTGAGCGCAAAAGGCCAATCGCTCACAATGTCATTCAACCAAACGCTCCAAAACGCCCGCTAAATCCAGGTATGCCCGCTGAAAACAAGTCGTAACGTCGTCGCTAACGTCGTCACTGGGGTATCAATCAACTCAATCAACACATCTCCTCTCACGGCCTACTCCGCCGCAGGCCAGAGAGAATGTCGGTTATCCCAGGCAACCTGCTGAGGCCCCTAGAGACTCCGCCGCTGCACCCAGCCCTGCCAGGATAACGACCATGTCTCCAGGACCAGCCTCAGTATGATCGAGCCCTTCTTGAGCTACGCCGCTGCCTCCGACCCTGTCAGATTAACGACCATGCTACAAGACGCATCGACCATCTATAGGCTGTTAGCCGAGCCAAAAGGCTGCTCGCTGCCCCCGGCCCTGCCAGGTTAACGAGTATGCCTTATAGCCAGCCAGCACTCAGTCTCAGTCGCCTTGGGCCCGAACAACTGAGACGCTGCTCACTGTCCCTGGCCCTGCCAGATTCAAGGGTCACTCTGTATTCTATGCCATTAGCGTCGTCTGATCCTCCGTTTAACGCCTGCCACGCAAGGTGTCGCATTATCATCGAGGAAAAACAACGGCTGCCCAGCAGTACGTCTGGAAGACCGCTTCGACTGCAGAAGTTGCTCGACAGATTTTCGCTCTTGGCGCTTCTTCTGACGCGGTTGCTCCTTCGGAGGCGACATTTCGGACTCCGTGCGTGAACGCCTTCTTTCAACTCGTTGCCGGCGGAGCGCTCGAGGCTTCGTCATATGTTTCTTGGCGTCCGCTGCTTCATCAGTGGTGTCGTTGGCCGCACGCCCTTCCGTATTTTCGTGTGAAGATGTCTGGCCTTCCTCAAGGCGTCCAGAGTTCGCCGCTCCCTCTTCCTTTTCCTCTTCTGCTGCTTCTTGGCACGTGTAGAATGAATCCAGGGACGGAGTTGGGCTGGGCATGCGGTCTTGAGGGAACATGGGCCATTGGGTTTCGAAGTTAGAATGGCGATTCTCCTTCAAGGTCTGTTCATTTTCACTGTCTGTGACGTCGAGATGTCGCACGTATCCAGTCTTTTCTTCCACATCCGATGAATATGTCCCTGGTGGGATACCCTCTTGCTCGTCGAGAGAATCGTAGTGGTGTAGGAATTCATTCTCTTCTTCCGCGTCGGAAAATGGTCTTAACCACTCATTCTCTCGCTCGTCTGGGGAGGAATGATAGTGCAAGTGTTCGGAATCGTCTTCCTGACTGGATACATATCTCTTCGACCGCTTGTTTCCCCGCTCGTCCGGGTGATCGTCTGTTCGCTCACGCTTCGCGGCATGTCTCGGCGTCGGCGCAGGCTCTTCGGCCTCCCAGCTGTCATGCTCAGCAGCAATCCACACAGCATCGTCATCCTCCCCAGCGCTTTCACTCCTCGTGCGCCGCCTCTTCCGCTGGGGCCCTCGCGTGTCTTCGTCGCTCCTTCTCTTTTGTGTCGTCGGATTTGCGGTCGTTGAAGGATGCGTTGCTTTCTCGTGTCGCCTTCGAGTCGACGAGCGTCGTGACCTGTCGCTGGGAGGATATGAAGTCGACGCGTCGTGGGACGTTTTTGGCTGGTGGTGCGCTGCCTTGGGAGGGGTTTGAGGTGCCGCTTTTGTAGCATCAACAGCAGCAGATGCTGCGCGTTTTGCCGCAGCCTGCCTCATCAATCTCGCCAAGCGTTCGTCTGCCCTGCGCTCGCGGTCTTCCACTTTCTTGCGCCGGTCTCGAACATAGCCGTCAAAATATCTTATCAAGGTATCAAATGACAGTGAGCGGCTAAAATAGTTAAAGAGCGCCCACTTCTGCGGCATGGAGTCATTCAACGTGTCTGGCGGTGTCTTCACATCACCAGTTTCTGCGTCGTAGCACAACGGGCATGCGAGAACCCAAGGCCCCGAAGCAATCAGAAAGCAGATATCATCCCATGCTTTGTTCATCTCCTTGGCCCGCTGGGCTTTGCGCTCCTCCATCTGCGAGTAAAATTCCTCTAATGTTCCAGAGTAGGCCACAGCTTCGCATACATCTCGGTGGAATGCCATAGGATCTTGTAGAGGCAGCCGGTGCATGTTGAAGCGATCGTGAAGGGTCGTGAACAGGTCTTCGCGCTTGAGGTTAAACTTGAGAAATGGCCAATCCCACTCATCGCGAGTGAACATATTAATCTGAGGCAGTCTATACTCCATTGTGAGGTGGTATGAGAGACGTGCGACAGTCTGCGGAAGATGTAGAGGGGAAACAATGAATTCGAAATGGGAAAACAGGCAAGCCCAGGTAAGGGTTAGTAGCAGTCCGGTGCCTTCCCCAGGTACCCAGAGTACCCAGCCAACCAGCCTTGCCAGCTAAGGTAAGGTAAGATTCCTTAACTGGGATAGGTACCTCAGGTGGGTTATACGGAGCAACCTTATATCAACTGGGTAACCAACCCAGCCTAATGGCTATCCTAATAGAGCTTTAAAAGTGTATAACACACTTCCTAAGAGTGTAATTTATCATGATTTTATATTATTAATAATTATATTTTATCTTATATTATATCTCTTACTCAAACTAAAATAAAAGAATATATTATAAATATTATTGATAATTTATTTCACAGCATGTAATACTAGTAGAAGTCGAATCATTCTTTCGTAATTAAAGTGGCAGTATAAAGGTTAATATGTAGATTCAGCATGATGTTCAATAGTTCGGCCGGGGTGCTGGCTAGCCACTCCCTTCAATGGTCAATTCCAACATCCAAATCATCTCAGGCCCTGTCAGTCTACGTTCGCCTCTAGGCTCTGCTATACGACTGACGACGTCTTCTATTATCCCACCACCACTCTCATCGCAAACATTTCTAAGCTCATCCACAACTTTCTCAACGATCCGTACCCATCTAGTCATAGTTTCCATAGCTGCAAGGGCTTCGGGACCCTTCGACCGCAGGTGACCGATCTGCCATTTCAACGGTGGTGACAGAAGCTCAGGGAGGGGGATCTTGCGCATCAGAAACAGCATGACAACGCCGAAGGCAAAGATGTCACCCGCTGGACCGCGCGAACCTTCCCTTGGGTATTCGGGCGGGATATACCAAGGGGTTCCCGCGACATGAACAGTCTCCGGGTCAGACGACCACCCAAAATCGATAAGGACAGGGCCCCTATCCTGAGTGTAGAGGATATTCGACGGCTTGATGTCATTGTGGACGACTCCTTTGCTATGGATGAAGTTGAGGGCACCGGCTATGCCGTGCAAAATCCGCTCCGCATCGCTGTCGTCCAACGTGCAGTGGGGATTCTTTCCACGATGGCGAAATTTGGCCAGGTCACGCGCATCGATGTGCTCTATATACAGAGCCAGGAACCTCACATCAAAGCTATAGAGGGTGGCAATCATGGGCTAAATTGCGTCAGCAGTCTGCGCTTTGTATGAATTCCTAGGATGGCTATCACTTACATGCTCGTTCACTTTCGTGTGATTTCTCACCTCGCGTATGAAATGCTCGCTGACTTGGGATATAACCCTCACGCCCGCATTGGGAACAAAATCGAGATCGAAGACACTGTGCCATATTTTGACCGCTACCAGCTGTCCAGAAAACTTGGAATGGTGAGCCTTGAAAACCACGGTATAGGGTTGGTTTGCGATCATGTCCCTGCGGATGAGCGTGTAATCTTCCTCCCTGGTGGCATTGGCAATCTTGATGGAAGCATTATGTGGAAGATCGCTCAACGGATGTTTGGCAGTTGAGATGTATCCAGCTCGAAGATCCGAACCGCTGGGAAATGGAGAAGCGCTTGCAAAAACGAGCTCAGTGGATGACCGCGTCTGAATGGCGGTGGATGCCTTCGATGCGTCGGTTGTCTCTTGTCTGTCCGGTGTGTCTTGTCCGCTTGTTGTCTCCTTTGAGTTACTCGGTTCGTCGGTTGCCTTACCCTTTCCTTTGCCCTTGTTCTTGGCCAGGTGGCTTGTTTCCTTTTCCGTCTCTTCCCACCAGGCCATTGGTTCTTTCCCTTTCTCCTTGCCTTTAGACTGGCCGTGCATTGCTCTCGTCTTCATCCTCTTGGCTGCCGACGGGACGGCTTGCTGCGACAGCATATCAACTGTCCTTTTACCGCCTTGCGTCAGCAGTCTTAGAGGCGCCGAAGTTGAGGCCACATAGCGTCGTGGGAGGACAGTGATGTCGAACATATGTCTATCCGACACGAAAAAGCTATATGAGGATGAGGACTCGAGGGCTGCCTTTTCGAAAGCACCGATCTTGGTCGGCCTTTTCTTAGGCGCCGTTGACAGCTGCTTGATGAGAAGCAACTCCCGCGTTGCCAGTATTGTATTGTTGACGACCAGCACGGCATCGCTGTTGGGATCAAAGAAGAAGTCCAGTTCAAGTGGCCAGCTCAATGCTTCCCACGCTTCTTCTGATGGCAGCTTGGCAATGCGTAATCTGATGCCAAAGTCATGCTGCGACTGGGTGAGAGCTACCTCGCTCGCGGTGTGGAGAACGTGCTCCTCTAACAGCCCAATTTTCTGAGTGCTGATGTTGAGGCACCCTTCTACCTTGAGAGTTGCCCTTGTGATGCTCTGCCGGCAGACTGGAGGCCCGACTAGCGGAGAGCCGCGTGTTCTCAGCTGAGCACCTGCACGCGAGCCCTGCTTGCTGGACTCGCCGCGCTCGAGAACTTGGGTGCGGTTCCCCTTGTTCGGCTTGCTTTGAGAAATAATGCGGACCTGCTTCCTTGGCTTGTTGTGATTAAGATAGCGGCCCAACTTCGTTGGCTTGCCACCGGCAGCGGAACGCAGTCCAAGTGGCTGAACAGTGCCGCCTCGTTTCCTGGGATCACCATGATATATGGAACGGTTTCGGTTGCTTGACCCGCAGGGTTCAAGCACAGGGCCCTGCAGGGCAGGGTGCTTGGTTCCAAGCTTCCTCTTCTTCGATCGAGTGTTGTATACATGAGACCCGTGTATCATCCGGAGCTGTATCGATGTGAAGGGATTTGTGGGGCCGGAGCAGCTTGGCCAAGCGTTCTCGTCCGGCTGAGGATACGTTTTCTTATGGTGCTCGAGGTTCGCTCTCAGTTGGCTGACCATGAATGGATTGGTTATGTCGGGAGACGCCGCTTTCTCAATTCCATTGCGTTGGAGGACGGCTTTCCACTGGCTGGGAGTGGCGCGGTCTAGGCCTTCCGAAGCTGTCTGATAGTCCTCGCTGCATGTGGACGACATGGATATGGAGGCTTCAACTTCGTGAGCCATTGGATCAGGACAGTTAAAAGCACAATGGGGAGGAAGGTTGGAAAGGGGCAATAGCGATGATGCGTAAGGTAGTCATGAATGAGGTCGCGATTTATCAGGAAAGCGCGACAGAAAGCTGCGTACATGTATACAGAACGGGGATTACAGGCTACATATATATTCAGTTGTTACTGCTAATATTACCACCTTATTAATTTATATACAACGATATTTATACTTTGTGCAACTGTCGCATGATACTGCTTATTGAAATCTTGATATTTCGTTTATTTCTAGTACATAGATTATATAGAGACGCGCATTTCAACATCCTACCTAACGCCTCGGTATGCTGGATGTGGGACGCTGCCAGTCCTATCAATCACCACCATCAACCGTGAATCAGTCTGAAAGAGCCGCACTCTACATTTCACGGAGTACAGGACAGCAGTCGTGATGGGGAGCTGCAGTACGTGCATGTACTTCTAAGCAAACAGGGATCGCCTCGCCAATTGGAGCAGTTGAGCGGGTGGATATGTCGCGATAAGTCTATGCATCCGGACAAATACGTGTAGGCGAAGCTGCAGACGGGCTCGTGATTGCAGGAGTCGTGACGTGGCGGAGGGCAGCTACAGTGATGTTGGTCCTTGACGACTTTGGTTGTCCACTTATCTTGAAGATGGCAAGGGTTCTGGAAACAGTTCTATACTTGTACTTATGCTTTCACCGTACATGTTTGTCTGAGGCTGTGCAATTATTGTGATTCAAGGCGGGAAACAGTCCAATTACTTGAACTTTATATGTCTTTGTGTAGCCAACAACGGAATATCGCCAGTTCTCGTGATTCTTCTTATACGCGTAGTTGTACATAGCATTTGTATGCCGGCGAGTTGCGGGACTAGGCTGATTGCCGATTGCCAGAATAGGAAACTCGAGATCCCCGCAAGATGTTAACTTCGGCGCCTGGGGAAGCTGGGAAGTTAAACGCCAGCATACAGACTAGGCGAAGGATGAGATGCCGTATCAGCTCACTTTTCCTTCAGCTAACTCCGATCTTGTACAGATTGATCTGGGCTGAGATCTAGATGCGCTTAAAGCAATCCTATAGCTCCCTTTCTGCATTAGCTACCCTGCTGTAGTATAAGTCTAATGCCTGCTAAAGGCGTTTATAGGGGCTTAAGCGAAGCTGCTGTATGGAAAGCGTAAGCGCAGCTTTAGCGCCTTATTAAATATAGATAATTAATATTACGCCCTGCCTGCCCTCTTTATAATTATTATTACTATTAAGAGCCTTATTATTAACAGCCTTAATAGTATATATAGAAAAAAAAGTTATAAAAAGAAGCCTTATATAGGATTTAAACGCTTAACCTTCTAGCTGCTTTATAATATAAAGGGCCCTCTTAAAGCTATAGATTATATTTATAAGCATAGTAAAAAAGGCAATGCCCTTATACCTTTAATTACTTCTGCTAAGCGCTATTATAGCTATACCTAAGCCTAGCTAGCAGGCATAATCTACTGCTTATAAAGGTTATCTTATTATAAAGAAAAACAGCTAAAATAGTAAAAAGGTAAAAACTCTTTATATACTAGCTTTAATATACTGTAAGCTAGATTTAAAGACCTAGTTACTTATCTTATAATACTTAGCTTTTATATAAGTAAAAAGGCTTAAAGCCTTTTTTCTAACTGCTTTTATAAAAGTTAAGCGCTTTACTATAAGGTAGTATTATTACTTTAGCTATTTTATTAAATATCTTATATATAAAAGGCAGGTGTATATATAATTAATATAATAGCTAAAGGCTACTACCTTTTTTAAACTATTATACTAATTATAATATTAATATCTAGCTAGTATTATAAGGAGAAGAGATATTATTACTTATAAGGGATAAGTTATAACACTTATATATATAAGGCTTAAAGGATATTATAACGCTTATATATATAAGGCTTAAAGGAAGGTATTATAGCGCTTATATATATAAGGCTTAGAGAAGGAGATTATAATACTTATATATATATATATAAGGCTTAAAAGACTATAAAGCTTATATATATAATGCTTAAAAGAGGTTATTATAATATTACTACTTTAATTAAATAATAAAATGCTTAATATTTAGCGCCTTTTAATATATAGCTTTATGCTTTATGTTTATACTACTGTTTTAAAGGCTTTTTTATAATATAGGCAGTAGAATATAAATTAAATAAAAAGGCGTTTATAATAGTATTAAACACTAGACAGCCTTATATATTATAAATAAAATATATATATTAAGTTACTATTCCTGCTTTTTTCCCTTTTCTTTTTCCTTTATTATTATGCTTATTATCTTTATTTTTATTACTACCCTTTTTATTAACCTACTTAAGATCTTTACTATGCCTTTTAAAAAAGCTAACTTAAAAGGTAAGCATAAAGCTAACCTTAAAGGTAAGGGTAAAGCTATTACTATGCCTAAGGCTACTTCTTTTAAAATAGTATATCTCTTTTTATCCTTTATATTTTTAAGCGCTAACTTTATATTACTTTTAGTAAAAGCTAAAGAAATAAATAATATAGTCTTAGGTTAATAATAATAGCGCTAGCTTATTATAAGTAGTAGTAGTAGTAGTAGTAATAGTAGTAGTAATAGCAGTAGTAGTAGTAGTAGTAGTAGTAATAGTAGTAACCTTATAGGATCTGCTATATAAGAATTATATTAAAAGCCTTATTATTAGTAAAAAGGCAACTTCTTTTAATTAATATATAAATTTAAAAAAAAGCTCTTAGCGCTATAAGCTTTATAATAAGGGCAGCTATAAATGCAGACTTTAGTATATTCCTTTTTTTTTTTTAAACTGTTTTTATTATTAAATATATGCTATAGCTATTATTAGCTTATACCCTTTATTTAAAGACTTAATTATACTATTAATAAAGAAGATAAAAAGGTTTATTTATAAATTTCCTACTTTTTATACTTTATACTAATAATACACTAAGTAATAAAGTAATACTATATAGCTATTTATCTTATAATTAATATACTTAATAATAAAGATCTAGCGCTTAAGTTAAATAATAATAATAAAAGTAATAATAATAAAGTAAGCTATAAGCAGGCCTGCAAGGCTTAAAAGACTATAGCTAAGTATATCTTTTATAAATAAGCGCTAGTGTTAAAGAAAAAAGGTATTATTACTGTTTTTATAATTATTAGTCTTTAATTATATTTTAATTTAAAAAAGGAATAGAATTTTAGAATTTATTTATATAAAAGGTATATATAAGGTAATATATATAATTAGTATTAAGGGGTAAGGCTATTACTATTTAAATATTAATTATATATAATAAAGCTATAAAGGTAATAAAAAAAAAGAGAGAAAGAAAGGAATAATAATAAAGATAATTTAAGTAAAAGAAATAGCAGTTAGTGCTAGTATTATTTAAGGTAAATATTACTAATAATTAAGGTAGTAAGGATCCTTAGCTAGGTTAGTATTACTATAAATAGTAAGTAAATTAAAAAAAGCATTAAATAAAATGCCCTATAGTATTTTAATATATAAGACTATTATATATATTAAACTTATAAAGAAATCCTTTTATAATATATTAACTATAGCCTATTTTACTATATAGCCTTATAATTTATAAATAGTAATAGTATAAGCTATTATTAAAGGAAATTATATTTAGCTATATAAGGCACTTCCTTTAATAAAGTCTTAAGTAAATTAAAAAATAAGCATTACTTTTTATAACTATACTCCTTTAAGATAAGGAGGACTATTATAATAATTAAATTTTATAAGTATAATAGCTAAGTGCTAGGTATAAGGATCTTTAATATTTTATATTTATAAAATATTATAAACTTAGCTAATTATGCTATTAACTAGGCTTATAAATATCTAGATATTCTTTATTAATATTATATATATGCTAATATAAAGATATAAGCACTAGTTAAGGTTTTTAATAAATAAAGAATTAGCTTTTTATACTTTAAGGCTAGTATTAAAAGCTATAATATAAATATATAGCTTACTTAGCCTTTTTATATAATTAAGGTTATACTCTTAAACTTAAGTATTAATAAAATAGATTTAAATAGCTAAGTTAAATTACTAAACCTTATTTAATAATAGCAGAGCCTAAGTTTATATATATAGTAAATGCTAATCTTTAATTATAGGAATATTTTAATATAGGTATTAAAGAGTAAGGCAGAATAAAGCCTAATTATCCCTTACTTAATAAATAACCTACTATAACTTAACTATAATACTAATTAACCTATATATATTATGCCTTAATAAATTAATTTTACTTTAAGGCTCTATAGTAAAGAGAGGGCATTTTATAACTAAGGGCAGTTAATAAAAGTCGCTTAAAAAAAGGATACTTTAACTACTAAAATACTTATTCTAGTATATTAAGAAGATCTTTTATAATTAATAATTAATATATCTTATTATATATAAGCCTATTATAGACTTTTTATTAATAATAAGATATTAAATATAATATAATTTATTATAAATATTAAAGATATTAGTAGTAAAAAGAGATAGTAAATTACTTAATATTTTAAAAATAAGTAACTATAGTAAAGAATAAAGTATAATACTATTAATTATATTTATAGCTATGCTAGTTAATATAGCTCTAGCTATAACCTGCTAATTAAAAAGCACTATTTATTATAGCTTTATAAAAATAGCCTTAATAAAAAAGGACTTACTAATACTGCCTAGGCTATTAATCTATATATAAAAAGAAGGGGGGTTTAGCTTTAAAAAGTTAAGTTAATTATTAAGATAGTTAATAAATAAATTAAAGACTAAATGCTGCTTAAGGTTTAACTACTGCATTTTTATATTTATTATAGTATCTTTTATAATAAAAAGGTTATTACTCTTTAGCTGCTTTTAATAGTAATTCTTAAACTATAAAAGGTCTAGATAATACTTAATATAAAGTTACTAAT